CATCGTGCATACAACAAATTGATTCCGACACAACCTTAGATATACAAAACATAATATTGTTTTTTAACAAAACAATTCAATTAGTTATCCGCTAAAAAACGCACATACCTAATTTAATTTATTTTTTCTGCAAATAGATAACTATAATAATTTTATAGTTTTCGTGTGTATTTTGTTTTCGTTACCAGCGCATCAACTATAATTATATAAAAAAAAATAAAATAAAATACCATTCTGTCTTAACCAAATGATTACAATCACTTTTGTTGTTGTAATTTTTTTCCCACAGCGATAATTGTATTTTATGGATTCGCGTATAATAATGAAGTCTGCTATTTGCTTGAATTTTTTCTCTCTCAATTATACAAAACTGATTGAATATCTTAAAAATAAAACTATCATTTGATAAAAAAATATTTATAACACAAACAACCTACGATAAAATCAATTAATATTATAAAAAGTAAAGAAATGAAAAAAAAAAAAACCACTGGACGTGTCATTTCGTATATTTAGTATCATACGACGGTTCGATAAATAAATTGTAATATTGTTTTTAAAAGTAAATTCCTCGATGTGAACTCTACTAGTTCATTATTCGTTATTAATGTTTCTACGAGGTTAACACACACACCCTGATTAGTGTATTCAGGAACCGAAATATCTGCCAAGTTGAAAGGAATTGGAGGCACTTGTTTGATTCCTCCGGCGAGCAAACAATAAACGTATAATTATACGCCAGAAACGTATCCAATTATTCATCTCATTGTGTTTTCTCTCCCCCAAAAAACCTCAATAAACGCAACAGTCAAAAGTATCGATCACCAGATTTTATATATTATTTTTTTAACTGTTTGCGTTCAAAAATTTACTAACAGAAATTTGCAGTAATCACGTCAAGACGCCAAAAAACTTCTCTGTAAGGTCCGACAAGCGTAATACTTTAACTAATAAACGGTATGATAGCCAATACCTATGTTTCAAACAAAGAAAAAACATTGTACCTACTCTTAAGAATTGATTATTAATACCCCTGTCTTAAACGTTTTCAAACGCTTTTTAAAGTACGGTAAACTTTCGTACTTAGACCCATTGACTTCAATCTGCACTGAATTAATTGAGCCGGAAGAGATGCTCACCACAGAATTGACAAATAAAATTTAGTTTTTCATTGAGCTTGATTAAATGATAGCATAGTTCACATGGGAAAAGCTGAGTGATGTTTGATTTGTCACATGTATAAATATGTCATTGTCATAATATTAACACCCACAAGAACTTAAAGAATGTACTAATGATTATTTACAGAATGTGTACCGGATGATAAGTTAACTAAGAATCAGTCAATAACTTAGAAGATATTAGACTTTTTTAACTATTTACTAACTATATACTTTTATAGTTATTAGTTGAGACAAATGTAATATACTTAAAAAAATATAACCGTTGGGTACGGTCGGGAAGGGAAGTGCGGTTGAGTAATATCTTAAAAGTTATTAACTTGGCCATATTTAACGAATCACCCGTTACATTAAAAAACAGAGATTCTTATTACCTACATTCTTCTTGCCTACATTTACTCATGTGCAACACGAATGCAGCAAACGGACGTTGTCGGAAGTATCTTTTATGATAACACAACTGCGAGTTTAAGTTTCAAAAGTTAATATAAATATAACAGAAGGGTTAAAAATACAAAATTGAGTTTACACTGTATATAAATATTCCGGCAAAAAACTATTTAACAACTAATTAAACCCCGTGAGTTATTGCATTGAACACTTTAAAATAAAATCATCATGTGTGTATATATATATATATATATATATGTGTATATAAGTATAGGTAATAGCAGTCAATAATATTATTATTTGTTCTACTTTACGAATATTTCTAGTTGGCAATGATCGTCGTTACCGCACATGTCTACACTCATTATTATAGTCGATATACAGCCTCACAAACCCACAATAGACACAGACACGTCCGATTCCTTAAGGCCCGTTTACATTAGGCGGCGAACGCGAACGAATGCGAATGAATGCTACCGAACGAATTCGTACGCGAATTCGGTAGGGATTCGGCCGCACCGTGCAGACTACTCGTTCGTGTTCATTCCCCGATGTTCGCAAGCGTTCGCCAGCCTTTGCTCAGATTCAGGGCGCGGGTAAACATACTTTAATTTTTTATGCCGTTCGCACTGAATATCATTTCCTTTGATCTTACCGCTACCGGAGCGAACCGCTGCGAAGGCGAACGAATAGCACGAACGGCCGTTCGTTCGCATTCGGCTCACCGTTTACACTTGCATTTTGATGTGCCGAATTCGCGTTCGTTCGCATTCGCGGCCTAATGTAAACGGACCTTTATAATCTCGTGAGTTTCCCGCGCTAATCGTCATCATCAGTAGAATAAACAGTGAAGAGACGGACCATCATCGTTTGTTGGATGATAAACTATGCAAAATGTCACGTGCAGTGGGGCATTCTAAAAGTGTCGAGTTAACACACGAGATAACGAGTATAATACGAGACGCACGTTTTGACGTTACCAATGTTTATCCCAAGTCTCACGCAAATTCTCGACGTCTGCTCGTCCCGTACGTGTTCGGGAGACGGCCGAAAGCGGAAGTGTAAAAACACAATAAACCAGTCGCATTCTTCTTGTTTGTAATAATAATAATATACTAGTAGCTCGGTGGCGATGGATATAAAACACAATAAAATATAATAATACATAGTTATGGTTATAACTTATATTTTGGTATAAATCGACGCGACAGACAGCCCGAGTGATTCTTATGTTACTTTTATTATTGTGAGTTCGAACTAAAACCCGACAAATTATGAAATAATAATAATGTCGAACGTGTCAATTGTAGACAAGTGATAGAAAAAACGTAAACGACATCATCACTACACGACAGACACGTAAACAACAACAAGTAGTATTGCCCATACATAACAAAAATCTAGGAGAGCCCGATCGCCAGGATGCCCAGAGAATATGGTGGGGATGGCAGATGACGTTATATTATGATAACAGTAATGTCAAAAGTTTCCGTTTTGCTAGGATTGTGATTTAAACTTATTACATTAGGTACTGTTAATTTTATTTTGAACATCGTGTTATTGACCTAGTTGTGTATTAATTTTTTTACTATGATACCAAAAATTATGATACACTGAACTCAAATATTAGGTTTCTGGTCAAGGGCGACATCCCACAGGTACATTAAATACAACGCCAATTTTTTTAAATTAAATTTTCATTTTTTGATAGGTAGGAAGTTTTGATTATAGTGTACGTGTTCAAAAGACTACCAGCTATAAAACCATCAAAAATTCAGATCAAACTAAGGAGTAGGAAAAAAGTTATGCACTGATTGTGCACAATTGTCGAAATCCTATGTTAAATCCCATTTAAACTTCAACCCTTGTGGAGCACGGGTTAAAGTTAATATGTTTCAATTTTTTTTTTATCTTATTTTAATTTTATTTAGAAACTTTTTAGGGGGCGTCGAGGTTAAAATTCGAAAATTGACTTTTTAAGGACCACCATAATATATATATAATACCGGAGGTTTTAAAATTTTAAAATTGTTAAACACATTAACATTCGTATTTCATACATTATTATTATTTATATAGAGAAAAGCTGTTTAACAACAAAATTATCAATCAACATTATCGATGTAGAGGCTATCATAAAATTTTTAAAAAACATTATCAAAGAAAATTCAACAACGGCTGTTAAAGTTAAACCTGTAAGTTAATTACACTGGAGGGAAAAGAGGGACACCATCCGTTTACTATATTATATTACAACACCGATAGCATGCCTTTTTCATCGCATACTATATACAATTCGATCTTGGTATGAATCTTCGTATCAATATAATAGTAGTACCATTCTATAATTAGTTTAACTCTTGACACACAATAACCTACACAACAATAACGTTAACGTCATTGTCGAATATTTATAAATATACTTAAAACCAAATCAGTGTAATGAATGAAACAAAAATCCATAGAAGCTAAAAAATCCATCGCTGTGGATATAGGTATAAATCATTATTATTGGGCCACGCTGCCGCACATGTACTCTTTTTTTTACAAAAAAGAGTATTATCATTCTTATACATTTTATCAGCAGGTTTTTGTTGTTACTAATGTTTTTGTTTTTAACCATGAAGGTTTTTTTTTTCTTAACCTATCTATTCTGAAATAATCATAATGAATCGAATGCGTATTGAAAAATTCATCTGATATTCATTTCCCTAGAAATAAAACAGAAAAAATTATCATTTTTCGATATCGCCGCCACAAACATACATAGACTTGCCATTATATTACAAGAATCGTTACTTATTAAAATTGAATTCATTTTTTTAACCTAACAGTTTTCTCTCTGGTTTTTGTAAGCCAATATGATTAGAATTCGATTTCGAGACTGGTCTTTTTAAACCTTTCTGTTGCTTATACATAAGCACAATCACAATACCTACATATAATAATGGTATTATATAATTCCGATACTAATTGAATAAAATATTTGTTTTTATTTCTGTGACTCGTCAGATAAAATCGCAAATCTTCGCAAAATCCCACGAATAAAAAAAAAGTGATCCAGCAAAACAACCGTTTCCTTTGCTTGCGCAGCAAATTAATATTTGCTGCACAATAACAATTATACTTACAAACCGATATTTCAATAACAACATGATTTATTATTATTTATCATGATTTAGCATTAGATTTATCTGTGATTTTATTGAAGATTATTATTATTAAGTGTAATCATGTCGCAAATATTGTATTTCACACAAAAAATGTGTCTCTAGTCTCGCCGATGATCCACTTGTAGTTTATTTGTAATGAAAAAAAAAAATATATTATATTACACCTTAGTTTTACTGCAACGTGTGTTATAAATTAAATATTTTTTTTTAATTTGATTATTAAATTACTATGTATAATACATTTGTAAAACGTTACCGGAAATCGTTGCCCGTGTCTATGAAGACGCTGCACGGTGAGTTCGGGGAAGACGGCATGGATTCCACATCGTTTGCGAAATTGTTAAACGTGTTGCTGCTCTGCAATTTGACGGTTGACATAATATTTTTCCTACACAAGATTGATTATGTGACGTTTCAATGTTTCGGACGGAAACGCATTGTTTACCGCAGAAACTCGCGCTGCAATACAATTAACGGTAATATATAAATGTTGAAAACAAACACAACTATTATATTATATCGGAGGTACGATGAATTCAATAAACATAAAACGTAATTATTTTAAAGTTGTATTATTATTTAACAAATAAATTATAATAATTTTCGCGGTTCTCGGTGGAGGTGGTCGACGGACACGGTTGTGGCACACATGCGGCGCGTTGAGATCGGACTGAAGAGCCGCGGCGGCACTCTGGTGGGTTGCCCAAGCAAACGGGTCAGTAGGCCAAGCGCAACGTTGCGCACGCACTACCGCAAACACTACCACAGGCCGCCTCCTATGATATATACACACGACGACAATGACGACACGTCGACTACTACTCCTCGTCTATACGCCGAAACGCTAAAATTGTTAAATACCATTGCGTTAACCAACGGCGACCAAGATCACGGCGCGTTGTCGGCAGTGCTCCTACTACCACCCCGAAGGCCAATAAAACCCACTACCGCGACGTTTCCACCCGTGATTCGACGTAATAGCGACCCTACACGGGTAGAAGTGTTCACAACCCCTTAACATCGTGTATTTTGGGACAAACGTCGCGTCCACTATTTCGTTATAATGCTCGAGAATAACGTGATACTCATAGCAGACATTTATTTTTCTAAAATGATCGGCTTCTTGAGAGGTTTAATAAGGTATAATATCTCTGAATACTTGGATGGGTCTTAAAAATAAAAAATGCATACAGATACTATACATAATGATATAATGTAACATTATCTAATATATATATTTACATAATATATAATGCTTAAAAATATATTTTATTAAGATGAACGATGACCTCTGGCCATTAAGGAACAAAAGCTAGGCAATTTCTATACAAACTTATGTATGCAAGTAAATATAATATTCCAATATTATACGCGTCGTACTAATGAACCACTCAATATTTTTTCTTACAACCATGTAACTCACTAACTTAAGTAATTACCGACTTTTAAAGATTCGATTTAGTGTTTACGTCTACCTGCGAGTTTTTCGCATTTTTTTATTTAAAAAAAACTAATTATTAAAAACCCACCGTGTGACAATAATTCTAAAAACTCGCCCCTTCAACAAAAGTTTTCGTATATTTTTTTGTCGCTCGCCTTTACAAAAACAAAAAAATTGAAAAGTAGATTTAGCCATTATCGAAAATTTGTTAATCAGCTAAATAGTTATTTCTACATATACTGATTTCACAAGTATACAAGGTCATTATGAACACATTTGACCACTGAAGTATAAAAACAATTTTCCTAGAGGAATATTTTAAAGGAAGGATAAATATCCTTGGTTTTACTAAAAAAAGAACATTTAGAATTAAAAGCAATCGGCTTAAGAGCAATTAAGAAAAAAGTATTATATTTAATTTCGATAGGAATATACATATATTTTTTGGAACAATTTATCAATTGTTTGTTCAATATTAAGAAAAGGAGGAGATAATAATAATTCAATGACCAAATATCGAATATTTAAAAAAACAAATGGGTAACCAACTTGCAGTTTTAATTATTTGATTTTTTTCAAAGGATCTATCGTTTACAATAGTCAAATTTTTGTTTTAAATATGACTATAGTATAATTTTAACCAGTTTCTTTAGCAGTTGTTGACATTTATGTAGTCGATACTGAAGTATTTAGTTTGAGTGCCATTGCTGTCTCCTGTCATATTCATAAACCCGTCAACGGTGGTTTAATATTTTAATAAACATTTTATCAACATAAACATCTGTTGTTTATAATTAACTAAAGCATTTTGGCGGATCTTAAATATTTAACGTTTGTAAAGTGTTTTCAAATCAAATACTCTGCTTTAACGAACCAATAGCTTTTCGTTATAACTCCCAACATTTCAACGAATAAATGTCTAACATGGCCTCACCAAGATATGAACTTACATACGCTATTTTAAAAGGACGGTACGAAAGAAATATTAAGTTTTTCGCTACCAGTCAACCAACATTTTACAGAAACGTTAACGTCTAAAGCTAATGGCCCTAGGTCAACAAAAATAACCAAATTCGACCGTTATTACAAAAGAGCACAAATTGGTAGTAACTTATGTTAATAGAGCAGATTAAACCCAGCTGAAAAGAGCACACATTTTTTTGGTACAACCTAATGAGCACAGCGATTTTACTAAGGACAAGTGAGACGAGTGTCATTTTACAAGTAAGGACTTAGATACCAACGTGATTTGCACAACGTGTATTAATTATTAACAACAGACATGATTTTCATTTGATTAGAGCAAATCACGTTTAAAGCTGGGTCCACATGGCCGCGGAAAACGGTTGCAAACGTTTGTCAATTACATGGGTTTTTGTGCGCTTGGATGCTGTACGTTATCATGGACATTTCATTGAAGTTTGATGTTCCCCATAGAGTACCTAGCATTTTAGCGAACATAACGTTTTGCGCGGCAGCGTGGATTCGGCTTAACACCGCCTCTTAGTTTGTTCCATTAATCACAATAACTATTGTAGTTGATTAATTAAGAATATACAGTATAATAGTGACATCGTTAATAGCTGCATTTACTTTATCTAGTTGGCGTTAATTTGTCGACGGTAAACCTAAAAGCCACATAGGCCCGACTGCCGAGGGAGATTATCGGCAATTTTTAAGACACACACACATAAAGTTATACTATTTAACTTGATGTACCGTGTGTGCGGTTACCCCTACTCGCTAATGCGCGCATACCCCATAATTATTGTTATTAGTTGGATAAGCCTACCTGTGCCTTTCGATAATGCATTATGTATGTGATGTTTACCTGTCTGGCGATCGGCCTGCCACTAGTGCACTATGTACACATGGAAATAATTTTTTCAGACGTACTAAGAACCAAAAAACCATCATTCTCGTATACTTAACCAGAAAATGCTTACAATAAGTATTATCTAGGATGGTAAAACACACACAAGCGTGTTCACATGCGGCATGCATGAGTAAATAAATAATGTCAACCCTTTTATGCTCGTAATATGACGAAGTACCAATATACAGGTTAAATTGTGAAAAATAAACCCTTTTATCGTTTAAATAATTATCAACGATCTGAAAATTTACCATACGGATCGTCGGTGCAAGGTGTTAGAAAAATGTATCGTTAATATACATGAGTAATCATAAAAGGAGAAAAAACGATAGAAACACTTGCTATTCAAAAGCAAGTTTTTTTTCCCCTTATTTCCCATATTTTGCTTTGAAAAAATTATGTAAAATGTATTATAATATAAATATATATATATATTTTTTTTTCTTTAATTATATATTATCGTATATATTATCCTTCTATATTTTTATGTTAAAAACGAATACCTCTAAAAAATAGTAAGGGAAGCGGTGGCAAAGGACGAACAAAAAAAACTAAAAAATAAATAATAATACTTTGAAAGATAACGAAGCATACACACCTTAGTAGAAAAAAATAAAGAATACGAGTGAATGAACGCAAAAGGGTTGTTTTCACACACCTTCCGAACTGACGCCAGGTAAATCATTGTCCACCTGGACGAACACGGCGGATTTACCATCTGGTTGTTATCGTCACGACCATTATTTGCTTTTGTTGGGATTATTACAAGGCACCGGTGACGGCGCGGCGAGACGGCGCAACAAAATACCTATAATACCCTCTCCCGACGTGAATAATTTATACTATTATATTCATACCCCGTAACCTTCTTTATTTGTTTAAAAACGTTTATCGTTTATTATACATAACATACATATATATACATATATATATACTATAAATGCGATTGCAACTGAATACGTGGTGTGATAGTTTATCTTTAAACTTAAGTCATGACTAGATCCAAATTTCATGTTACAGTTATTTTTTCTATGAAATAATTGTGTTGACTAAAAAAAGGTTAAAATAAAATCGTTATATTATCACTTAAAGCAACGGTTCCTAACTGTAAAGCGCGCCTCCCTTGGGCAAGATAAATATTGATATTTTTAGATCAACAATAATTTCAAAAGGTAACGTACTAGCATGAGTATTTGTAATTAATTTATTCAAGGGAGGCACGATTATTTATTTTTATTGTTAGGGATGTGGTGAACCAAAAAAGTTTGGGAATCGCTGACTTAAAGGATGGCCGACCTATAATGCGGCCGTCCTGGAAGGGTTAAATGATTAAAAAATATATTTAATAATTAAAATAATTTGTTAAGGGGTAGTTTTAGTGGCTAGCCAACCTCAGAACATGGTTTGACAAAAGTTTGGTGGAACTATCCAGAAGTGCCACTAACAAAACTCGTATATCAATGATGATCGCCAACATCCGAAACGGATCGGCACATTAAGAAGAAGGAGAGTTTTAGTGAGTAACTTTTTAGAGTCAAATGGCAACTAACATATCACTTAAAAGAAGGACAATAAAGACTGGTCGATAACCAAAACTGGTTATCGACCAGTCATTATTTTAATTATATAATTTTGGTTTTAAAAGCCAACAAATATAAGTATGTTACTATTAAATTTTAGTTACCCACCAAAACTACTCTTTAAAATAATATTTTTAACTTTAACATTAAAAACTATTTTTGATAATTTTCTATTGTTAAGTGATCCTATTTAAAACATTCTGCTAAAACAATTTTTTCATAGATAAAATTACTATAACATGTTATTTGGATAACCTGTATAATTCTTTAATATTATAGTTTCAAATCATATTTTTTTGAAAATATATCATGTATTGTACATGTTTCATTATTGGGACTTGTTGAAACTAAAATAATCGTTAGGTAGGGATCAAGAGAAGTCTTTGAAATACTTGATTTTTTCAAACCCATCTTGATCTCCTACTGAATAGTGTGAATACCTGACCGGGCCGACCCGCACTTGCTAAAAACCGATACGGTTTCGGCCCGGACACATCTCAGAGCAGTGAAAATAGACCCTTAATTGTATGAGATCAAGATGGGTTTGAGAAAATCAAGTATTTCAAAGACTTCTTGAGTCACTTGAATACTAAATAATAATATAAATTAAAATGTAAAATATGGTTTTATTTTCGATTTGGGTTTTATGGAATTTTACTCCTGTAGATCTTCGTATTGAAGTATTGTTTTAAAATGGATGATGATATTCAAGAAATGCTTTATTATATGTATTATACTTGTGAATACTGTAATCATAACTAAATTAAAAGTTGGATTTAATGAGCTTAGCGAATGTTAATGGGTTATTGCTTATAGGCAATGACTTCTCTTGATCCCTACCTAACGATTATTTTAGTTTCAACAAGTCCCAATAATGAAACATGTACAATACATGATATATTTTCAAAAAAATATGATTTGAAACTATAATATTAAAGAATTATACAGGTTATCCAAATTACATGTTATAGTAATTTTATCTATGAAAAAATTGTTTTAGCAGAATGTTTTAAATAGGATCACTTAACAATAGAAAATTATCAAAAATAGTTTTTAATGTTAAAGTTAAAAATATTATTTTAAAGAGTAGTTTTGGTGGGTAACATGTAAATAAATTATTTTGTCATCAGTTAAAGTCAGACATCGAAAGTAGTAACCACGTGCTAGTTGCAAATATGCAAATATGGGTATTTTAAAAATTAATATTTTTGTATACTTGTAGGTATATATTTTACTTATGAAATTTCAATTAGAAATTAAATATTGATATATTATTTAAATAAACCATCAAAAAGCAAATAAAATTTAATAAAACAGTAAAAAGGTTCTGTAAAGAAGCAAGTTGTATTGCTATTATTGAATTTGAAAATTCTCTTTACTTATCTAACTAACTGGTTTCTTGATATTATTTCTTGATCAAGTCATGCAACTAAACATTTTAATATACTTCTACTGCGCTTTTAAGGTAAGCAAAATTGTCAAAAAACAAAAACATTGGACTTTTTGGCAATTAGTGTAGTGGTTTAGTAGTTTCAGAGATATAGATGTACCTTTAGAGGAGTCTCAAATGACCTTGGAAAAATTCACCCATCTTATCTTGGCCTATCATTGGTTTTTCCAATGTAAATAAATATGGCCACTCTTGCTACTTGTCGTAGTAATAAAATAAAATAAATCATTAAAAACTACACTGAAACTACACCGTTACAAGATTACACATTTCACAAAAAATTCATTATAAAATACATTATTATCACCCAAATCATTAAAACAATTTAAAATTATTAATATATATATTTGTGTGCTACAGTTACTAATAGAACAATCAGGGGGACAGCCCTAACATATATCAACGTCACTACTCCCATACGCACAAGGTTTTTTTAATTCATTTTATTTTATGAGCTTCTTCCTTTAAATTAATATAAATGAATAGTGTTTGCATACAATATCAACAATGCTGTTATAGGCCGAATAATAAACACAATAAAAGGTATTAAACTTTCAACTGTAGCCTATGTCATACAAACACATTTCCTGTTTAATTACCTAAGTAGACGCATACATTTTTTGACAAACAAATCAATATAAACATTTGATATTTTTTTATTCGTTTCTTTACATTCCAGAATTCATTATTTCTTTTTACTATTATCTACGACAAATTTCAAAATTTAGTATTTTGTTTTTAACTGTAATAATAATAACTTAAACCTGTAACAATAAAACAACATATTTCAATAATATATTTGTTTATAATATCATAAGACACTGAAACCTTCAAAGTTAGCTTTCTATACTATTATTATTATCATATAATGGTTATATCAACGATTAGAAGACAAAAGAGTCTAATACACAATTTTAAGAAGAAAAATGAATTGCATCTATATTGCGCTCACACAAAAATAACTGTTTAATAGTTGTTACTCCATACTTCAAACACAATAATAAAAACCTTTTTAAGCTGTCATAACATAAATAAAGTTGTACAATACTAATATCAGTGATGACTACATGAACTTAATCAGTCATAGTGTTATTAATAAAAAAGTATTTTAAGTATACTTTTTTTTTAGAAAAGTTTAATTGATTGCAGTTTACAACAAAGCATGAAGAGTTAACTTTTAAATGCATTTATATTAATATAAAAAAACATTGCATAACCAAATTTTAATTAACAATTGGCTAAATCTATTAATTGACAGGAAAAAGAACAAAAACAAAAATAATTCTAGTAAAAACGCAAAAAGGTTATCAATACAAGTAACCTAATCGTCATTAGGTAGTAAAAAAATTGATTGTGAAGAATTAATATTAAAATTAAAAGAAATAATATGCAAATTAATTAAGAGTTATGAATAATTATACTTATCTTGAATATTCAACCTAACATATTATAAGGTTGTTGCTTAGGTAAGTAGCTAGAATAACAAATTATGTAAACAATTTATACCTACTACAAAATTTCACAATGGTGCATTTTAAACATTATATAAATAGCATATATCATATCAGTGAATATATTTTTTATAATTTTATAGTGGCAATTTAAAATAAATTATCTCGACTGTGTAGCAGTCTAGTTACAAATTTCTATGAAAACAATAGCACATTAAAAAAAGCACTACATTTAACGCAAATTTGATCAAAATGTATGTTTAACTTCACTATTCATTTATACTTTTCCAAATTCAAAAATAAAAAAAAATAGTTATTGGATAATTTTAGAAATACGAATTCAGTAAAAACTTTATCTGTCTTGGTTCCCCTCCAAAACAGAAAAAAGTAAATTTACATATCATTATACTAATAACGACTTAAATATATATTTTATTAATCCTCAATTTGTTTAGTAATTTTATAGTAAAATATGTAAGTTTTCCTGAGTTGTCTATAGAGTACTTAAATAATAATTTGAATTTGAATTTCGTGTTTAAAGGTGTATTGGGTCATAAATCATAACAATTATTCTTCTATAATCTGTTACTTTGCTGCTTTACTGACTCAAGCACCTCCTTTTTAATATATCTATTATATAATATTACAACTTATTTTTCTAAAAGTATAAGGTAGTGAACACTTGACTGTATTTACCACTCCTGTAATAGCAGTAACTTATTGAACTGTAAACCAGCATACCTTAGCCTACTGCTAATTTAAGTAATAAATAATAAATAATAATTTAATTGAAGGATTCAGCCAAATTATGGTTCATGTTAAATTGTTTGCAAAATCGGAGCACTATAGTAAATTTTAATTAGTTTTGACCAAGTAAAAGAATGGTTGTATGCAAATATATTTAACTGATCAAATGCATTTTTACTATTTCTTGATAACACAAATATTATACTTTATATAGCTTTGAAAAAGAAACCTTTGTAAGCAGCATTACTATAAAATTACTGACAACAAAGCAACTTACTGATTTTTTACTGCTATACAAAATTAAAGTTTTTAATTTGTAGCATATATTTTATTCTATATTTATATTATTAATCTTCAACATGAAAACATGGTATATGATATCACTATACAGTTATAAAGGGAATTAATTAGTAATCAATTTTATTGTATAATCAGGAAAAGACGACTAAACTAGGTCACATTAAACATCATCAAATTTAACTAATTTATTCTGACAAATCGAGAAATTCTAGAATAAATAAAGAACAGTGTAAAGGTTCTAACATGAAAAACAATTATGCTGATAAAAAACAAAACCATACAATTTTGGAATATGCATGGAAGATATCAAAATATTATTAAAATCATTTAAGTTTTTTACAATAATTAAGTATATTAATATTAACTAGGATACACACAAGCACAAAGACACAGTGCCAGGACATATTATACATAATCTCAGATAACCAATAAATAGTACTGAATAATAGTTTAATATAGTTAATTTAATACAATCTAATTTTCTAAGTCTATAAACTAATAGAAAATGAATATAAATTTGAGTATACTTCTAATAGATTTATTTTTTCAACTTATGTTGGTATTGACACTAACAATATATACCTGATAGGTATTTGTAGGGATAGGTAGATGAAAAATTGTTATTTTCTTAAAAATTATTTTGCTCTATGCTTATACTTATTGTTTTTAAACAGAAAAGTGGTGCAAATAACTTTTAACAATGATAAAAAACAGCAGGTGTTTGAATTAAATTTGGTTATAACAATGATAGACCTTGGCAGTATCACACCCATATTGGCATGTATGAGTATGTCTGAAATACCTATTCTAGAGTGTTTATGAGCCAATTACAAACCAAAATGTATAGCCTAGTGAAAATTTTGTCAGCCAGTATTGTCCGCATTGCATACCGGTTGCAGTGTAAATTCTACGCAATACACCGCAATACTGTGGTGACAATTTAAATACCTACATTCTTTTTAACCATCCTAATTGGTTTAACGTTGGCATATCGCAAACCTAAACTTTAACAGTACGACTACGATAACATTTAAACGAACAGTACAGACTAATGAAGTTTAGTAATTCATTTGTTACCTACCTGAAAGAACTGGGTGCATGTCACGGCGAGAGTAGATTTAAAATCTAATCCGTCGTGTTTCAACCATCTTCCGTGCGCGGTAAACCGGTGAATGAGGATGAAGAATCCCGGACGATCGCATTATTCATATAAATATTTATTTATGTTATTTGTTATAATAATCCAATATTTATTATTATTATTATCACTGATATTAGATGTGTAGCAGTCGCACACAGTAGTCGTCGTTGCCGTTCACCAGGCCAAAAAAACTGGTACCTCCGTTTTATCACTCGCACACTCACACGGTCGGCGCACGAACAAAACACAACAAAAACACGGTACACGCTCGATCGCAGATTATTTTGAAAACTATACGCAATTGTTATTTTTGCTGTCTTTAGTACTATTGTTGTAACCGGGTACAAGTGCAATATATATCAAATATATTATAACGATGTGCGTATTTTTTAATAGTAATAAACGAAGTATCGGTTGTTTCGACCGGCGAACCGTCGCTGTCGTTGATGTCGAACAGTGTAAATATCGTCTAAACACGAACAAGGTAAACGTTCACCGCCGCTGCTGGTGTTGAGTGGTGGTGCCGCTGCCGCCGTGGTGCAATCACGGTACGCATTCCAATATGGCCGGTTAACACAAAGCGTATACAGTGCACACAACACAACACATGCTTCGTACCGTTGACCCTGACCGTAAAGATTATATTATGGCGCGCGCCGCTGTCCGCGTACACGCACCACACGCAATGGGGCTACCCCAAGGACGTGGTGGGGGAAAAGCAGTGTACACACACTGTACAATTTATAGTATACATATGTATAATATCCTACATTACGTATTACTATTATATATTTATGCGCGCCAGTCGGTTGGTTTGTGTGTGGTGTGTTGTTATGAAACAGACCGTAACCGGTGTTGCCCTTAAACGCGGTATACTCTTGGCAAACACCTGCTGGCTGCTTATAGTTGGTGCTGGTGCTGGTGTCGCGCATCAACAGCAGCTGTTAATATGATTCGCGTTGCAGCACTGTCTGGTCGGCGTAATGTCGTCAACGCGCGCTCACCCCCTGCCATGTTGTAGAACAACGACAAATCGCCAAACGACCAAACGGTCGACGACTAACGGTCAACTCGGTCATTGTCCAAAATAGTGATAAAATATACATCTATTTCTGATTAGCTCATCGTTTAGTGAGCAAATTTGAATATATTATTATTATATTATATAACAGTTATGAGGTGAAAATTAGTAATCTGTAATTGTCGTAGCCCTACTTTACAATATGAGTCCGCCTAGATTGTCAAACACAACAATAACAAACCTCAAATAATACGTTACTGTAATTGTATTTTCCACAAAAAAATGTCTAATTTTAATGATAAAATAATTTAATAGTTAAAAAATTTAACTGAAATAGGCATGATAAAATAAGCCAATGCAGTGGAGGCAGGGGAAGTCACGGGTCTACATGAATTAATACAACTGAAGTGAGTAAACCTTTCTACTTTGGCCCACCACAGTACCAGACCCACACGATTACGGAAAAAAATGTATCAAGACTTCAAAACAAAAAACACATAATTGTAAAACCAATGCCTTCTCGGGTCAAACGGTTTGTTTTAATAAAGCGCGTTTATAATTAAAACATTAAATTTGAGTTTTTTTCGATGAGTGCAATAATTAAAATATGTATTAATTTGTGTGTACATACCTACCATATCCTCGTATTATTACGTTAAAGACTAGTTTGATAGAGAACATAATTTTAAAAAAAATCGTATAAAATAGTTGTTTTTTTTTAAATAAGTAATGATTAATTTTACGTTAAAAAAAAAAAAATTTATTTCAAAATGATGGAAAAAAGTTTTTCAGCCGAGTCTGCAACCACGAAAGAGCATTTTCATGTCCCATTGAAGTACCGAATAAATATAAATTAGTTGTGGAATTATAATTAAAAAAAAAAAAATTACATGGAGCTTCCAGTTACAGCATAAGCCAAGGAGATTAAAAAATTATGTACAATCATGTTTCTGGCTAAAATTGTAGTGTTTATTATCTGGCCAAAAGTAACTTAACATAGTTTAATATATAGAGAATTAAACTGTTTTGAATTTATTATTTAGTTCTAATTTGAACGTTGAACGTACATCATATCTCTTATCTCCTATATCTTACCCCTATCACTCACCCCTATCCCCTACCCCTATATCCCACCCCTATATCCCACCCCCTATCACTCACCCCTATCTCCTGTCCTCAACCCCAACCCTATCCCACCCCACCCCTTATCTCCTACCCCTATTTCCACCTCCAACCCATCTTCGTGTGGTAACACTCTTTTGGTAACTTTTTTTTTCGGTTATTTGCCATAGCTAATTCCACCCCGTTCCCATACCCACCTTTTTTCGTTACGATCTTTTGGCAACGCTCTTTTGGTAACGCTTTTTTCGGTTATGTGCCAGAGCTAAGACATGAAAATGTCAATAAATTTTATTTAGCCACAATTTTCTTTGAAATTAATGAAAAAATCCTTAAGCCGGGATTTGAAAATTATATGAAAGGAGAGAAAACAGTGGCACCTCAATATTTTTTTTTAAACCGACGAAAACTAAAAATTGAAAAATTATACCACATTCAAATTGTAGAATGAGGGTAGCATCATCTTCATTGTACCTACAACCTTAAAAAAAAATGTATTTTCTATCAAATGTAAGTAAAATACATTTTATCACATTGACAGTAGGGGTGATAAGTCGAATTACTTCGAACTGTGATAAGTTAGGACTTAGGTCTTAAATTTGGTCAAGCTTTCGACGTTGAGTTGCACAATTCTCAGATTATATGTTTTAGGTATTCTGTAGTTTTGTTATCGTTTTTATTTTTATCTGTGGTCTTGTGTTGTTTTGTCTTTTATGTTTTTGTTTTTTTTAAATATATTTTTGATATATTAATTATGTACATTTTTGTTAGGTATCGAAAAAGTTATCGTGACTTAAGACACAAAAAAAACATCATTATAAAACTAATACCTTAGCAGCTAACGCATCGTAGCTAACACTTGCAACACGATAATGTTGTATCAGCTATGTAGGTGCAGGCACGTATATTGAAAGGATAATGTGAGAGTCGGAGACTCCATAACGAATCTTATAGAAAAGAGAATAACTCCAGGCGGATCTAGGGTTGTGTAAAGGGGCTTAACAACCCATGTTTTTTTTTAGCTTCATAACCGTATGAATATTAAAACTTACCAGCAATGAAATAATGGTTCGATGTTGGAAAAAACGATTGATATTATTTTCATGATTATGTAATTACTTTTAACAATAGAGTATAAAAATGGTTATGAGATATGACAAAAAACGTTTGTTTACTAGTTGTCTCAGACGGCTCTCTCACTTTTGTAATTTTCGCGTTTGATTAAGAACCCCCTGCTCAGAAAAAAGCAGATGTAGTTTTTGGTAATTTGTATGTATTCAAATTATTGTTTATTATTGTTTAGATATTCCCGTTTGATTTAAGATTAATCCTGACTGCGTGAGGCTAGCAAATACTTATAACAAGTCGAGATGGAGTTCATAGAAAGATGGTTCCAGGTTTGGTTATTAACCATGATATTTCCATTATCACTATCCCACTAGCTGTATTGCTTCGATACAAACAGTAATAATTCAATAAACAACTTTGTTTTGTTTATTCAACGGTATTGGCAATTGACATTTAGCATACCAAATGATGTATGAACAACATTAATATTATAATGACAATGAATAATTCGTTTTTCGTTATCCAATCGATATCTAGCTTGTGCTTTCTGCATAATTACTTATTATACATAGACGTGAATATACTGATAAAAAAGTACAAATATGATAAAAAAAACAAAAAACAATTACCGCGTAGAGTAAAATTCTTGTATGACCAACTCACAGGTTCACATTCTGTGATAGTCGTTCTATATTTATTTCTCCTAATACCAAGGCCATCGCAATCTATATTCGAGATTGTAAGGAAGTTCTATAGGAAATAATAAACACGTTTCTTGTTAACCTGCAATAAACTAATCATTCCAATCGTTTTTTAATAAATTACATAAAATATATTTCATACCCAGACTGTAGTTTCCAGACAATTAAAATTTAAAAATTAAAAGGGTTAGGCAAGAAATGCATCATTTTAGTTTTTCTATTTGGGTAAAGAAATTCGTCTGTGTTGTTCTCAAGAACAGAGTCTTCTTATCGATCATGATACATTACCAACCATCACACCTATAAACAATGAAGTAAGTACAAAATAAGACATACAAGATGACTAAAAAAAAAAAATGATATATTTTGAAAATTAGAATCCTTTAGACAGTAATACAGATTGATGACCATTTCTTAGTGCACTCAGGAACTATCTGCATAGAATTATGAGCTGGAGGGATTTGCTAGGTCAGGTAACAAAATAAAGATTAAAAACCGTGGGTATGTTAATTAAATATGTTATGAAAAAGAATTAACTAGTTTTCGACCGAAAAACCATACCAAAAATAAAATAGTATTTAGTAAAGTTATGTTTAAAAAACATATTTTATAACATTGAATTTATAATAATGTCAACAAAACATGTGAAATGACAACTCTCGCGTCGTCCGTTATTTTGTATGCTAAGATATTAAAACTAGGGGTGTACGAATAATGATAAATTGAATAGTGTGTAATTCGAAAAACTAATTAAGTAATTGATTTTTTGATTAACTCGACTAATTTGATTAATCATGAATAATTTGTTGATTTGGCCGGAAGAATAATGAATAATCATTATTGAATGATTATTGATATTTGAATGAATAATTTGTGAATACATATCAAATCGCGAATAAAGTCATAACATTATTTGTTTGATTATTTGGATGAGTGTAGCTAAAAATGATCTATCAATTAGTTTACAATATTGTATTAATTGAGTCTGCCCTGTATTGTATAATAAATAAATTACAAAATGCAGGATTAAAAAAACGCGGTAAATTAAGATTTAAAATTCCCAAAACATATAGATACTTATAAGTTATAGACAGAATTTCAACTAAAAATTGGATTATTTTCATTGTTTATTTTATTAAATTGTGTAAAATAAAATTTCGTAAATAAAAATGAATAGTTGAATTAACTATATATCTCGAAATATTGGCTGTTTTGAATAAATACTGGTAATATTTATTTTCAAATTTAGTCATCTGCGTATTAGTTTTAACATATTATACTTTTATAAGTTTAAGACTGGCTGGTCCAATTTCAATTTTGTAAAAAGATGGATTTTTGTTGGTTTTATACCTACTGGGTTATGTTGAAAAACGATTTTTATTATTAAAACATAATTTATTTACATCAAACAAGAAAAAATTAACAATCTGTTTTCAATATAACCTAGTAAAGTAGCCAAATAGCTCGTATATCTATAAAGAATCAAAATCGGACCATAAGTAGACATATAAGTAGTAATTAGTCAACATTTTGTCAGGCTTTTTTTTGTCTTAAACGTCAAAAAAGTAGACCACTTTTAATACCCTTACAACAATAAAAAACCCATTTTAGTTTCAAAAAATAAAATCGTCTTCATTATATTAAATTGAGTCATTAATTTAATAATTAATGATCTCGAGTATGGTAATCATGTGATGGTTATGTAATGTTGTCTATGCCACATTGTGTGTACCTATAACCAACTGACCACCAATCCAATCCAGGTACCTCACATGCTATGCATGTAGTCACTGCGTGTAATTATTTAAGGTTTAGTAATTTTGTGAGCTGTATAAATAATAATAGAATATATTAACTTGAAATTCCATTAGCACCCAACAATAATATCAAGAAGTTTCTTTGGTAAAAATAATTTTTTTATTATTTTGTGCTTTATACATTATAGAGTACAAATTAGGAAAAGAACTTTTTCTTTTGCTAAAATTAAATAAGACTTACACAACGTTTTATTTTAAAAATAAGTAAGATACCTCTAATAAGTAGTTACCTCTAAGCACTAAACAATATGCCTTTTGCATCTCAGTCATCGTATTGATGCTGTAGGTATGGTACGGTAGGTAGATAAATATTTCTTTTTCTTCGTTACCTTTACTTTTCTTTTTTTTTAATCGAATTATTCAAGTTATTAAAAAAATCAATTATTCAATTTTTTTTTTTGAATTGAATACTATTCAATTCATTATTATTCGTACACCCCTAGTTTTGTATACATTGTTAAAATAATTTGTTCAAAACGTTGATAATTTAATACCTAATGGTTTTATGCTTTTATCAATTCAAAACACGAGCCCGAATGAATAGTGACCTATTTATTATTAATGGGCAATGACACCCATCCGTCTAGATTTTAATATTTAATTTAATGTTTACAAAGTTTAAAATAGTGTCTACCAACATAGACTTTGATAATTAATATAATAATGTAATATCCTATTAAATGTTGGTACCTATTTAATCAATAAACTAAGCCTTTTAATGTAAATCGAATATCAATATTAATCTCTGTTTAATAAAACAAATTTAAATTCCTTTATTCTTTTTAACGTTTGCTGCATGTAAATCGTCTGTATTAGAGAGTGGTCAACCCGCTAATGCTAAATGTTCTTTGATTGAATGATGTATACGGTTTATATGTAAAAATGGGGCTAGGTATTTTTGTTCAAGATTTTTATTTTGTACACAGCTTTGAGTTTGGCTGCCGGTAAATTGACTATATGGGCACTCTTATATGAACTATATGTATGTGTATATTATACATATATTTCGCCTTCTCATAAATGTTCAGGAACGCCCTTGCCCTGGATTTACATAATATAAAAATGTACGTCATCACGTATTCATGCAAATCTGTCATATCATAGTGACACTTCTGTAAAACATTTTACCCCTTTATTATATGTTACATTCAATGTAGGCATAATATTATTACATATTGTTATATTATAAAATATTAACATGTTAATTGGTATCATACCTACGAATATAATATTATAATATACTGTTATACCGCAACTATGTCTATTTCTTATCAAATATCATGATCGCAATTTGCATGAATTGCTAGCGTTTGACGACGGATGTCGGATCGGAATATTCTGATTAATCGGAAATCGGAAATGTTTTTATGTGTAATAGTTTAATGTTTTGTTTTAGCAATTGTATAAAATGCAATCATAATGTCAATTTTTAGTGATATTAAGCATTAACTCGGTACTATCGACCGGGAGCGATGTACGGACAAGCCTAAAAAGTAACCGCGTTTTAATTCGGTATACATCGGCCGTCCGAATGCCGTCGACCGTCTAATCAATTTAAAAAACAATAGTAGACTGTAGATACCATGCGTAAGATGATGAGAATGGTCAATGGGTAGTGGCTAGATTCGTATTTGTTAAACCGAAGATCACGATGGATCACAGCCACCGCTGGCTGTTTTGATCGTTCTCACCCGAAAACACAATATTAGTTTACTGATTTTCATGACTCGACTTCAGCCGTTCTGACTACATCCAATAGCGACATGTTTCGACTGTGAACTCAACGCGACATCACACACTGCTATAAATCACAAAGAAAACGGGTAATTTTGTTATGTTCAACATGTTAATACTCGCATTAATTTCTGTCAGTTATTAAGGTACTTTACATTTTTAATACTTATATATAGGGTGCGGACTGAGCCTAAATACAGGCCCGAGTTATATAATTATGCTCACAAACCACATAGGGTTAAGATACCATGAAATAATCAATTTCATAATCTCAAATAGCCTAAAATCTTGACAGCCCAGCTAGTAATTGTTCTTTTTCTCTACAAGCCAGACCGCCACTGCTTATGTAATATAATACATTAAGTTTTGAACAGCTCAAACATGAGATCTTACGAATCAAACAAAGTTTGTTACTAATCAAAACGTTATTAAAACTATAACATTTTGTTGATGTTTTTTATTTCAAACTTTTAAAGTATTATCAACATAAGCTAACATAGAAACATTAAATTATAACGCTTGAACCGAGGATAGTCCTATGACTTAATAATTCAAGCTTTTCGACTAGTTTGTCTTTTTTCTTAGATATATTGTTTTATTTTATGTTTATAATTTATTCAATATTTTCTTTTTGATAAATATATAAATTTTGGTCTATTCTCTTTTACCACAATTGTGTTATAACTATCTAACCTATGACCTTGACAAACTACCCTCTTAATATTATATATTTCTTTTTGTACTATGTACAGTCTTTTAGAAAAGTATTGATACAAATTTTAACTAATTACATGTAACGTATGTTCAAAAATTTAAATAGATGCAAAATGACTACAAAAGACGAAGATTCTATAAATTGTAATGAATTGGAAAGTGAAGAAAAAGACCAGGTCAAAGGACAAAGTGATAGCAATACAGTTAAAGTAATATAAACACACACCTGTATATATATATATATTTATATATAGTTAATTTCCTTATGTAATTAAATATAATTGTGTAAATAGAAAACTCCAAAAATGGATTTAAATAAGTCAGATCTACTAAAGCTGTTGGGTTATTTAGAAGGCGAGCTTCAAGCAAGAGACGTCGTTATAGCAACCCTTAAAGTATGTATTTTCGTCAATTGTATTAATTCTGTAGTGCTAGGGCAAAAAGGCATAAAAATAAGTCCACCTATCCTTTTATTCTTTCTTTCGACTAAGTAAATATGATTTAGAGTTTAACTATTTTATCAATAAGAAAAAAATGGTTACCTTATTTAACCTAAAATTGTAATTTGGACTTGTCTTCTACCCAAACACTACAGAATTAATTGTAAGTTAAATATGTTTTTGATATACCTAACCATATCATATTATATGCTGTTGAGTAATGTGCGCAAATAAAAATAATACTACACTCCACCATTGCTCCTGTCCTAAATTTTTAACTAATAATATTAAATGTAATGACATATTAAATGTAATAAGTTTCAAAAGTTACCTTACTTATCTATATCTGGTTTTTGAATAAAAGGACGATATGTATATATATATGAGAGGATGAGTGGCTAAGGCTTCAGTACGTTTGACGCTTTCACTGGTTCAACACTCACGGGTGCTCCATTGGCCAGGCGAGAAATCATCTGGTGAAAAGGAGCCACCATCTCCCTCTCTGGCAATGGATTGATGACCCTTCTCGGCTAACGAATTAATCTAGAAACCTTAATCTCATGATGGCAGTGTTGGACCTAAAAGGCCCGTTAGGCTGATGCTGATAGTTCACAATCAAAGTCTTTGGTTGTTTAGTGAGTGCGAGACTCACTTGATTGATTATTTAGCCGCCAATTGTTTAGTTTTACTTTTAAATCTTTTATATACCTTATGCCAAGACATCCAGTTGTGTTTCTACAAAAATTGTAATTGTTAAAACGATGTTTGTGTTTGAGCACTTGTTTTTTGATGTTATCAAACTTTTATTATACATTTTTTCAGTTTAATTGCAACACTGCCTATCTTATTTTTCTCAACTTTACAGAAGAGTAAAAAAATCAGTTTCAATTACCATTTATTGACATTATGAACATGTTAACAATTATTCGATTATAGCATTATATACAGAGTGATTTTTTCATCATATTGAGGCCACTCAATATCTGAGGGTTCAATGAGAAATTAAAATGTTTTTTTTTATATAGTTTTTATACAATAAGATCTCAGTTTTTCACAACTTTTTTTGTTTTGCCCCACCTCCCAACTAAGTTTTTTTGACAGTAACTTTTGAATTCTGAATGGTAATGTAGAGACTTTATTATTTTTTTTAATTGAGAATAATGTACCAAAAATGTTGACTAGTCGATAATCAGTTTCGCATAACTCTTTTTGAAGTTATTGGAGTTTCAAGTTTAGGGCAGGCAAAAAGGTGGAAGTAGTATTATTTTTATCTGCGTTTATTTCCCAACCGCACTTCCCCTCCCATCATAACTTTAAAAATAGTTGTCCAAAACTGGTTATCAACCAGTCAAAATGTAAAGAGTACATTATTCTAAAATTAAAAAGTTAATAAAATATTTGCGTTACCATTCAAAATTAAATAGTTTTTGTCAAACTAATTTGGGAGTGTGGTAAAAACAAAAAAAAATTGAGATCAGATTATATAAAAAAACATGAAAAAAAACTAAATTTTTTATTAAACTTTACTCCATATGATAAAAGGCCCATGATAAAAGAATCACCCTGTATTGACTTTATCATAAATCTCAGCCCCCCCCCCCCCAGTCAATTCAAAGCAAAATTTTGAGTTGTACAATATTTTCATAGTAAATACAGTAATAAACAATTAGGCCAAAATTTGAGAAAGACTGTGTTGCCACTTAAGTGACATTTTATACTATTCAGTGGCGTATTTTGAGGAGTGTCCATTTTTTTGGTACTACCTGGTGTCCGTAATTTCTATATTTGTATTTTTGTATAGCCTTTTTTTCACAAATGCCGACCACTAAAAACTTAGTAAATATTTATAATATCATTTTTTTATATAGTTATAAATTAAAGATTTTTACTCACAATATTTGATTATAATACATATATTTTTTGTATTCTATTTTTTTTTCTATAACAAAACTTAATTTAATTAAACTAAAATCAAGAAATAATTTTTTTTATTTAGTTCTTGCAGTACAGTGTCGGTCTCTACGATTACGGTTTTTGCTAATGACCATTGGTGCTGACTGCCGAGGCCAATTCTAATTTAAACAAATATATTTTTGAAAGTTTTAATGTAAAGTTATATAACACTTATAGAATGCCTTTGTCTTTGTATTATATAAATAAGTAGTTTTATTATAAAAAAAAAATATTATTTTGTTGTATATTTAATACAAATTTGACATGTATAATACATTTTCTTTTTAGCCAGAAGGGTGTCCAGACACCGTGGACACCCCCCAAAATACGCCACTGTTACTATTATCCTGTTAAGAGATTCTCAGATCTGTTTTTGTCCTGATAATTGATGTACATTGGTCATTGTTACATTCATATCCTTCAGTTTTTAAAAAGTTATGCTTTGACAGCAAGTTTTTCCTCCTGTGTGATAACTCATTGTTTTATTTAAGTATTTATATCTATTTATAAATCACAAGTACATATTTTAATTACTTTTATAGTGTGAAAAAATTAAATCTATGCTGCGAAACAGAGGAAGCGACTGCCTCATAAAAGATCCATTAGCTGCATTACAACGTGATTGTTTTGCAACTTTTGATACCAACAACGATAGTCTTTCATATCAACAACTAGGATCATTGGAAAATCTCGTACTACAACAAAGGAGAACTCATTTGAGGATAGCAAATGTTTTAAAAGATAATCAAATTATGCATCACAAGGTAAATCACAAAATATATTATTTATTTTCTTGTTAAAAACATAGTATTACAAATAATTTAATTTGTAGATTCTTGAACTCGAAAGATTAAAAAAAAAACAATTGGAGTACGAGTATAAAAAATTGCAACACACTATGGAAGAAGAAAAAATTAAACATAAACAAATAGTGTTATTTTTGTTAGCAGAAAGGAAAAAAATTGTGATGAAATATATAGAAGAAAGAAAACGGTCTGAAGATTTAGGACAAGTAAGTTATGAGGTGTATAACTTATATTATTAAAATAAATAGAATTATATCATGGTCTTGTATGTTTTTATTATTATAAACATTTCTATAAAGGGTTCTTTAAAAATATAAAGCTAATACTAGATAAAAATCATTATTAAAATAAAACATAATTCTTAAAGCAAGAGACTAACTTGGTAAACAAGCCATAAAAAAAAAGTATAAAATATTTATCATCATCAGCTTAACAGGACTTTAAAGACTAACACAGCTATCATGAGATGATGGTTTCTTGACAAATGCACTGTCTAGTATGGGTCGTCAGTCCATCGGACGAGAGGAGGATGGCTCTATTTTACTGGATGATTGCTCGCCTGTGACCGAGTGTCAAATGAGCGCTAATACCTTACCCACTCGTCCACCTAAAATATAATAAAATATTATATCATTTTATATCATTTGTCTATGCAAACAATAAACGGGTTCTTTTATTGACTTATTTACCGAGTCTTTCTCATTGCAATTGGCTCTTGTTTCAGTGTTAATGGGAAGACTACTAGTATTGGTTATCTGTGGTTTCCTATAATTTAATGAAACGTCTTTAACTAAGTAACTTAATGAATAATTTTTTTATTTTGTTTTTAGATATTAAGCGAAGAAAAAAGTAAAATAGATTCTATGGCTGAAGGACTTGAAGAAGAAAGTAAAAAAGCTTTGCAAATGGAAGCCGAATTAGAAAAACATTTAGCTTTATTTGATAGTGAAAGCAAAAAAATGGCAACAGCTTTAAATGCCGAGGAGAAAAAGTAAGCAATTATAAATTTGTTCATTGTTACATAAGATACTTAAATAAGTATTTTTATATATTAATATGGGGGTTTATATTGAGTGTTTTTGCTCATGGCCATTTCTCTTAATTTGTATTTTAGAACAAAGACTTTAGAAACAGAATTAATAAAATGCCGAAATGAGATAACTTCGTTAGAGAAAGTACTAAGTGAAGCACTTCAAGATAATCTACCAGAACTTTCAAGCCGTTCAGGTAATATTTATTTTCTCTATTATTCATTATGAGGGTGAACAAGTGACGATTGGATAGAATGATAGTGTTCAGTAATTATTATTACTGGTTTGACATTCAGTTATAAGACTAATATAGCTTTGTTTACTGAGTAAGATCTGTTCAAAATGAGAAACTTTATTGAACTTTATTCAATAAAGTAAAAAGGAGCCGCAATCCTCTTCCTAAGTGACAGACTAACAACCCGTTCTGAATAAGAGTATTTGTAAGGTAACATCCATGGAGCAGTAGTAGCCCTTAATGGGTCGCTTAACCTGTTTTCTTTTTCATTATGTGTATATTTTTATTAGTATTTACAACTTAGTTTAATATGTTTATTTAAATGTAAATAACTAATCTGTTATAGTTTCGAGTAGTCGAGTTATTTCTTCTCCAAGTGATCCAATTATGAGCAGTGTAGCAAAAGTTGTTCAACCTACAGCTACTGCGTCAAGTGTTCGTGTATCGGGTCCAAGTAATAACATTACAGTGATATATATTTTAAATAACATAAATTATAATTTAGCATTCAAACAAATCTAGTAATTGAACCAAAAGTGCATATGCCATGTTTTTTTATATTCATTAATGAAGTTTGACTTTAACTTTGTTGTAGCTTAAGTATGTCAATTATTGTTTTGGTTTCTCAATCAAATTTCTATTATTTGTTCTATGAATTTAAAGAATGTTATAAAACTAATAATTCTTAAAAATGAAATTTGTTATCCTTTAAAATATTTTATTCTTATTCTTTGATTCTAACCATATTAATTATAATATTATTTTACTTAACATAATCTAACTATAACAAAACATTTTTTATTATTAGTGACTGGAATAGCTCAATCAGTTAACCCAGGACAAAGTTTAAGAGGTATCCGATGTACTGCTGGACCAATTAAAGATCCTCAGGTAATTTTATGAGCGTGTGTTTTTACTATTTATACTATTTATGTGTGTATTATGTATATGTTTTTGAGTAATCTAGTTTTAAAATCACATTTAAAATTTACATTTGTATTTCAATTGTATCAGATGTGTAAAATATAATTGTAACTTTAATGTGGAGCTGAGAAAGCATTGTTTTAAAAACGTCTAGATCATGATATATTTTAAACCATTAAAACAATTTCTTTATAGAGAAAAATCTATAGATCAGAAATCGTACCTGACAGGTACTTTACTGGCCCAAAGATTTAAAAAATTTACCTCATCTCCTTTTAAATCGAGAAAAACTTTTACAAATGTTTTATTTTAAAAATAATGGTGCGCTATACCTTTTTTAAAATAGTCAAATTAGTTCCGAATTGTATGAAACATTCTGTAAATATACGTTTGGAAGTATTAAATATCCTTTTCCCCAGAAAGGGTGGAAACTTTTTCCTTATTTCTCTTTTCGAGCATAATTAAAGGACTTAAGGTCTGAAAATTACACTTTGACCATTGTGTAAATTAATCAACAATCAACAGGTGTCAAAAAGAGTATTTTTATTAGGTTGTTAAATACTATCACATTAACACATTATTACAGGGATCACCTGTAATCGTTCTACCTGAACACTAAAAATACAATTAAAACACAATATTGGCGATACAATAATTTTTATTAATATTTAATAATTGAAAATCTAAAACAAATTGAAATTTTAAATCTAAGCATTTTTTTTTTTAGTGTTCTATTACTTATTAATTACTTAAATTTGGATTTTTAGGTTGAAAAGATTAATTTTGATGAAGACCCGTCATCTTCCTTAGGTACTATAAAAAAGCAGCCCATAGCTTTTGGTCGCAGTATGCAATCATTAGACGCTAGCCCATCAAATTCAAATATTAAAAAATCATTACTTGGCACTCAGAGAAACATGTCCGTACCCAATGTTTTGTCCGAGAATGTAGTAAAGAAACAACAGACTACCTTGAATCGCGGTGCGCCACCACCGGTTCCGCCTAATAAGCCTGTAATACCTCCGAAAAAGGACTTATCAATGATTAAAAAACCACAGTCTGCCGATAATATTACTGTAGTAAATGATAAGGAACAAAAAGACTCTGCACTAAGGCATACCAATTCAACGCCTATTAATTCCAGAGAGACCTCTACAGAGAAACAAGAAGAAACAGTAAATAATTAGATGATTCGATATTATGATTTGGTTAGTTAAAACCAATTAATTTTAACTTATCAATGTTTCAAGAAAGCAGACTTCATTTTTCTTGGAAATAGAAAGTCATGTGGATTCTGGCAGATACTTTTCAGAAAGTTTGTTCTGCTAAAAAATAATGGAAGAAATCTACTGAAATTTTACATTTATATAATTTTTTAGTTTTAGTTATATTAATATTATTTGATTTTAATATAAACCTATGGCAGCCTACTTATTAAAATGTTCCTAACCCATGTAGCTAGTTATAGATGTAATACTGTTACATTAAAAAAAAAAAACAAAAAATATATTAAAAACACATACATCACTATTGTATCAGTAAAATTAAAACTTAATTATTTTATGACTTTTATATTAGCTTTCATGTACTATAAAAGTTATTTTTTTGAAAATGTCAATTGATAATATCTAGAATTGCTTAGATAAATAATTTCTTTTTATGTATTAAAGAAATATAATTTTTTTGGTACATCCTTAGACTGTTACCATTAATATTTGTAAGGCACAGGGGAAAACAGTAGTTAACACATTATAAAAATTTCTTTTTTTCAATTTATGCGATTAATTTTTTTTATTTATGTCAATAGATTGTTTAAATAAATACATATTTTATTAGAATAACATTTAATGTAATATTTTTTTTTTCTATGTAAGAGGGAGAGGCATTCACGAACTTTGTTTTTGCTATACTTTAAAAATTTTAATAACATACTACCGTTTTTCCCCTGTGCTCTTCAATTTTATTAATTTATACTTTTTCTTTTCTTATCTGATAAAATTATATACCTTTTCTTATTATATTCCAAACAAAAATGTCCAATATACAATCTGTAATTAAAATTAATTCCTAGAGTTCTACTTTTTAGTTTTTCTATTAATTTAATACTGTTTTACTAACCTAACAAAACTATAGTTAATATAATGTTTTATAGAAATTCACATTATACCACCCTGCCAACATATTATGTGTCATAACATAATTGTAACTTTTGTCATTAGATTATATTTTGTAGGTGGTGACAATTAATTTTAAAAAATGTAGCTAATTTATTTTATATTTGTAACAATATTTATAACAAGTAATATAGCAATAAATCTTAAAATGATATCACTAAAAAATTTAAAAATTCAGACTTAAAAAAATAAATATTTAAGATGTTGATACAAAACGTATACATATGTGTAATAATAATAAAAGTAGTAAACAAATATAAAATATTATTATTTATAATTTAAAAAAAAATGCAAGTGTTCACTCAATAATAATTTAAAAAATTAACAATAATATTAAATTAATTTCTCATTGTGTTTGGAAAGTAAATGTGAAAATCATGATTCACAAGTTGAACATTGAGTTTAGTCGGATGCAAAGACCACTGCAGTCCTAGAAGGCAAATACAACTGAAAAAAAAAATTAATATATTTTTGTCACTTTTAAACATGGTTAGAAATAACAGACTAAAATTAACTGTATAAATAAAATAATTTCTGTTCGCAATTTAGAATAATCAAATATTAATATTTCTTTGAACAAACAAAATTAAACACTGAAATTAATTGATGATACCAGTGGAACAACACTGGTAGATTTTTTTCTCAACACATGACTAGAATATTTGAATCGATGATTCCAGAAACGTTACAAGTCACTTTTTGTTATAAAATTAAGTTTTTAGTAGACACCGTTCCAGAAAAAGGGTTTCTATTCGTTCAGTTTATAAGAAATTATCTCATGTTTCTGCAATCATGAATTCAAATAATATTAACATATAACTACTTTTGATAAAACTGCACATGTCAATATACCATTTATATTTTACTTATTTGTTCATAAATGTTATTTTAAAAATTCTTAAGTATTCTTTAATATAAGATAATAGTATAATTCTTGGTTACTTATGCCATAACCAGTAACAATAAAAAACAGAATTATACCTTTGATTTAGAAATATTTATTGCATACTTTATTTTATGATCAATTTTATGTTAATTAAAAATTATTAAAAACATTAAAATAACCCCCTTCCCCACCCAATGTAAAGATTGTATAAAAACGTTTTACCACATAATTTACTTACTTTATATATACACACTTAGTAAACTACGGTTATTATAATGTAAACAAATTGTATTATTTATTATTAGTGTTATTGTTTTAATTTGTATATACTCCTGTATAGTTTCAGTAAGTATAAATATTATAAGCAAAGTTCTTGTGCTTTTTAAAATGTTTAGTAAATATATAGATTAAAGAAATAATATCTGAATATAGTTCTGTTAATATTTTAACATACTAAAATACAAATGTAGAACTTAACTTTGCGAGTTCTTAATAAAAAAAAAATAGTTTATTTAATAATACTGAGGGGTTCGCTGTTCTTGGTATTAAGAGGGCTTCGCACAGCCCATTTTTAAGGAGTAAAGTATAGGCAATGTTATACAAAATCTTAATTTTAAGGTTAAACTGTGATGTATAATTATTAATTCAATAACTAGGACTCTATTTTGGAAGTTAATTTATTTTTTGGACTATCACAGCATCCTTGAAAGCGATTTAAAAATGTTTTTTCATCTCAACTTGTTTAAGCAGACTGAAAATAACTCGCTTAATTTTGGATTTAGAGTAAAAGCGCTCATTATAAAATTAAACGAAAACAATATTTCGAAGGCAAGACAGTGCGTTTTTTTCATTATTCTAAGTATAACGCTCAATACATAGTTTAGAAATAACGACTATTTTAACATTTTTAAATGACTGTAACTTTCCAAAAGATTTAATTTTTTTTAAAAACGCACCGTCTTGCCCTCTGGAATATTGTTTTCTTTTAATTTTATAATGGGTGCTTTTACTCTAAAACCAAAATTAAGCGAGTTATTTTCAGTCTGCTTAACACTCATTTTAGTTCACTCACTGCAGTTGACACTCATTTTATTTTAAAATTATACTATGAGTCATCACATGTCCTATCTATCAAAGTTTAGGAATACTTCTAAGTTAAATAATAAGATAACTATTTTTTAATTGTAGTAACAACTAACAAGAGTGAATTTACTATTGCATAAATAAACATGTTGAGAAATAATATTTATTAAAATAATATATGTTTTTTTAATGGTGTCGAATTTCTTATTATACTCAGTACTAAAAATTAAAGTTAAATTTAATTAAATTTCACTTTCAAATTCATTCATTAAATTTCAAGTAATTAAAAATTACTTGAATAGTTTTTTAAAAATTCAATTAAACTGCAATGTTATAGTAAATAAATCAATGTATAAATGATATAGTAACTTAATAATAAAGAAAGGCCTCTTTCTTGATAATGGTATAATAGTTAAATAACCAGAAAATTATTTTAGTTAAACACTAATTATACCAATTACATTAGCTTTATTTTTATTTATTGTTAAAAAACAGTTAACTTACATAAATATGATTTTGGCGTTCACTCCATTGACCAGAGTGTGTTGAATATTTAATATTGTTATCAATACGACAATGTCCACCAAATTCTGAGTCATCACTGTTCAAAACAATTCTTAAAGAACCTTGTAAATCAACACCTATTTTGTAATCCGTGAAACTTTTAGTAGGGTGAAAATTGAACACAAACAAGAGGTTATTTCTTTCGAAAGCTATTACTTTATCATCTTCGTGTTTCAAGCTTACATAACCCTGTAATTATTTAGTCAATAATTGTTAAAAAATCTTGTCAATAATGCAGCGACATAAAGTATTGATATTTACTGGATTAGCACTCAACCATCCATATTTGCTTTCTAGTTTATTCATGCTTCTATCAAAATTATTCAAAAATTTATATTTTAGAAGTTCATTATCAACTAGATTCCATTGTCGTCGTGCATAATGATACGAACTTTGATTACCCTCCCGAGGAAAATCTAACCACTCGGGATGACCAAATTCATTGCCTAAAAAATTACATTTAAATATAGTATAACAGTTGAGGTATACACTTTTCAATTAATTATTCTTTACCAATGAAATTCAAATAAGCTTCACCACCCAGACTGTGAGTGATTAATCGAATCATTTTGTGAAGTGCAATTCCTCTATCAATAATTAATGACGGATCACTAGTAATAGACATATGAGTATACATTTCTTTGTCCATTAACCAAAATGCCACTGATTTATCACCAACAAGAGCCTAAGAAAAAAACAACAATTAACTATGAGATGAAAATATATATACAACCATAATTAAAATTTTGATATACATCATTATAATCTAAATATTACCTGGTCATGGGATTCAGCATATGCAACAGTTTTCTCCATCCATCTTCTATTAGCAAGTGTGTGAACTATATCTCCCATGTTCCAATCATCATCCTTAAATTCTTTTAGTAACTTGATCCACATATCAGGTATAGCCATTCCTAAGCGATAATCAAATCCCAGTCCTCCTTCTCTAACAGGACGACAAGTAGATGGCATTCCGGAGACATCCTACCAAAATTATGCATTGTATACACAAAAAAAAAATGTTAGCCTTATTATTTCTTTTAAAAATTACTTCTGCTACAGTAACACATTCTGGATAAAAGGTGTGGAGAATATCATTTGCTAACATTAGGTAAACTAGTGCATCAGTATCGACATTGAGTCCGAAATAATCATCGTAATGTCCGCTGAACCCCTGTACTCCTCGAGAATGATACAACATAGAAGTTACACCATCAAATCTAAAATGTTAAATAATCATTTTAATATTTTATTAACATACAAATATACTTTATCAAAAAACATTTACCTGAAGCCGTCAAAATGATATTCCTCAACGTACCAGCGTAAATTGGATAACAAAAATCTTAAAACTTCATACCTAAAAAAAACATTCTATTAGCTAAGAATTTTTTAAATTTTAAATTTATGTTTATTTACTCAGAATAATTAAATAGTCTACTATCCCAAAGCGGATGATTTCCTTTAGGTCCATCATGGAAATATCCTGCGTTTGTACCATCAAACTGATTCAAACCATCCAAAACGTTTTTGGATGCATGAGAGTGTACTACATCTAACATCACATATAAACCTTTACTATGTGCAACATCTACTAACTCTTTAAGGTCTGCTGGTGTTCCAAAACGACTGAAATATGATGATGTTTAATGTAAATATATAATAATCTAAGAATATATATTAATGAAACTGCAGTAAATATAGATAATAATAAAAGTGTGATTTATTACACATACTTCTAAGTTAAGTAAATAATAAATTACCTAGATGCTGCAAAAAAACTGGTTACTTGATAGCCAAATGATGCATAATAAGCATGTTCCTTTATCGCCATTATTTGAATTGTATTGTATCCTAAAAACAAAAATGAAGTACTATCATAGAACATTACATTTCATACCATATAAAATATTTATAATTTTACCCAAATCAACAATTCTATCGAGCATTTTATCTTTAAATTCTTGGTATGTTCCCACTTTATACTCAGATGTAGCAATACCAACATGGCATTCATATATTCTTAAACTTGCTGGCTTGGGTACTTTAGCATGTTTAAATTTGTATACCTTAAAAAAAATAAGGTGGTATAAGAAAAGGTAACAAATTGAAAAATAATTATGTTTTATTTAATAACATTAAAATTCCTGTTAAACAAAAATATTTTATTAGTATACAAATATGTTATAATCATGTTTTGGCCAGAAATATGTCTTAAAAATATTGTTTAAATATTTTATTATTCTTAAACGAAATTACAATATTTTAATAATATTTTGTAAGCAAAATTTCTGAGATATCGAATTTCTGACCAAAAATATCAGTATTGTATAATAGGTAAAATACTAAAAAATAATTACCTTTTTATTATTGTACTACTTATAAAATATGGTATTTATTTAGTAATCAATACTATAAAATCTTACGTGATCAGATGGATTCCAAACTCTATGCTTAAAAGTCACTCCTTGCTCTTTTGGTGGTTGAACTACGTACGTAGCCCAAGGTGATATACGATCATGTTTTTCCCCGTGATGAGTTTCAACAACAATCTAAAATAAAACACTAGTTAATAAAATATTTGAATTTTATTTATTTAAAATCGAATACTTTTATTTCAGACAAATGATTAATAGACGGCGACCCATCACTTTTTGGTGGTATTGTTAATTCCCATTTTCCATATTCAAGTTTTGTGTAAGGTGTGTTTTCCCTATTCCAATCATCTACACAAACATTTAAAAGCAGATTATAAGTGATGAATTGGTTTTTTCCAAGTATAGGTATATGTGTAGGCTTAAGGAAATACCAAGTTAAAGAAATAGATATTTTAGGTAGTTATAAAATTTACCTTATACATAGAATACAATTTATCATGGCACTCCATCTAATTTCTGTTATACAAAAGTAAATATTTGTTTTAAATTATTGAATATTGAAAAATCCAAAAATATTTAACGAAATTTTCGAGTTCAATAAAAATATAGTCTTATTTTATAAATAAAAGCTTAAATATATTTATTAAACATAACCTTAAAATTTAGTTTTTACTACATCCAAAATTGTATTTATTGGTGGGAGTCACTAGTTTTTAAAGCCTAAAGAAATCTTATATACATTCGTCGTAAGTATGCGTGCCGCACACATATATTATTAATTATAAAAAATTTACTTGTGATTTTATCACAATCAAATGCTTTGATGAAATTTGTAAAAATAGGAAGAATCCAGCCATCATCAAGAAATCCAGTCAAGATAATATTTTTGAAACATTGGTTAATATTTTCCATAAACTTTGAAAAACATTGTAGTGTGGATACATTGAATTTTTAGTTACGTTATTGTAATTGACTTATTAGTTTTTAATTTTTGATAAGGAAAGTGGATTTCACATTTATTACACGATTATAATATGTCAAAAAGATATGCCTAACCTATATTGAAAAATACAAACTTATATTTAAGCTTTTATTTATAAAACAGGACTTTTATTTAATTCGAAAAAGGATGTGGAGGTTAAAATAATTGTGTTTAAAATTATTAATTTTTGTGCTCTAATAGTTGTCCGTGTTTAACTATTATCATACATTTACGACCAAGACACACTTTATCAAATACATTGTAATTAATAAGATACTAATAGCGGTTTGCACTTACTAAAATCACCAGCAAGATACAATTGTTTTGCTCCAGGAGCCCATTCCAAGCAATACACTGATCCATCATCTTTGAAGTGAATACCAAATGATTTGTAACTTGTAGTAAATGTTTCTAAACCACAATCTGATTTTACTCTTTCCAAGTAATCGAGGAAACAACCATATCTAATAGGTTATTTAAAAAAATGAAATCTATATTAAATACATAATAACATAGTTTAATTAATTAAAAAAAATAACATGCTATTGAAACATAAAATTCCACAGCACTTGATCTATGTAAACTGTATCTATTTAGTATAAATGATGCATTATAAAAAATACAATAATAATACTAGTCTACAATTGTATTGTTATTTACACAAATATTACAATTATATCACTTAAGTATGTAACCAGCAGTTTTAAACTATAATGTGTATATTGACAGGGGGAGAAGAGCATTTCATGTTAAGACATTCAAGGGCGCCTACAGGAAGGGGTGGGGGGCAGCTCCTCCTAGCTCATCTTTCAGTTAAAGAAAATTATATCCAATATCGAAATTTCTATTTTGACATACCAGAAAAACATACCATATTTTGCCACTTTGTACAATACCTATTTTAAAATGTATCAAATTGACAAAAATTAATGTCTTATTATAAAAAAAACTTCTGCTATCCTACCACTAAAATAATACTACATTTCACCCGTCCTAAACTTAAAGCAAAAATATCTTTAAAAATTACTAATCAAACTAGTTATCCAGCAGTCCACATTTCTAGTAAAGTTTCCTGAACCTATAAAGTTAATAAAATATGTTACCACTTAAGTTCAAAAATTGATAAAATTCTATAATTCACAAAAACAATGTAAAATTAGAATATTGTTTAATATCTACTATACAAAAGCATTAACCAAAATGTCTCCAAAAAAAGAAATTACAAAATTATAAGTATTTTCAGAAAATATTATATATTATATTAAATGGATCACTCTGTATGTATACTTTAATAATATAATATTATACAGATGATCATGGATAAGGCACTCATTTTCTTTTAAAATAATTATACTTTTGTTTATTAATTTATACAACCATAGTCAAAAAATAATAATTGTATAATTTTTATTAGATAAATATTTTTATATTATTCTTTATGTTATTTTCATATATTTATACCATAAATACAGGGTGATAAATTTAATGCAATAATTTTCTATTAAAATATTGCAATTTTGTAATTATATTCTTTTTGGAGACACATTTGTTAAAGTTATTTTACAATATTAGCATTCCTTATTTTTATTTTTACATACAATGTATTATTAATCAATAATCATCATTATCATGTAGCTTAATGCCATCAAGAGATGGTAAACGTACATACTTAAATAAGTTTTTAAATTAAGAATATTAAGAAATTAAGAATTTTCTGAAAGTTTTAACTGGCTGATAACTAGTTTTGGAAATTTACTTATTAAGTTTAAAATTTAGGACAGGGGTGGAGTGCGATAGCGTAATGCTATTATTGTATGTTTATCAAAAAAATAATACTACACTCTACTTTTTCTGCCATCCTAAAATTAAAAATGTAATAACTTTAAAAGTAATGACTCAAAACTAATTATCGGCTAGTCAACATTTTCAGTAAATTATTCTTAATTTAAAAAGTTAATTAAATATATACATTAGCATTAAAGTTTCAAAAGTTGATAGAGCTCTGGAAACACTAAAATAGGTAAATACTAAGTAAGTTTATACTATTATAAAATAACATAAGCAACAATGTTTTTTTAAAAGAATAACTACAAAATTTCAATTATTTAAAAAAATTAAGTGTATTATCCTTAAATGATCACCCTGTATATCTAATAAACTTGTCAAAAAGTACAGAATTAAAATCGGTCTTTTCGAAAAAAAACCTTGTTACGCAGAATAAAGTCCATGTTTAGTCAGAAAGTAAAAAAATCTTACAAATAATTAGGCTGCTAAAAACGTAAATACGTATCTAGAGGTTACGGCTACATATTTATAAAGTATTATTATCTAAGACAATGTGAAACATTCGCAGCGAAAGGGAGTTTAGGAGCGATGTCTGAGAGTCAAGTGGTATTGAATTTTAAGCGCAGCCGGCGATTGTACTTCTTTATTTTATTTGTCAAAAAGCAATTCACAACCAGACATATTTTAAACCCGCGAATTATTAATTAAAAACTACACATTGTTAATATATCATTCAATATATTGTAAGTACACATTTCAAAATAATTTTATTTTAATACCTCCGTCTGAATTCGCGCTCATACGGCTTCAAGTATGGATCGCGGTCCAGCTGATTTTTCAGTTCGGGCACCTCAACTTCCATAGGGTCCATCTTTGAATGTTTGCCTCCCATCGTTACAGTATTGTGAGCGCCGACAAAAACAAAAACTTGGCAAGATATGTCCAAAAATAAAATAAGTAAAGATTTTGTTGGCTTCAGACCAACCCAACAACAGTGGCAGTCAGCGTTTATCTAAGCGGCCGGCAGGCTACACTATAAACGTTAATATCGGTACACACTTACTAGCCGCAAATCGCAAGTCGCAACGTACCTACTTAGCAGTTTACTGGTCGATGGTCATACCTCTAAAAATATATACATTTTTTAAAAACCCCGTACACGGTACACATAATAATCGGATTCGGCGTTATCTAAAACCGATAAGCAGTACCGGTTGTGAGTGCGTTACGCGTAAACATTGTTAAATAATAAAAATAAAATATATTATTAGACATGTCCGTACTTTAATCTACGACCTCTAACATCTCATAGTAATAAATATTATGGAGCTACAAGTTGTTGTAGCCTACAACAACGGTTCTATCTCTACCCGAATACGTTACACATTGTATACATTTAAATAATATTATATTGTAATTACTCTTATATAAGTTATTGCTTTTATGACGTATGGACGAGTCAACTTTTTAACCATAGCCTGTGTAAGTAGGATAACTGTTAACTGTACTGTGTATTCGCCTCACTCGCCGGTCAACCGTCGGAGCTATACTTAAGGCAGACCGCAGATACGAACCCCACAAAATCTTTTGAATAGAAATATTTTATATCATTCCCACACATTACACATGACCAAAACGAGAAACATTGTGTGTTGTATAGTAATTATTGTCATACGAGAAACGAGTAAAATCACTTATCTTCTTAGTATAATAATAAATAACAATTACGCTGTATGTACAGTGCAAAATGACACTACAAACTTATAAAATACCTAAGTAGTGTACATTTCAACTTTCAAGAACATAAGTAGAGCACAACACACGTGAAATTGATACATTTTAAATTACTACAGTTCACCTATCGCATTTCACACACGTCGGATAAAACTAATATAATCTATAAACGCAAAAAGAAAAATACAGTGACGGAATTGTAAAACATTTTAAAAGCGTGATTTATGTCTATATGTAAATTAATATTAATGATTATATTATATATAATTTAAAACCAATATTAGTATAATAAACCCCTACCCCTTTCCATGGTATTCTCATATGATATAGTTTTTCTGTTTTCACATTTAAAAACATCTCTATTTTTAACTTCATAAGAACTACTTTCACGATATTAAAACTCAAATAGCGTTAATTTACTTTAATACTAGCTGGGATACCCGGCTTCGCTCAGGGAACAACTTTATTTCAAAATTTTATTATTTTTTTTATTGAAAAAATATACAATCTATACAATTAAAAGCACAATAAGTATACGTTGATATAATACAAAACATGTGATACATTTAATAAAGAAGTCACCAATTAGTTACACTTAAATTTTATAATATAACATTTTTTTCAAAATGTTCAGCATATTTTTCTTAATTTAAAAAGTTAATAAAATATATACGTTACCATTTAAAATTCTTAAGTTCATACGGTTTTAACATATAAGGGATGGGGTTATAATTTTTAAAAAAAATGTTAAATTTGTCCCAACCAATAACTATAAAATTATAAAAAAAAATAATTTAAAAAAGTCTAATATCGTCTAAGTTATTGACTGGTCCATAGTTAACTAACCACTCTTGTCAGTATAATTATTTACCTTCTTGCTAGTTGCTACACACTAATCGTACATCACTTTAATTTTTTTTTTAAACATCTAAAAATTAAATTTTCAACAATTTTTTTCTTTTGTAAAATATGAATAGCTAAACACTAAGAAAAACAATGATACCCTTAGCGAAATCAAAAACCTAAAATGTATGCTAATAAAAATAAATTAACCAACTTTTTTTTTACACATTTACCCCACTTCTACTTTAAAAATCGAATATTCTGTTTCGAGAATATATATTAACACTCGTATAATACATTTTATTTTACATACCTTTGGAAATCGAATATTCTGATTCGAGACTATAATAGACTTTCACATTTAATCCACTGTAGCTATCAAAATAAAACTGACCCATGGGGGCCACGTGCGACGAATTTCGCCTTAAATTTTTTAGAATATACACGAACACGGTGTACTCCAAACCACTATAGGAACGTTCCAGAACAAAAATAAAGAAAAAAACGAAAAAAAGAAAAACTGGACACTTACCTTGTAAACAAACAAAAAAATGTTGTCAGTTGTGGAATACTCTCGAAAGTTGTAGAAATTTCTAAAGGGAGAAACTTTCCGCCCTTATATCTTCAAAAGCACGCCCTTTAGGTAAAAACGGAAACCTTCTTCGTGTATGGGGGATAGAGGGCTACCCACACCATATAACTCCCTTGATCGTACAGGGACTCGTTTTTGAGTAATAGCGGCACGCACACATTGTAGACTTTCTTTTATTATATATATATATATTGATTATTATATGTTCGGTAAGAAAAAAATATAGTTCTGTAAAGACAGTAGTATGTTTGTAAATTGAAAATATTTAAAGACGACAATTGATAAAAAAAATAATGTGTTACAATAACCTGCGTGGGGTAAGTAAAATAAAGTATCTAGATAATCAAAATAGAAAAACTGTAAGTAATCTACAAATATATGGGGAATTTCAAGTCAAAACATCATCGTCATCCGGCTTCAACCCGTGTGATTCTGATGATCAGTTAAAATTACTTTTTGACGTTTAAGCCTAATGATCGTTGAGCAAATCATTTTTAATACCACTTTCAAAATATTTTTGAATATATTGAAACTGAGTGATCATAAGATGGACATTTTTAATAATCATAAAACTTTTTTATAGAATCGGACACTTAAAAGTAAAATTAATATAATCATCACACCTAGTTTAAAAATAAAATGAGTACAATTAGTACTTTAAAAAAAAAAAAATTTAATTAAAACAAAAATGATTTTGTCAAAATATAAAAATTAGAATAATTTAATACATAAAATAACATATAGCTTAAGTGTCTCAAAAAAAGGAAAACTACAAAACAACAATTTTTTAAGAAAATTTGTCTTACGATAAATTGATCACTCTGTATTTATGGTATAAAAATAAGAAAATAACATAGTTAAAAAATATAAAAATATTAATCCAATAAAAATTATACAATTATTATTCTTTCGCTATGGTTGTTTAAATGAATTAACAAAAACAATAAGTAAGTAAACATAGAAACATTAAAACGATATCAATGATATAAAGGTCAACTTAATGTTTAAATATAAGTTTAGTTCAAATGTATAATGATTTCAATTTAATGATAACCCCAAAGTTGAATTACAATTTATACATTAATATATATATATTTATATATTAGTAAAATAATTGTATTATCCTAGCATAAACAAAATACATAAATTAAATTTTTAAGACGATTAGATAAGTATAACTTAAAAGTCCGTAGTACAGTCCGTTTTCAATGATTTTTGCTTAGATTTTGTTGTACATCAGCTTCTAATTAATTAATTTCAACAATGTCACCGAAATCTAGACAACAAACATATTTTACACCTTTTGTAGTAATCCACCTATATATTTTTCTTGTAATATTAATGTTATATTACTTATAAAATATGTTTACTTACATAATTTATTAAGGGGTGTAGAGAATTGCACTGTTTTTATTTTATTATAAGAATATTGTGTGTGAATTTGGCAATTGCAACTCAAAAAAATGAATAATTATCTTATTACTTTTATACAAATGGCTCAAATAGGCAGTAGTTTTACTATTTATAATACTAAATCACTACCATTAAAAGTCTGAGAAATTTCCCCACGCACGTATGCAGTATAAGTTGTCTATCTAAATTAAATTAAGGAGTTTAGAGTTCATATTCAATAATTATTTTATATAGCCTCGACTTCTCGTTATCTGCTAAAATGAGTTATAACCTCGGTTCTTTATCATCATAACGAGTTTTTAGAGTCGTGTTAAAAATGTGGAGGGGGAAAAATAAGTAAAAAATAATGATTTATGGTGACTAAAGAGAAATTAATAACTGAAACAATGTTACGTGTTTGCGACATACTTATTTTGGATATTTGTTTTTTTGTTAAGAGGACGCTACCCAGAACATTTCTAAGGAGTAAAGTACAGGCAATTTTTCGAAAAATCTTAAATTAGAGTTTGAACTATAATAGCCTACCATACCAGTTACCACAGCTAGTGCTGAAAGAAGTTTCTTTTCATTACGACGTTTAAAAAATTATTTGAGTTTAACCATGGGTCAGGAGCGTTTAAATGGCTTAGCTGTTTTAAACATTCATAATAAAATACCTATACATATTGAAGAAGTGATTAATATATTTTTAAGATCATCTAGAAGAATAAAGACGGAGGATTGGTCAATTTAAATTGTTATGTTTGTTTTTATTATAATTAGTATTATTAAATAAACTATTATAATAATATACATAAATGTTGAATATTTTATTCACTATATAAACTTAAACATAATGCCTATGCTTTTATGTACTTGAAGTAAATTTTTTCATCTAGCACCCCCTCCCTTATTTCATTCCTAGATCCGCACCTGATAATATATACTTATTAATACAGTAATGAGGATACTTTGTTGATTAACATTATTTTTGTCATATTATCATAATCATTTCTATAGGATAAATTACAATTGTTTTCCCATCAAAACTGCATTGCGCGGGACAAGTATGTGAGGCCAGTATAAACAATAAATTTACCAAATTTTCACAATGTATAGGGAAGAACTTTATCCATGGGGTAGCGTTTTATTTTTTTTGATATCTATACTTAATATTTTTTTATAAACAAATTAAAAAAAGAAAAAATAATGAATATTTACGAATGAATAATTTTGATTGTGCTAAGTTATCAAAAAACTAAAAACGCTACCCCGTAGATAAAGTTCTTCTCTATACATTGTAAAAATTGTATATGACCACTCTAAATACCGCCCTCACATTCTTGTCCCCCGCAAAACCATATTTCGTAGATAAATTACGGGTAAGTAGCGTCCTCTTAATGGAGGAAAATGATATTACACGAAAAAGCAAAACAATTAGTGGCTAATTATAGGGAAGATTTAGAACCTGGCCTCGAAAATGAGATTATTTAATTCAAAGCAATAGTCGAAAATGTCGAGTTCAAGTAAAATTATCAATGCACAGTTTACTCGAATCATTAATAAGATCAAAGTTAAACTATTACTTTACAAAGATTAAAATAGCTAAAATTGTTTGTTTCAATACCATTGTCGTATACGCACTTTCATACACGAAATGTTATAAACACACACACACTGTAAATAAAATTACTTAATACCTTTTACCTGATAACTAAAGTGCCTTCAATAAGTGGTGCAGAAACGTGGCAGAGCTCTAGTCACCTCTTCCGGATTGATCCTGCCTCGGGTGCTTTCCATCCAACGTCAGGTCTCCGATTATAAATAGTAATTCTTCGGGACAATTATATTGTCTAGCTATATTACTATATTAAACGGGTTAATAGCCTGAACGCAAGTACATACTAACACTAGCAAATAACCAAAAGCCGTACTTTGGCTTCCTCGGGAGATGCGGTCTTTATTGGAGTACACTTATTTGTTAAAGGACTGAGGACAGCGGACACTTAGTATTTATTACCTTGAAAAAGGAGATGAGAAACAAATGTAATACTTTTTAAATTAAGTAAAAGAAAAGCAACTCAAATGAATAAACACACGAGATATAATGTTCATAAAAACAATGTAAAATCAAAAGACAATTCATAGCACACGAAAATACTCCCCCCGTATCAGACGAGCGATTACGGGAGAGTGCAAATTCCACGGGCCAAGCCCAAGAGAATGCGACTTTAAATAATAGAAATAAGTATATTTTTTGCTGTACAAACACTTTAACCGTCTGCCATTTGGTCTAGATATATTACTAAGTTTTTGCTTTTTTTTTTGTTACTAAAGATTTTGGAAATTAGTGCTGCCTTTCAACAAAAAAAAAAAACGAAGAAGTTTTTTGATATTAGCTTATTAAAAAAAATGTTAAAAACTGTAATATAACATAATTAAAATTAGTATTTAATATTTTATCTATTATTATGAGCTTATGACAGTTTATACATAAAAAATTTAATAATTTAAAAAACTAAATTATTGGAGTAACCTGTAAAGATTTTTTGAACGTACTGTACATTTTTCTGGCTTTATGTTTTGCTTTAATTTTATACAATTTAATTAACTTTAATAGAATTTATCTTATCATGATTGCCTTAGACGGTTGACCTTAATCAATTTCCTTCAGGTCTAAAAGAGGGGTCAAATTTTATTTTACTTTGCCAACTTTACAAGAGTAACACAGAACACTAATTAAAAAAAGATATGCCCCTATAGGCTTTAAGCTTACAAATAGGTATCAGGTGCTAATTATTTATTATAGTATGACCTTTTACTGTTTGTTTTTTACAGCAACTTCATAATTTAAGCATGAAATAGAAAACATATTCAAAAAAAAATTATAATAACCTCCCTATTTCCCTCTAACCGCGCTGACTTTTAGCATGAATCGTCGACCTATAAAAATAAAATTATTGAAGACCATATGATTTCCAGTTTTCTTTTATTTAAGTAGCTATGAAAGTTGCAGTGTATGGCTGAAAAAATGTGAAAATATTATACTCGTATACTTTAAATGTACGATAATGCTTTATTAAAATGATGACAAGGATTTTACTTTCTAAAATTTTTGCTAACGGTGGTTATACGGTACACCAAACTAGTAATAACAAGTTATTTACACGTGACATAAAAATCGTTCATCGGGTAGATCATAGGAGATGAATAGCAATACGTTTTCTAGTCATTGAATTTTAATTTCCGTAATTCACATCCTTTTTACCTAACGGATGGGAGATGCCGATGGTGTTCAGATTTAAAAAGTACTTTTTGTCCAGATGTGTGTACGGCGTACCCTAAGTTCGTCTACATCTAACCGGCAACCGCTAAATGATTATTTACTTTTTAATTTTATTAATATAGCATATAGGCAAGCATATTGCATTGTTGCCTGTTGGATGAACGTTTCGTTGAAGCTAGCGAGTATTGTATTTTAATTGATGATAATTTGCTGCAGCAGCAGCTGTTGGCAACGTCCTACTTATATTGTAAACGGTTAAAAACTATATCAACGTCAAATAGGCAACATAATACATATACTCCACATACATTAACCAGTTTTCTTTCTCTGCGTTATCACACACACACACACATTGTTCATACAAAACTCAGTTTCTACGAAGAGAACGGTGTTAAACGATCACACAGATGGCCCGATATGGATATGTCGAGGTGGCGGCCACGGTGTCGGGTGGTGGTGGCCTGCGGCGGTGCAGCAGGCAGTCGTACCGTAGAATATGGATTATTACTGTGCTGATGCGTTGGCAGTGGGCTGTGGCGAAGGCGAGGGTATTGGCGATTTGCACAACGTTGAGAGGGCGGTAGAGGAGTAACACCAAGGTTACCGTATAGTGTATACCGCGCTCGCGATGGTGCTGCCAAACGACGGCAGCAGTCGTCTGGATCCTGGATCCCTCCCAGTGAGCGCGAGTGGGCACGTGATAACGTGATTTTATATACTTATCTATGAACGCGGTGGACGGCCCTCCTAACCGCATACGATTAATACAATAACAATAAACAACAATAACAATGTTTATAATAATTAATATAATACTACAGATAGGCTATTTGTTGTAACCGCCTAGCGGCACGCCGTTATTTTTGGCGATTATTTCGTTTTATTGTGCGCGATTAGTGTTTATTATATTTTTCTACTTTCTAGTCATTACCGTTGACTGCAAACGCTTGTCGCCTTTTGATTGTGCGGTATTGCAGGCGATTCGCCATGTCACTAGGGTGGATATAGTGAGTTTTAGCGACCAAGTCAAAGGTGGCGGCGGTGCCTAGGACCTGACTCGGCTACATGACCGATGTGACGTTCGGTGAGATATGTGCGACGAGAAGCTTCAGCAGTCGCAAAAGCCAATAAATGGATTGGGTTGTCATCAACCAGTGGCGATGCTTAACAGCAACGGTGGCACCGCCAGTAACAGCAAGTACATTACTTTGGAGGAGAGCATGGAGATCATTAATCAGCAGAGCCAGGAGATTTATGAACTAAGGACCCAGTTGAATCTCGTAATGAACGAGCGAGACATGTTGCTCAGCGAAGTTGGGCGCCTCAAATTTGATATGGAACTATACGAACAAAGAACAACTTTGCATGATGTCAGGTAATCAATCATTTTGTTATTCCAGTATAGAATAAAAATCATCTAACATTTTAATACCTAACCTATTTATTATTCTGTTGCAAAATTAAATTTTATACTGAACTGATTACTTTGAAGAGCACCTCTCAAAAAGATATCACATTTACAATGGTAGTTAATTACTCATCGACACGCAATAAAAATTATGAAGTATAGCAAATTTGTGTACAGTATTGTTAACTAAATATTGTACATTTTTTCTTCGTTTTAAATAACTCTATAATATACGTATTTCTATATTTGATAATTATAGTTTTTGGCTCAATGCCCTAATAATAATATTTCTTAAAACTGTTTTAAAGAAGTTCTTATACAATAAATTACACATGTCACTCAGCAGGAGTTGAAGATTAATTGTTAATATATATTTCAAACTCCATTGATAATATTTTGTAGGTACCTAAGTACCTTATGTTACCAGTTAATAGTAATATTGGATCATTATCTATTTTGGTTGTAACCATTTAGTTTAGTATCAATTTTCATCATGTCTAATTAAACTTTTAAATTTGAAGTTCATGTTTTAATTATATTAATAGTCTGTATTGAGTAATTAAACTAAATAGAATAAACATAGATAAAACTATACTTTGTTACACAAGAGAACATGCTGGTTTTGCTCATTACGACTGATGGTTATCGGCTGCTGCGTGGCCAATTTCTCCCACTCTCACTGAAATGTGGAGCCGAAAGTACACATCGCTTTCTATCCAAACCTCAAACCTAACTGAAGCTTGTCGCGGGCGAGATGTGCACTGCTGAACGTAAACCGGTCACTGTCCAATATGTTCTTTTGGAACAGATTATAGAATAACATTTTTGTATATTCAATAATCACAATAGTATTCATCAACCTACCTAAAAATTAAAAACATAATATTTTTGAATTTCTATTAAACTGTTTACAATTTACTAGGAATAAAAAATATATAGTTTAACCCTTTAAAGGACATAATTAATAGGTGGTCTAAAACATATTTTGTAAACTTTTTTCATCTAAGGTGTTATGTAAAAAGATAAATTGATAATTTGAAAGCGCCCTACCATGGGGCTTAGGGGGGTATTTTTTCAGCATCTTATCAATAAAACAGCATTCTGTATTTAATCTCTGTCATGATTATTATTTAACAGTAATCCATTAAAATAAATTTATCTAGTACTGCTAATTGTAATAGTGAAGTTAAACATTTTCGCAATAATAAATTAAAGGATAAAATACAAATTAGAATGATTTACGTTAACACATCTCAAATTTAACATACATTTAATCCATCTGTATTTTGGAAATAAATTAAATATTATATGGCTATGATAAAATTAGGATGACTATTTCCAAAATATTATTTTAAGTACATTTTTTAACCATTAAAATTTTCTTCAGTTAAACTTCATCTTTGTACTAGGATTTTATTATTTTGGTATATTGAACCTATAACTAGAAAGAAACAACATTTTTTTTAAACATAATTAATAATCATATAAATCGTCCAAGTGTCGAGTATTGCAATAAGATAATAGATGTATGTATAGACTTTTAAAAATATATATTTGGTTTGGTTATTTATTCATTCTACTATCTCTCTCTATGTTTTCAACTGTAGATTGGTTTGTAGCCATTGTCCGTTCTTCTCTCTTATCTACTTTCTTTTTAATTTCTAATTATGAGTCGCATCCTTGATCCTTTATTATTATTTATTTATTATTTGTTGAATGTATTCTAATCTTGGTCTTCCCCTATGGTTCTTTCCTTCTACTCTTCCTTCTATAACCAGTTTTAACAATCCTTCGTGTTGCATTATATGGCCTACCCATTCGTTTCGTCTTCTAATTAGATTTTCCATAGTAATTTGTCTTCTGATATTGTTTCCAGTACTTTATTGGTTACTCTTTCCTTTCAACTTATCCTTAACATTCTCCTATAACACCACATCTCAAACGCCTCAAGTCTTCTTCGTTCTTCTATTGTTATTGTCCAGGTTTCACACCCATATAGGGCTATACATATGTCTTCAATAGATTTTTTTTTGTTTTTAGACTAATGTTTCTTGATGTAAATATGTAAACATGTTGCTAAACAAGGGCGGATACAAGGGAGGGGCAATGGGGGCAATTGCCCCCTCCCCGTTCACAAAAAAAAGTATCAAATATTCCATTTGTAACTAATTGTGACTAAAATTCGAGAGAGGGTCGTTATTGTATTTACCATGAACATTTAATTATTTTTCCATTGAAAATTGTCCATTTTAATTTTATTGAAATAGTGATCACGGCACCCGAGGCGCCACATTTTATCTACAACCGGTTATTACTGGGGTTTGACACAGTACACATACAAAGTTTATGATATTACCTTCTATATTCTACGATTTTGCAATAACACTAGTCACCAGGTCGATCTATTTTTAAATTAATATGCCGTACTACAATGGCTTTACCGCTCCTCGCTGCTTGCCGTTAGTTTTGTTTTGACAGTAGTTTAATTTATTTTATAAAACAAATAATATAAATTTATTATATTATGGTTTAACTTTATTTGACAAGAATTTAAAAAAAAAAAGTATTGTAGACCAAGTTATCGCTATATTTGTTGGACTCCGTCTCACAAGTCGTGTTTTGCGGTGACTAACATAAAATTTTGCTGAATCATCTACAATCAATCAAACCTAAAAAAACCATTAGTTTAATATTTAATCTAGTGCCTGAACGAAGCTTTTTTTTTTTTTGAATATAAACAAAATGGTGACCTCTGATCGTTTACTGGCAAATTTTTAAGGAAAAAAGCACTAGTTTATTGGTTATAAAAAATATAATTTTTAATAAAAAAAAACCTTCGATCAGTCACTAGTTTGTAATGCTTTTAATAAGCTGTATAAATTTCATTCAAATCTGTGAAGAGGTTTTTGAATTACAGTGGTCACTGACTTTGAAAAAATAGTTTCGAGAAAAACTCATTTTAAAAGTTTTATACTCGATTTATGTATAGAAAAATAAATTATTTTATTACTTACATCAAGTCATCTATTCCTTTGAATAACTTGAAATTTTCAGAAAATATTTTCGAGACCTCATACTTTAAGAAAATACAAATAAAAAATCGAATTTTTGAAAATCCTGACTACCCCTAACCCCTAAGTTTCTCATTCAAAATTAAAAGTAGGTGTCTTCCAAAACAGTAAGACCCATCACATTTACCAGTATGACTGATTTCTGTACACAACTAATTTTCATGTCGACTAATAACAAGACAATTCCTATGCCTAGCTATTCCTATTATTTTATTTTTTTCATTTATATATATTCCCCCCCCCGTTTAGGACCTCTATATCCGCCCATGTTGCTAAAGGCTATTTTGGCTTGACAGACACGTTTTATTATTTTACTTCTATTTCTTCCATCATTGCTGATTGCACTTCCCAGGTATGTAAAACCATTAGTTTCATCTACTTGTTCTATTATTTGGTTTCCTTGTATTTTTAACAGTATTCTTATTTTCATTTCTTTTCCAAATACCAGTACTTTTTGTTTTCTGCACATTTATTTTCATGTCCAAATCCTTATTCAATGTTTCATTCATAGTTTAAATTAATTGAGCCAGATCTTCCTTATTCTCAGCAATTAAAGCTATGTCATCAGCAAAACGCTACATACTTATTTTTTGTCTGTTAATCCTTATCCCTAGATTGGTATTTTCTTTTATCTTATCTATTGCTTCTTGAATATATGCGTTGAATTTAATTGGGGATAGCGTGCATCCTTGTCTAACTCCTTTGTTTATTTTTGCTTCTTCTAATTAATTTTAAAGAACTTATTAGAAAACAGTAATTATTTAATATTAAAGATAGTATATACATTACATATTCATAAACCAATATTCAATAACTAAGTATTCTCTTAATCAATATTTTATATTTAAATTATTTTATGATAGTAAGATAGTTGTAATTAAATATGATGATAATGATTTTTGTAATATAATGATATATTATACCAGTGTTCAACTTTAATACACCCTTGACAAACATTTGATTATCATTGATTGTGTTGATTGTTGTATTATATTATTTTATTTGAGTTTTCTTTCTTTTTTATTGTAGTACACAAATATATGGTGACAATAGAAGAAAAAATAAAAAAATATTAGACATATAGTATAAACTTTAGATTAGATTATTTTGTAGTTATTATAAAAATACATTTTATAACTATTTTTTGTTGAAAATAAAAATATTTTCTTTTCATTTTATAATTATTTTTGAATTCAGTATCTAACATTTTATTAACATGTAAAAGTTGATAAGATAAAGTAAGGTATTGGTAGTTAGGTAGAGTTGGAATTTGCTGTCCCGGATTTTTAAACTTTTTATCTGTGCACCCAATTCTAATTGTTGCCATTGTTACACAAGTATCATAATCAACAATATAATGAAAATAATTTTCAAATACCCCATGACTGTTAATTCACCAACAAATAGCAATCTAGAAATTTACTACGGTCAAAGTCTAATTTCTCCTTTTTTTTGGTTCTCTTAATAAAAAAAAAAATTTATTATATTTGAGAAAGTTGTATCTAGAGCCCCACTCTAGATTCAGTCAAATTTTCAGACCTAGTGTCCTAAAACTACTTGAAAAAGAGAAAAGGTTTTCACATCTTCTAGGGTAAATGATTTTTGATATTTTTTTGGTTTGTCAACTTGTATTGATATTACTTTATCTTAAGAATATTTCATACTAATTTGAAACTATTTAGACTATTTTTTAAAAAGTTATATAGCACCGTAATTTAAAATTTAAAAATATATAATTATTTTGGTTGTTTTTTCAACTTAAAAATGGTAAAGTGAACTTTTCAAATTTTTTAAATCAGTTCAGCAGTTTAGAAGACATTGTGGATTCAGACAAAACAATCAAGAAGGGGAACTTTTGAATGATTTTAAGATGAAAAATAATTTTCAAGCTTGAAACTGATTCTAATAATAAATAATGTATAAATTAATGTTAGATAAAAATTTGAATGTGTGATGAGTTGGACGTTTTTATATTTGTTTATTGTAACATAGACATGAGCAGTATGTTTGCCATTATAATTACTGTTTATCACATAGTTATTTGGTCAGTTAGCATATGATTGATGGCTCAAATATAGACAAAGCAATTTTTCATTGATTTAAAAAAATAGTAGTCCATTATACATTGAAATATAAAATTATGTATACTGAAAATTCTACTAAAAATGTATATAATATTAATCTTGGTTTTTATTTTAGGGAGGACAAATATGAAAAGAGCAATAACAGAAATTTCTTAAATCAGTGTGAACAATACAGTCATTGGCCAAATACTACCACTAAAAATAATATGGTTCAACCAGAGCTATTTCATACAACTGCTTCGTAAGTCTTATGAGTTATTTCAACTACAGTATTATAATCAATAAAATTTAATAGGTATGAGCTATCACAAGATTTGATTGAAAAACAAATTGAGTTGCTTGAAAGAAAATATGGTGGAGACAAAGCTAGACAAGCGGCATTAGTCATACAAAGAGCGTTCCGCCACTACATGTTAGTGAAAAAGTTTGCTCACATCACAGCTATGGCCAAAGCTGAAAAAAGACTTAGCAAACGGTTAGAAGAAACCCAAAGTCTGCGATCTCACGATAGCCAGTTGAGTGTCAGATCAGGATCGCTAAGAGAACGACGATCGGGCTATTCTCCTACCAAATGTAACTCTCTTCCACGTTCTCGTTCAGGCCGTTGTGATATAAACTATTATTATGGTTTAGAGTCTTCTTGTGCACATTTCTACTCACATAATTACAGTTACAATGACATGAAAGTGAGTAAAATTAAATATTAAATCATAATATACATAAGAAATGATATCAGTACCTAACAATAGCAGGCAATGATAAAATTAAATAAAAACATTACTACAATAATTATTATTGTATTAATACTTTTTTATTATTCATTTTTTTCTCACTTGGTAAACTTCTGTGGCATTTTTAATTATACGTTCTGAAAACTGACCTGCAAGCACACCTGTTGGTCTTACATTTTTGCTTAAAATGGCATTGGGTATAGCCTTGAGCTCTTGAATCACTGCTTATAGTAGCTGCTTTGCTAGTGAAATTTGTTTTTCACTTGATCTTGATAGTTCATATTGAATGTATAATCGTCTTTACTTTGGCATATCAATCAAGTCTAATTTTTCACGTGAGGAATTCCACGCTAAATATAAAATTGGTCTGAAGCGAGGCCTCTTTTTGCGTTAGACAATTTCTTATGGCAGTCAGTACAGAGACTTGAATAAATCATTATCATTTCTTTTGTTATATTACAATATTTTCATATCATTTCAGCCATCATACGATCTTGGCCACCAGGACTGATCAATTTATGCATAGAATAGAGAATGTCGAATAATTCTTCATTTTTAGCATAATAACGTATACTTAATTATCATAACTTATATCTTTAATAATGCACTCTTTACCATTAATAATATCACATCGTACTCACATCAATATTTTTATAGTGTCTTTTTGTATTTCGTTTTATTTTTGGACAATATTACTTCTTCTATGTGATGAGTATATTCTTAGTTATTTAAAGACGCTTTATTGTCAGCGCTTATCACTGATAATTAATACAACTTTTAATAAACAAACTTTGGAGTCGTATTTAGCAACATATTATGGGTATAATAAAAATATCTTTGTATTTAACAACATAAGTAAAATAATGTTTAATAACGCTGTGTTGGTGCTTGACAACAATAAAAATGTTTACAGCAGTCAACAAAACCATTTGGTAACCACAAGTTACCATTTAAAGTCTTATTACTATTTGATGGGTCATTATTTACTGTCCAGTTAATATAACTGTCAATATATAAAAAAAGGGGGCATTTCAATTTAATGTATGGTATAAACAAGAACCAATTAGAGTGCATTAGCCAGTTGCCCACTCTTTTATTATACGATTGTTTAGATATTGTGTTATGATTCTTTAGGAGGATATTACTAGTCAAATGACACATCAGAAAATGCCTAACTACTTGTATGCCAGTGGTCATCATTGCAATGATTCCGACACGTATAGACAAAGTCATACTGGTATAGAGTGCAATCAGTACCCTACCAACACCTCTTCATCGTCATCATGTATGTACACTGTGAGCTCTGCAGCATACACATCAAATATTTCCAAAAACAAAGTTCCTCCAGAGGTACCAAAACGAACTTCTTCGATATCGTTTCGGTCTTTAAGAGATCAACATCAAAATTTAGCCCCTAATACGCTTAACAAAATGACCGATAGTGGAAGCTTGTCAAGTGTTCAGTCTTCTGGCAGCGATGGTAGTATTTCTAGTCAATCTCATAATATGAATCAAACCAACACTTCAGTTGACTCATCAGTTGTGTCAAACTCTGCTGTGTCGTGGAATAAAAAGTCTCAAGTAAAAAAAAATAATGTTACTAATGTTACTAAAAAATGTTTAAAATAAATTTATAAAAAATTTTTTTAGATTTCTGATGTTATAAGAAAACGGCAGTATCGCATTGGTCTCAATCTTTTTAACAAGAAACCATCTAAAGGAATTATTTACCTTGTTTGTAGAGGATTTCTCGACAACTCTCCTCATGCAGTAGCAAGGTTCTTGATATCTCGTAAAGGTCTTAGTAAGCAAATGATTGGAGAATACTTGGGCGATTTACAAAATCCATTTAATGCAACTGTCTTGGAGTATGTTAGATATTTAACAATAATATAGGCATATTTGTTTGATATTGTTTTTTTTTACAGATATTTCGCACAAGAAATAGACCTCTCAGGTATGCAGGTAGATGTTGCTCTGCGTAAATTTCAGACTTATTTTCGAATGCCTGGTGAAGCTCAAAAAATTGAAAGACTCATTGAAGTGTTTAGCCACCGATATTGTCATTGTAATAGAGATGTGGTAGCTAGGTTGAGGAACTTGGATACAGTTTTTATACTGGCATTTGCAATTATAATGCTTAACACTGATTTACATACACCAAATTTAAAACCTGAACGACGCATGAAAATGAACGACTTTATAAAAAATCTTAGAGGTAAATAATTTTATAAATGCTTATGGAATTTTTTATTAACAATACAATACGATTTTAGGTATTGATGATTGTTGTGATATTGACCGAGATATGTTAGTTGGTATTTATGAGCGAATAAAAGCAAATGAGTTCAAACCAGGTTCAGATCACGTTACCCAAGTCATGAAGGTGCAGTCCACAATAGTTGGGAAAAAGCCAGTACGTTGATTTTTTTATTTTAATCAAATTAAAATATAATATAAAACATTTAATGAATAACTTAATTGTGTATTTAGAACTTGGCTTTGCCACATCGTCGATTGGTATGCTATTGTAGGTTGTATGAAGTGATTGATGTTTATAAAAAAGAACGCCCAGGTGTTCATCAACGGGAAGTATTCCTTTTTAACGATCTTCTAGTCATTACCAAAATACTTTCCAAAAAGAAAAACTCTGTCACTTATACATTTCGCCAAAGTTATCCTCTAAATGGTTTAACCGTGTCATTATTTCAAATGCCGCGTATGTATACATCATAAACGTATGTGTGTTATTAGAATTTAAAGATTTACTAAATATATTTTCATGTAGATTATCAATATGGTATTAAACTTACACTACGACTCGACAACCGCTTGTTAATAACATTCAATGCACGCAATGATCATGACCGCTGTAAATTTGTTGAAGATATTCGGGAATCTATTTGTGAAATGGATGAGATGGAAAACTTAAGAATTGAATCTGAACTCGAACGACATAGACATGGTCATAATAATAGGTAAAAATGTTTTCTGTAGTGTATTAATTAGTTTCTAAGTAAGAACATTTAATGTATCCATTGCAGATCGACCAACAGTAATTCAGAGAATCGTGATAGCGGAGTAGCAGATATTGATTTAGGTCCATTGCCTTCACCACCAGTGCGCAATCTCAAACAATATCATGAAGATACATTTGGTAACGGTCCACCAAAAAAACAAACAACACTAAAGCGCGCTGCCATGACAGTCACTTAAAATATAAAAAAATGTTAAACCATTAACACTCCTGAAAAAAAGGAGTTTCTCATTAACTTTTTTTAGCACTTATGTATTGTCTTTAATTTTTTTGTTTTTTTTTTTTACCACACTTTTTTAATATAAATATATAATAATAATTTATTCTTTCTATATTGGTATGTCAAATTATGAATTTAACGTAATTATTATTATTGTAATAGTACAACACAGAAATATGTGTGTACAACAAAAGTTCATATATATTTGAATAGAGCTTTGCCAAATATTTTTGCTTTATACTACTTTATAGAAGTATAGTATAGATGGACAACGCCCATGTATGAATTTGATTCTCCTTTTTGGTGTAATTTCAGAGTTAAATCCAGAAATTCCTGTAAAATAGAGTTGCCAGTTTTAACACTAGCGTTGCCTATCTATAGTGTATTTAATTTATGTAACTACGTCTACGTAATAATACAATTATTTATTTATAATTAATACTTGTTAAGTCAAACTTTTTAATACTTTTTTTACTAGATTTGCTGTGTGCTTGCTTTTCATTTATAATTCATAATAATTATGTATTCAATTATAAAAATTATATGAATTAGATATCGATTTTTATTATTATTATTTTAGTTACCCATACTGTTACTATTCATATATGTGTCGTATACAATATTAACTCGATACGCACAACGTGATACCCTTTAAAGATGTTATACTAGGATCCTTTAAAGTTGGTCAAAGCCAATGCCCAGCCGCTTAAACCTTCCGGAACTATACTTCAGCCAGACGACTAACCCACACTAAGTAGTAATCAACCAGACACCTAATACGGGTTTAATCGTAAATAGGGACTATTTTCAATTATACCTAGTGCAAGATTAATGACTATTTCCGTAAGTATAGAACTTTAAAGAATAAGGACTATTTGCAATTTTTATCACTAAAAAGGTTGTCCTAGCACACGTTATTTAAAAGGTAAACTTTAACACTTAAAAATGAGACACTAAAGGTAACGCTAATAAATAAATACGCAAGTCGAGATTATAATTAAAAAATAAAGTATAATGGCACAAAACAACAGTCGATACAATATGTTCTCCACCTAGTTAATGCTAAGCGGAGAGCTGTCTTTGGCTTGTTTTACATTCGCCTTTTATAGTCAAAAATAGTTAATATTGTTTTGCTTATTTTGCATTAAGTTAATGTGGGTCATTTGAATGATTTGCCGAATTGGCATTATTGTTATACAGTACATAATATTTCATTATTTGAACATATAATTTGTTTTGCTTAATCTATTTACTTAAATTCTACTCTATACTACAAATGCAATAATGATTTTCTGTTTATTTTGTACTTTAATTTGCCGAACAATATCGATATTTAGATACAATTTATTTATTTCAATTGGATTTCTTTAAAATACACTTACGAAACAATCAATTCACCCGCCTTACGGAGTCTGTTTTTTTAACGTTTTAGACCAAAAAAAGCCAGACTAAATTCCGATTACTTAGGATGGTCTGATTTCAATTCTATAAAGATAAAGGAGTTCTTTGCAATTTAACTAGGTTAAGTAGGGAACAGATTTTTTGTTTTTTTTATGTAAAAAAAATTAGTTTTAATACAAAGAAAATTAAATTATTTTAATTACAAGAAACTGAAATTTTTAAATAAAAATCAGCTCCCTGCATAACATAGTTAAGCAGCTATAAAACTCGAATCTCTTTGTAGAACTTAAATTGGATTATGCTAAGTAATCGAAAATCTAGCTTTTTGGTTTAAAATAAACCAAAATGGATTTTACTAATAAAACAAATTATTTAAATTAAAACTACATCTAAGCTTACACAAATTAACCAGTAAATTAATTGATATGGTCGAAATGTATTAAAACCTTTTTTTGTCTTATATATTGCATATACAAAACTCCTTAAAAACAGACAGGATGCAAGCCCTTTAACAATGTAATCCTACTGTAGCCTATTTATGATATTAGTTATTTAAAAATAAAAAATACTAGAAAAGTGAATGACATTATTTATCTTATTCCAAATCTTTATTTGGAATTAATGGATCATCTTATTATTGTATACTAAAATTATAATTATTTTGTAATATAAAAGGATTTTATATTATTGCCTGGATAAAAGTTACAACTAACTCCTATTGTTTATAATGGATGAATAATTATTCCTTATTAGGTATCTTACTTATCATTTTCAGATTTTTTTTAGTCTAAAAGTCGAATAAATTATGATTTTATGTTTTTGTAATAATATGTGTGTACAATGTGTACATTAGACTTTTAATTTGTTGTTCCCATGATTTACTTTTTTAACTGATAGTAGTCTACTCAAATAAGAAATTTTCAAAATTTTAGATACCCAGTTTAACTATTTATGTACTTGGTCATGAAGAATTATTTTGTTACATTTGATTAATAGCAAATTTTAATTTTTACTTAAAAAAATCCAAACTGAAAAACTAATAAAAATGTTTGCAATTTAAAAAAAAAATTCTTTAAGCTAAAATATGACATTTAAAACTTTTTTTTTGATGTTTCGTGACAAATTTTGTTTCAGCAAATTACTAGTTTTATCAGTTTCAATGGGCTGTAACTTGATAAAAACAATTTTATCGTAATAATCAAGAGAATTATTTTGAAGTGTCATATTATTTCGTCTTTGAAAATATATTTTTTTTAATTTGTAAAAACTTTGGTTAGTTTTGAAGTTAAAATTTTTTAAATGAAAAATGAATACTTCTCATGCTAATCAAATGAAAAAAAAAAAAATCACGGAGAATTACATAGAGGTAAGCTAGGGATCGAAAATGTTAAGTATTTCATATTTGAATAGGTTATTGTAGATTAAAAGGGGGGGGGGGTAGGTGGGGCAAGCATAAACATTTTTTTTATACCCTAGCTCCTAACCCTGACCATATAGACAGTATATGTCGTGTATACATTGTACATTTTATAAAAGTTTAATCTACATCGACCTAGCTAACTATTTCATGAAATAATTTACTTTATAATATGACCTATATGTCTATTACCATGTCTATTATGATTTATATATTACAATTTATTATAATTGTTGTAGACATTGCAATAAGAGCGTAAAGACCCAAACGCCATTCTTTGAGGCAGATAGGGGAAGTTATTATTCATAATAAGAAGTACTATTAATAGTTATAGTTATAATCACAGTGATAGTGATTTTGCATTCCTCCAAGAACAGTGTACAGGTCTATACGCCCTAATTACACATCCTCCACCTAGTTAATTTTTTTTAAATAATTAACAATTTTTATAGCTACAATTATTAATCGTTAAGTTAAAGTATGATAATTAATTTAAGTAAATGCCATAATATTTTAATTACATATATTAGTATTAAATGTAATACATTCGACGCGTAACCAGGCCCGCATTTAAGGAAAAGCTCGGAGAGGCAGTTGCCCCTAGCGGCATTATTAAAAAGACGTTTAGGGATGCTGTAGAGCGTAAAAGGTATAAATTGTTAAAATATTTTTATAATTATGTGTTTCTTCTGTTATTGAACCAGGAATAGCCCCCCTCCCCATCCTCTACTGTAAATAACAGGGCCACTACTCCGAATCGTTTTATTAGTTTACTATTATGAACATTTCCGATAGGGTGGTAACCCTGTTATCTCCCTAATATTCCGCCCTTTTGTTTGGTCTTTTCCGTAACAGAGATCAATATATTGTACTTTAATGTATAAGTAGTTACTGGCGTGGGGTGTGTTAACTATTAAGTGAAGTGTAAACAACTACATAGTCGTGGCCATAAATAATAAAAGAATAGTTATGCCAAAGTAGTGTTTTTTCGGGAGTAGACTTATAACATTTTCAGGTTACAAAGGGTCACAACGTCCGTCATACCCCTAGTCAGAAAGAGGCAGATATTTCTATAGAAAATCTGGGAATCTGGCATACTGAGCTGTTATCTGTAAGTACCTTAACTATAATTGTTCAACAAAGATCTATCATCAAACCATGTCTATGGTATGTACTATATATAAAGTTGATTTTCATATAATCTGTGATATTTACTATAATACAGTAGGAACCCGTATCTCTTAAGTGTATTAAGTAAAAAATTCAATTTCCCGCTTTTTTTGGCTTACCTAGTTTTAAATTTCGCTATCTATTCACTGGTATGCTCTACTTACTCTTAGATGAGTCCATCTTTAGTTCATCCATTTAAATTAATGAAATACATTTAATTAATTAATCAAAGAGTACATAGTATACATGAGCAACGCGTTTTAGTTTCTGCGCAGACATTGTCTTACCCGAAACGTTGTATAAAAGCCGTTCATTTTATTTTGTAGGTTTTAGCATTAATTGCATTGTTAATTGTAATTTGTATTCTTGAATCTTGTGTACACCGCTCACCGTTGGCCCATAGAAGTATAGAACGGTTTTCGTTTGTACACTCTACACTAATAACTATGACATATAAAACTTAACATTACTTGGTTAAACTATATGTTTACTACTATTAGTTTTAAACTAATAATAGTAAAATAAATTGTTATATACCGTATACGTTGTTGTACTATTCTACTTAAAAATATATAATTTTGTGCGGGACAGATCTAACGGAAAAAGGAACTAGTTCATGCTTTACAGGCCAATTTTTGAAGAATAACTGCGAAATTTCCATAAACTTAAAAGTTTATAGTATAAAATGTTTGTTATAAGCAATATTTTCCTCTATTTTGTGTTTTTAGGATAATTAACATTTTGTTATGCAGTTTTCTCAATTAAACTGAAAACCGTTGTCTCCAACTAAAAATACTATCAAGAATTGTTTTAAATTATCGTTCGTGAGCTTAAGTCTTGACTAAATAATCAATTTGTTTACCTCCACTAAAATATTACGTACTTCGACCACCAGAGCACGCATTTTTCACCACTCGCACGGCGTCTATAGGTTACATATTGTTTATGTATTATCATCAGCTATTATATTATACTTGAAAAGTGTAAACATTGCTTATCGTTTAAAGCACTATATTATAATTTATAATAGAGCGTATTGATATACAGGTAATATACATAGTTGGATGATGAATAGGGTAATAGTTGTTCATACTTCATAGTTTCTGTTATAAAGTGTAAGAACATTTTGTAAAAGTATAATATCAATTTCATTGTGTGAATCGTGTATAGATATAAGAATATTGCCGGATGAGAGGCGGATAGCGGCTTAATAATTTTGTTTACATTGCGACTGATTGTAAGTGCACGCCGCACGGTGTCCCCACCAATTTTAATTCCATATTTTGTTTTATGTAATATCCATGTACGCGCCAAGTTATTACTGATAACAAGCAATAACAAAATATAAATAATTCTCATGCCGGTCGCCCGCGTTTACCTACACGGAAACAGATTTTTAAACTTACCAACTTTATTCTAGTTCATTAATCCAGTAATTTCAAACCTAATTAAATGTTTTTTAAGTAGATTTTGGCTGCTTATATCACACTTACCTAAATCGGTTTTAACTGGACATGTAAGTCCTAAATTTAATTGTTGTTAAAATCGATATAATATTTAATTTGTGATTATGCAGTTGGATCAAATGCAGAAAGATCAGACTACTATGCTTTTGCCGATTTGGAGGTATGTTTTAAAATATTAGTGTCATGTCTATATGGTTTAAAAATATCGACTTGTAAATTTTAATCAATATTTTTGTTCAATTTGGTATTAATTAAATATCTGCTCACCCATTCCATTGCAAACAATTTTATGACATAATTGCTTGAAAATTCAATTGCCATTCTGTAATTTATTGATTTACATAGTGTATATTATTACTTATGTTGTTTGATAAAATTTTACAATTTAAGCAGGGTTTCTAAAAATATATGCTTAAACCTAATCAATTTGCTGGTTAATGATTATAAATTGAGAATCTTACTGTATTAATTGAATATATTGTACAACAAACAGGCTCTAACAATCCACAATGTCATTTTGGTATTTCGATAAGGACGAATTACTGCAGACTGCTTCGGCTCAAGAAGGCTTGTCAAATGAGCTCGAATATCGATATCGGCAAGAAGGGGCAAGATTTATTATAGATGCTGGAACTAAAATGGATTTAGGATATAATACTATGGCAACTGGTGTTGTATACTTTCATCGATTTTATATGTATCATTCATTTAAGACATTTCCACGCTACGTAAGTCTAACTTACATTTAATTTTGCATTTTTAAAATGTTACAAAATAGACAAAAAAATAAATTTTAAACATAAAATATACAGGAGAGATGGCATTTAACAAAACTCTATATTATACACTTAAAATATTATTTTAGTATAATAAAAGGAACCCTGATTTATAGTTCTTCAATTGTATTATTATTATAGTTCTAATAGTTTATTGTAAAAAAATCATTTTTGTATCATTAAATTTTTTTTAAATGCTATCATACATTTTTCTGATATTTCTAGATTTTTTATTAATTATTATTTCATGTGTTTCTTTTAAAACTGATGTTATCATCATTAATCTATGAAATTATAAGAAAAACATATTTAATCATATTTTTAATTTCAGCTAACAGCTTGTTGTTGTTTGTTTTTGGCTGGTAAGGTTGAAGAAACACCAAAAAAATGTAGGGATATAATAAGAATAGCCAAAATTTTGTTGCCTGCGAATAAATATGCAACCCTTGGAATAGACCCAAAGGTAATTTTTTCAGACAACATAAAAATTAGAATAAATTGTTGATCTTATTCACAAACAGTTAAATAATAGTAATAATTTTTATAATTTTAACTGACTAAAACAATAATTTATTGTTTTGTTTTAGGAAGAAGTAATGGTACTGGAACGAATTTTGCTTCAGACGATTAAATTTGATTTGCAAGTTGATCATCCTTATAAATTTTTACTGAAATATGCAAAATGTTTAAAAGGTTAGCTTTTGGTTTTTGATAAAAAAATGTTTATGACTGTTCCCAAATATACTGGAAGTGCTCTATTTATTTATATTTTAGGCTTCACCATCACATACAAATGTTTCTTATGAAATCCTAATTATTTTGATTTTAAATTTGCAAACTTGCTAAATTAGAATCGGACCATTCTAAGTAGTGCAAATTGAGTTAGGCTTTTGGGTCTAAAATCATCACAAAAAAGCTCTAACTTATGTTAAAAATGTAATATGGGAAAAACTGTATAACTATTTTAAACAAATTATAAAATAACCAGAAAAAAAGTCTAAATTTATAGAAACTCATTGGTTTTATCATATGTGTTGCCTTTATTTTGTGACTAAGTAATGTATGAAAGAGTTATCCATTACTATTGTCATGTTTGATAATTTTGCATTTTTAGGTGACAAAAGTAAACTTACAAAAATGGTTCAAATGGCATGGACGTTTGTGAATGACAGGTTAAATTTAAATTATGAATAACTAGCTGATACAAATGTTTAAAATGAGTATAATAATGTTACAGTTTATGTACTACTCTTTGTCTTCAATGGGAACCAGAAATAATAGCTGTGTCACTGATATACCTTGCGTGTAAACTAAGTAAGTTTGAACTTGATGATTGGCATGGGCGTACGTCTGTTCATTTGCGTTGGTGGGACATGTTTATTCAGGGAATGAATATGAACTTGCTTGAAGGTAATTTATAAAATATAAATTATCATTTAAAGCTATATAGTTTTTACTTTATAGATATATTTTTGTATAGATATTTGTCATCAAGTGCTTGATCTATATTCATCTCCAATTGGGAAATCAGCATTATTGTCGTCTCCTCCACCTCAAGGTGAATTGGTGATACCAAAAAAAATCACACCCCCTCAATCAGTTTATCAGAAATTATTAATTCAGAAAGTGGCTTTTAAGTATAGTGAGTCGAATAGTTTATTTTAAAATTATCAATTTATTATTATTTTTATGTTAATTGTGATTTTTTAAAAACTGTATTTATATTATAGATCTTACCCCTGAACAAGCAATGCAGGTAGTTATGAGCAAACATCTTAAATTATCAACTTCAAAAAATAGTAATGCACCAACAAAATCGATATTACAAGTGTCCCCCGGAACTAGGTCTCAAACAATCTCAGCTATTGAGTCAACGTCTCAAACAATCTCTTCTTCTGAGTCAAAGCCCCATACAATCTCAGCTTCCAAGTCAAAGCTTCATAAAATCTCAGTTTCTGAGTCGAAGCCTCAAACAATCTTAGATACCAAGTCAAAACCTCAAACAGAAATTGCTACTGAGTCTCAAACGATCTCTGCTATTGTGTCAAAATCTCAAACTGTGCAAAAGCCATTTTTACAATCGCATTCCATACCATCCAATTTGCCATTACAAAAGCCATCTCAAAAAATTCATAAGTTACCATCAGTTAGACTATCATTACCTGTAGGGCTGCCACCTCCATTACTATCGCAACCATCTATTTCGTCCACATCAAATCAAATGTTTATATCTTCTCAAAATGTTGCCCCTATACAACCTCAACCTATGCCGCCTCAAACACCGGGAGAATTTGCTTTGTACCAATACTCTTCATTATCTACAAATTCAACACAACAATTTACAAATCCTATGTTTTCATCTAAACCACCAAATATGTTAGCTACTACATCACCACCACGTCACACTCTTGATGCGATGGTTCCACTAAATTTTCAATACATAAGTGAAGCACTTCCACCTAGACCATCTTACAACACAAATCATAATCATAGAGACTACTTTACAGTGCCACCGCCTCGGCTGTATAATGCACATGATATGATAGATAGTGGTTTGCGTCTACTTCATGATGAAAATAGACAAAATTATATTAATAGACGATTGTTGACCCGCGATAATGCATATGATTTGGGACGTTACAGCAGTGATTCTCTTCGTTACAGTCCAGGTGGCCAATATTTGAGTGAACTTGGTCATCATTACAGTAGCAGTGTACCACATCTGGATGCTGCTCATCAACAGTATAGAGGCAGTGTTCCAACTAGTCGTGGTTTCGACAATAGAAATGTTTCTCGTTCTCCTTCATACCAATATAGGCAAGTTCGGAATCATCCATATCAGAAATATTAGCATTTAACTCATAATCATATGTATAGGATTAAAAATGTAATTTGCCATTGAAAGTAATTTAGGCTTTTACTAAAATTATTTAGTCACTTATTGTAGTGTATTTATTTATGCAGTTTCATTGTAGGTATATGTGTAGTACACATTGTGTACATACCTATAAAATAATTCTTCTTTTTCTATTCATTTAAATTAAATAAACTAGATATTTTAAATCAATAATTAGTAAATAAATTAGTTAAATGTTCATATTACTGTTTTGACAACTGCGTGTATTTATCATACAAAACCCTATAGAAGTGGGTACCTAGTATAAGTTAATAATCAGATTCCTTGTAGGTAATACTACCAGCTCAATGTTTTTTTATATTTGTTTGGTTTATAATCTATCCTTAGACAAATAATACATAAAGTCAAACTAATTATTGTTTAATTATATACGATTGTATCAATTATATAATATAGTGTATACCGTGTACTATTATATATTTCTTATTCTAATTATGATTAATGTTTACAGACAAAATGTTTTGTGTTAATAATATGCTTGTATTTACATAATTACATGACTGATATTTTATGTATACCTATAAATACATATTATGGATAATTTTTTATGTGTAATAATCATATTTATTAGGTAGTTTGTTTGTTTGTTTGTTTGTTTTATTTATTTATATAAATGTCAATAACGATTGAGTATAGTTTGTCGTGTCCATAGAATAAAAAATTGTTTTAATTGGTTTTAAATTTTATAAATGTATACTCTTAAAAAGTTATATTGTGTTTTAACCAGGGGTTCGGAACTAATTCCGGAACATGTTCCTTCATGACTCCCTGTTGCAATCGTTCTGGAACAAATACCTGGAACTCGTTCCTCAAGATATTCGTTCCGGAACAAATACCCGGAACTCGTTCCTCGAGATATTCGTTCCGGAGCAAATACCCGGAACTCGTTCCTCAATATATTTGTTCCGGAACAAATACCCGGAACTCGTTCCTCGAGATATTCGTTCCGGAACAAATACTCGGAACTCGTTCCGGAGCAAATACTCGGAACTCGTTCCTTTGATATTTGTTCCAGAACAAATAAAATGTATTTGTTCCTTGTCATTATTAATAATTTATTAATGGAACAAAATGTATTTGTTCTACGTATTATGTGTTTCGTTCAAGTTTATTGACGGTGCACATGTTTATTGTTACTTTAGCCTTTGTGTGTGGTATTTTAGAACAATAGACACATTTCTTTAAGTTAAATGTTAATTAATTTACCAAAAGATTATAGTTAATGCATTTGATGAAACAATTCATTTTATTTTCAGTGTAAATAAATATATATATATATAGTATATACATGGTGAAAGTTAACAGAGTTATTATAATACATTTATACATACTAAGAAAAATGTATGCAACTAATCCATCAAAACCATCAGTCCTTAAACTTGTTAAGTTAAAAAACGCTTAATTTATATTAATTTAATATTTTTTTAGATACATACGGGCTATAATATATGGCTAATTTCCAGTGTAATTTTTTTACATGACATGTACAGAGTGATTCTTTTATCATGAACCACTCAATATCTCATAGGGTTTAATAAGAAATTCAAATATTTTTTTTCATATTGTTGTTATACAATGTGATCTCAATTTTTCACAATTTTTTTGTTTTTACCCCTCCCAACTTGTGATGAAGTTTAAGCTTAGGACAGGAGGAAAGGTGGAGTGTAAGATTATTTTTATCTGCGCACATTTTCCAACCGCACTTACCCTCCCATCCTAACTTTAAAACTCTTATAACTTTTAAAAAAAATATTGTAATCTGGTCATCGACCAGTCAAAATGTTTAGTATATTATTCTCAATTTAAAAAGTTAATAAAATATATACGTTACCGTTTAAGTTTTAAAATTTGCTATCAAAAAAACTTAGTTGAAGGAGAAAATTTGAGATCACATTGTATAAAAACAATATGAAAAAATAAATTTAACTTAAATTAATTAACATTCAACTTAAATAAATGTGTCTATTGTTTCTAAAATACCACACACAAAGGCTAAAGTAACATTAAAAAAGTTTTTCAGCCGAGTCTGCAACCACGAAAGAGCATTTACATGTCTCGTTGAAGTACCGAGATGATAAATAATATTATAAATTAGATTATAAATAATGATATAGTATATTAAGAAGCAGTAACAAGCGCTAATATATTAAAACATCAAGTTTCTGGCTAAAATTGTAGTGTTTATTATCTGGCTTAAAACAATTCATAGAGAAATTGGGCCCTTAAACTGTTTTGAATTTATTATTTAGTTCTAATTTGAACGTACAACAAATCTCTTATCTCCTATATCTTTCCCTATCCCCTACCCGCTATCTCCCATCCCCTATCACTCACTCCCTATCTCTCACCCACTATCTCCTACCCCCTGTAACGGGTTTGTGAAGGTTTTTTTAAAGAACGCTTTTTTCGGTTATGTGCCAGAGCTAATTCCCACCTCCCATCCCTATTCCCACCCTGACCCCTATATCTTACCCCCTATCTCCTACCCCCTTTTTGTAACACTTTTGTAAAGAACGTTTTTTTCGCTTATGTGCCAGAGCTAAGACATGTAAATGCCAAAATGTGCACCTTCAATAAACTCGAACGAAACAACATAATATGTAGAACCAATACATTTTGTTCCATTAATAAATTATTAATAATGACATGGAACAATTACATTTTATTTGTTCCGGAACGAATATCTTGAGGAACGAGTTCCGGGTATTTGTTCCGGAACATAAAAGAGAAATGAGTCAAATAGGAACGAATTCCGAACCCCTGGTTTTAACTTATCTACTAATAGAGTTTTGCATAATAATAGAAAATATTTAAATGTAAAACTACGCTTAAGCTTAAGTTATCTGTTAAGTAATTAAAAAAAATAGAAACATTATTTGGGTATAAATAATGTAGGAACAACAGATCTAACAGACACAATCAAGATGGTCGTATCAAGCTCCAATCATAGTTTTTATATGGCGTCGATTGAAATACCAATAATTTCTAATTATAATAGAATTTACTTAGTGTTAATATGGCTAGCTGAAATTTAATTATATAATAATTCAGGTTTTTTTTTGCATATGACATTAATGTCCGGGAGTAGGCCCGAAGGCCTAGTTCGGACGCCTGCTTGGCATAATTCAAGTTGACAAGTTATATTAAAACTTAAAACAAAGTGGAGAATTTGATTATTTGCAAAGGATTATTTAATGGTACCTATTTACAATTAACGAATATTCGCACACGATTCACCACAACTGTCAACTCTATTCGACCGTTCAGATAGTTGACGTTTAATTTTCGCCACTCAACAGAATGATACAAGGACAGGTCTTAAACATTTTTGGAACCCCTTGATTTTCAGAGCCGCTTTTTTTTTAATTTATAATTTTATTAGGTGTAACCACGATGTAGAGAAGATAAGGTGACACCACTCAACTTCTTATCAGTAAAAATCTGAGGACGAATGCTTCAGGCATTTTGGTAGTTCAGCTTCGCTGTAGAGGCGGCGCTACCATTCGCCCGGAGACCGATATTTTCTATGCAGCTTATGGTCGATAAACGTTTTATTTTATTATTTTTATGTAAACTATTCTTTATTTGGAGTATTTATTATTTTTATTGTCTTATTTAATAATAAGTAATTATTTTGTTAACTTTTTAATTGCAAAAACTGTGTTTTTTAACGGCATTAAAGTAAATATTAGCACTGGAATATAGGTTTCATAATTAATTAAATTAAATTCATTCTGATCTAGTCTTTGTCCAGCAAAGTTATTTATTTTATTATTTTAGCTACTCTACTAATATGAAGTAGTATTCCAATACTAATTAGTCATTAGTATACATGGTCATAATTTCTAGTTCAGAGTAATAGAATAAAACTAGAGTAGAGCAAATATTGCCAATAAATCCAAAAGATCTACATTAGTCAATGAATGTTATTTGTAAAAATTAAGAACAATTTAATGAGAACATTTTATAATTTTATATGCCGCGGTTTATTATGTAGACACAAAATATAAACAATTATTTGTGATGCAAATATCATCTCTTGGAACACAATGTAGAGAATATGTCTCTACTTCGTCCCTAGGCATTGCACGTATGGTTGGGCTTGAATTACACGGTAGTCGGGCTTTCGAAGACACTTAATTGGGGTTTATTAAAGTAATTAATATCCACCTTACACAAGCGATGCTTATTTTTCGGGGATAAATTAAAATAATCGGAAAAAATGTATTTATTGTTATGTACAGTGATGTACTAACAGGGGGGTTCGGGTTCAAACCCCCAAAACTAAAAAAAAAATTGTGTTTTAAGTAATATATTATAAGCGTTCATTATATAATTGTTACAATGTTACTCTCTGAAGTAATTTAGAACTTGAAGTAAATAAATAATAATTTAACAATTATGTTTGAATTATTAAGTGTTAAGAGGAATTGCGGCTACCTAAGTAAGAATTAAAATATCTTCGGAACTATAAGTCCAGAAATTTCGTTATTTCTTGAAATCGTACTATCGAGTTCTTTTTCGAAAATAATATTCCAACTTAATTGATAATAATTAACCATATCCGGTTATGTAATATTATTTTTTTACACCCCCCCCTCCACTCCCAGAGCAAGATTTAATGTACGCCACTGGTTATGTAAAAGCGTGCTAAAGTGTGTTCACTCAAATGGATAAGGCTCCGTTTATTAAGTCAGAGGCATAATTATAAATTTTTCCTAAATAACTCTCCGATCCCTGTTTTAATATACCCTACTTTATAAGTCCCTATAGTTACCATAGAATAAGCTTTATCTTGTAAAAATGTCTAGTTTCACATATGGTTTTATAAGAAACTACATTTTTTTAAAGAAATTTTCGTTATTTTTTATAACAAATTATTCTTAAACCTTCAACAACTATAACCTCAATTTGAAAAAACTTCTCGAGTGCTTAAAATTCGATATAGAGGGGGAAGGGAGGGGTTGAGGACAATTTTTTCTTGTACATAATACGTGTTATTATATTATATATCGTATAGAATAATTTCATATATATTGTTATAAAAGGATAGTCATCGTTCGACTATAAACGTCTTTTGTGGAATATACGAATATTGTGGTTTTTTAAATAATATATAATCTATAGTCCTGTAATAAAATAAAATTACATGTAATATATTTATAATTAGCAATAAAAATGACAGTAACGTATAATAATATGTAAAAAACCCTATTAGCTCCATGAAAAAGTCGGCCTCCGGGCGAATGGTGGCGCTATCTACGTGACAAAATTATACTACCAAAATGCCGTAATTTCTTGACCCACTGATTTGGTTGGAGTGGCATCACCTTATCTTTTCTACATCGTGACCACGATAGCGCATATGTTTTTATTTCTATTAGTTCATATCGTTTTTTTTCAACATTTTTAATTGAAATTTAAGTTACATTTCTTAATTAAGTATAAGGTAATACAGCTACGTTGATATTAGATCTTTTAAAAATATATCAGCTCAGATAATCTATCATGACGTTTATATTATCTATTGAATTATTGAATAGTAATAATACACAAACAGTTTAAGCGGTGTAAAATTCATAACTTTATTGGAATAAAATTACAGCTACAATTATTACTGTAAAAGTATGAAAAAAAAAAAACAATAATAATAGTTATAGTATTTGAAATTTACCTACAATTTTTATTTAAAAACAAATTAACTAAATTTGAGATCACATCACTATCTGAAGCAGCTGTTTATATAAGACCAAATGTATTAATGTAATACTAAAAAAGAAACGCATTAAAAAATTGGAAAAATATATATGTATCAATGCATGTAAAGCACACTGACATCAATAATGTTTTCAGTATTCATACATAATTTTGCCTAGTTGGCAAAATTATATATGGCTAATTTAAAATTAATATCAACCCAGGATATGTTCTAAAGAATAGAAACAAGTATTATATCATTACAAGTAAATTAAAATAATACAATAAATTATATCTACTAACAGTCAATTATAACTATAATGAGCAACACAATCATAATGATAATAGTTAGCTGTAAGTTCTTTAAACATTTTGTGATTAATATAAAATCATGGTAATACTTCATGTATACTACTAAAATTAGATATTATACTTCAAATTTTGCAGAAATAATATTTTAATATTGTTAAAAAAAAACAGATTTATTAGAAAAAATGTTGAAAAACCAATTTGGTATTATTATAAACATTTATTATTGTGTCAAAATGAAAGGCAGTAATAAAATGGTGCGTTTATATTGATTTTAAAAATGCAACTATTAAACACCATAACCTACTCATAAACGTATTTATTGCATATTATCTTTTTTATCTATGTTGAGTTATAATACTATTTTGCATATAAAATGTATTTTCCACAAAAAAACCTCTCAAGAAATATTGGTAAAATAAGTTTGAGCAACTGAAAAATAATAAAGTGCGTAAGTGTTTTAAAATATTTTTCTCTCTTTTAAAATAAAAACTAAAATACATTTTTACAGTGGTTACCAGGTAGATTGACACAGCGGGGCGCAATAACACAATAGCAGTGGTTTTTGGTGTATGATGTTACTTGTACCACATTGATCAGCAAAACAATAATATTGTTATATAGGTACATGCCTAGAATCATCTGACAAAGAGTTAGGCTCTTTAACACAAAAGATTTTTTGTGACAACATTGTTTTAGTTTGGAATACACCTATATACTGATTAAGGCCACCACCGTCCACCATGCCAATCTATCTGGCAACGATTAATAACATATCAAACTTATAACAATTGAGTTACCTTTAACAAACCTAATTTTATTTATATAACTTATATAAATTTAATATCTAGAACGCGTTCAGATTACAAAAGATATGTTTTCTATTAAGCAAATGTAGAATGAATACCACAAAGGTGTGTGTATTACTAGTTCTCACATCACAATAACAAAGCTAACTTAAGTATAGAGTTCACATAACAACAAAAATGTGTGCAGTATCCAACTATGTAAAAACTTATAAGTGAAACAAACTTAAATTAGCTAGTAATTTAATAAATGTTTGTGGCTTTTATAAAGTATATGCCTCAACTTCAAATTATTAAAACACAATATCATGTTAAAACTAATAAAATCGTGGAGTAACTTATTTAGTTATCATTATAATAATGGTTTTGCTAATTAATTAATACACTGTTACGCTTAAAGCATTGATGCAATGAAAAAGAACAAATATTAGACTCAGTTATAAATTAATTACAAATATATTTGAGTGTCTGCAGTTAAAAATTCAATAATAATAAAAGTAATGTGGAAAGTAATGCAGGAAGACGACTTGTACATAGAAAATCATATGATGGCATGGTAGTTATATTATATGATCAATGGTAGTAACACAATTTAATAGTTAAGATAATTGAATTTAGGTAGCATGAGAGTAAATTTAATAAATGGACAGAGACGCCATCTGTTAGATACTAATAATTAAATGACACAGCCAATATGACGAATAAAACAAAATAATAAACAAAAAACAAAATTATTTAAACATTTAGCAAAGCAATAACAATAATAATAATAAAATGTAAAATACAGAAAGCTGTATGTAAAATAACTTTCAAGATCTAATGTCTTTTTAACAAAAATGACATAAATAATAAATATGCTATATTTTGACAGACTGAGCACATAATAATAAAATCACTCGTGTATCATATTAGATATCTACTTTTAAGGCTAAAGGTGAACAAAAACACATTTTATATTAATTCTATTTAAATAAAATAATGTGTTTTAAACAAAACACTCACAATTTTAAATACATTAAATAATGACTCGAAATCTATCACAAATGTTTGACATATAGGTATTTTCTATAATAAATATTAAGGATATGACCATTTTTCTTTTAACACAGTGTTTGTCTAAATAATAGCCAATAAGTATTTATTGTGTTTACAATATATACTCAAACAGGCATTTAAATGTTTATAACTATTGACTTTACAAAACAATAATTTGATGACAGAAATATTATCTAGTAATCATTTACATTAAAATAAAAAATAGTGAAGGATGTCAGGTTAAAATATATGGTCGTAAAAATTGCCAACTTATAAGTTTTTATAATCTTAAGAGATTCCTACTATATAATAGTACATAATATATACTAATACATTTTAAAATGTTAATTAAGTCTATTCTTATTTATGTTTGTGTAAAAAAAAAATATATAAATATAATTTATAAAAATAAATAAATGTTTAACATCTACTCTTTAATAAAATATATAAATCAAAATAAGTATAGTTTTGGCATAATAATTACTCATAGATTTTGTGCGATTTTTAATTTTGGCAAATTTAAAAAGGAAAATAACGTTTTAGATAAAAAAATAGAATTGATAAAAGTGAAAACAAGGCAAATAGGTATAAGCATACATATTTTTCAAAATATGAGAAAGACTAACCAATTTTGGAAGTCAGTTATTAAATATTAGAACATTTACTATAGATTCAAGGACAAAGGGAAGATACTGCAACCTTTATAATTTTTTAAAAGTCAAAGACATATTATATATTTAACTAAAACAAACAAATATAATTTTGTATACAGAATAAAAAAGCGTGAGAATTAAATTTCAACTGCAGTGAGAAAATACCACATAGGAATTCAATAAGTAACAAAAATTAAATAATTAATTAACATATTATCATGTACAATTAATTTTAGAACCAGTAACTATAAAAGTTAGAGACATAAATATGCATTTTAATTAATACATAATACAGGATAAAAAATATTGGTCTAGTTTCTAGGTAACACGTGCTTTTTTTTTTTAAATGTTATTTTAAAAATAAATAAATAATAGAATAATTGTTTCTTTAAGAAAATAAAAGATTTAAAGCAAATGTAATAGGCACAGTAAGGTATATCCCTCTTACAAACATATTTTTTTTTTTTACAAGATAAACAATAAATTGTTTAGAAATAATAACTACTAAACATATATTATGCTATGCTTTTTTTTTTTAATGATAACAGTCTAGAAGAGAAAATAAAGTTTATAGTATTTAATTTAATTAATTAATTCAAATAAGTAATAAAAAGAACACTGAATGCTTAAAACCCTCTAGAAAAGAAAACAAAAAAACTCACTAAAATAAATAATATAAACAATCTAAAATCAGAGTCTAATTTTGATGTTAAAAGATCTAAAATACGATGATAGTAACATAAGTTTATTATTTTATTCAGTTATACACGCACATCAGTCTATTCGAGGAATTTTATAAGGTGGTTCGTTACGATACCAAACTACTTGCCCAAGGATAGTCAGATCGATGAAAACCTGCAGTGTGCCACACATCCAGAATTGTAATGGTGCCTTGCGGCTGACAAAGTAACAAGTTTTGAATGCATCACCAGTAGTCCAAAGTAATACCATCGTAACACTAATAAATAAAATAGTTATATTTTTACCATCAACTAATTCAACAAATTATTTTAGAAGGAAATGCTTAAAAAAAGCAATTCGACCAATTTATAAAATTAACATTTAAAATAAATGTCCACTAATAAAATCCAAAAAGTTCTAAATTTAGGCAGGTTGGTTTATGAGAATCAATCAATTTTTATTTTTAAATAAATATTGATACCAAATAAAAAAAAATGTTATAATTCAATTTATATATGTTATGTAATATTAGAAATTAATCATGAAAAAATTGATTCTCCCATTCAAAATCAAAAAAATCCCAAAAATCCGTACCTCAGAGCAAAAGTGTATTAAGCAAAAAATTACAATTTTCTGATTTTTTGGTTCATCTATATAATTAAAGTTTTGCGCTCTAGTCACTGATTTACCTTATAAGACATTTGGACTCTTAGATGAGTCTATCTAAGTTAATCAATTTAAATTATCTATAGAACTTTAATTAATTAAATAGATAAATAATAGTTATTAATTTATAATTATTAATAAATAATTTTATTTTTATCTTTCTTAAAATATTTAATTTTGTGAATATTACACTTTAGCTCTGGGGTACAGATATTATTAAAATTAAAAATAGTTTCAAGTTTGTATGGAACATTCTTAAAATAAAGTATGATCGATAAACACTGACAAACCAAAAAGTATCATAAACCCTAGAAAGGGTGGAAAGTTTTTCTCTATTCGGAGCAAAGTTTTAGGACTTAGGGTCTGAAAATTAGACGGCTGAAGGTAGATCTAGAGTGCAATAGATTACAAATATAGTTTTATTAAAAATCCGTAGTTTAATTTTATTTATAAAGGAAAAACCCATAAAAAAGGGGCAAATTTCCCTTTGACTGTTGTAAATTTATAGGTTGCTATGTGTGAGTGAATCAACACACTCAATAGATATCTGCAATATCTGCCTTTAGTGGAAGAAGAAGTACTTACATCATCTACAAGTCTACACTGAAACATTATTATGTAATTTACCTGTGACCTTCCCATCCCTAAATATACCCCGACCCCATTGTACTGGCTTTTTAAAATTATTTAAAAGTACCTTACCTCATTCCTTCTGTTGATCGGTTTCTTAAATTTTTTACTAATTGCGGAACGCCCAACATCGCTTCGGTTAAAAGAGCAAGAAATCCAATTATTTCAATAAATATGACATTGTGTAAAAATATGAATGTTATGATACACAGGCAAATACTCATTGCAATTAAAAAATCTATGTATGACTGAAAGTCAGTCCACTGCCAAAAATAGTGCCAATCAAAATCTAGAAGAAAAAAAAGTGTCATTTTTTTTTTGATAGTCTGTCATTAAATAGTTTTTACCTGTAAAATATCTTTCCGGACCTCTGATTAATTGTGTTTTATTGCGTACTTTTACACACAAGTGGATCATAAATAACATCATAATATTCATTACTATACTTTGAAACAGTAATGGAAGTTCATAGCGTTTACCAAACCTAATAATATAAAAATTATATAGCTACCTTTCTACAGATACTAAGATATCCTATGGCTGTTTTTGCTAGTTTGTTTAACATTTAAGTAAAGTTCAAGGTTAGTTGTAGTGTTGTTATACTGAACTGTAATACATTTTTAAGTTAAATTGGCGAGAACAGCCATGTATGTTATTATTAAAATTACTGAAAATTACCAAAAAAGTATTCGCAAAGTATTGGCAACTAAAAGTGCCAAGCAAACATACATAGAGAAACCCTCAGCGTCCTGTTTAATGTAAATTTCTCTATATTGTGGTATGTATGGAACAACACCACCAAACACCATGATCGTTGAACAAAACCAACGTGTTACTTTTCGCATTGTGATGTCTCTCACTTCTTCTACAACAACTGGTTCCATGTTGACAAACTGAAATAAACTTCGGTTTGAAATTTGGTCCGAGGATTTCCATACTAAAAAAAAAAAGTAATAGTCATAAAAATTATTTTTTATTTAATAAATAAATATATATTTAATTAAGTCCTATATTATACTAAGTTAAAGTGATATAGTTATTATAAAATTGCTTTTATTTTGGATAAAGTATTTTTAAAAGTGATAAAGCCTACTAAATGAGAACAATTATTAAAAAAAAATGTACCAACATTATTTAATTAAAAGTAGTATAAAGAATATTATATTAATATTTTTAAAGTTTAAATTAAGTACTTGTATCTACTTTTTTAATACACCAGTGCGTAGAAAGGGTTTGACGGGTCTAGCAGTGCTTGAGTCCTGTCGAGATGCACAAATCATTGCCTTTCTTATTTGGGACAAGTATACAAAGTATTCATTGTAAACATATATATCACAACAAATATGAATGTTATCATTATCTAGGAAACACAAATATAATAGTTGTATAACTCTCAAGGGGGCTCAAGGACTTCTGACAACTATTGTATAAATTATTTTTCATTATGTTTTCTCAATCTAAGAACACGGATGCGGTATGGTTATTATTGCAATAGCTGAGTACAGTGTGACTGGTTACTTAGTAGCTACTACAGTTTATAAATGATAAAGTAGTCATAATTTGTAAATTTAAATGAAGTTTTTTTTTTTTTTTTAAATTAAAAGACTTAACAACTCAGTCTGTTGTAAGTGCTGAAGATGACAACATTGTTTTCAGCAACAATACGTATTCACAAAGTGTATTATTTTTATAGTTTAGGGTTTAAATATTTATTTAATTACTATTTAATAGTTATATGATATTTCATATAACTATAAGTTGCTTAACATTTTTTCTAGATTAAAACCCCTGTTTTTTTTCTTTAAATATAAATTGAATAATCTTTATGGAGGCGTGGATCTAGAGGAATAAAAGCGCCTACCTCTTTTCTTTTAGCCATATTATTAGGGATGGGCCGTTACCACTTTTCACCGATACACAATATTCCTGCTAAAACTGATATTACGTATAACCTACCATTGATTATTATTTATAATTTTGAACTTTATTTATTAGTTTAAACTCAATGATACTAGCATTAACATAGTATGGAATCTTTTTTGCAAATACAATAATGATAATGTAGTTATATAACTAAATATTTAATGATAAGTATACAATTTTCTAATTACGTCTTGTTAGTCTTTAATAATTCCAAAATTAATTTTCAGTTTAAACTTTAAACAATCAATATTCCTTTAAACAAATTAACCATATAGGTTCAAAATATATATGTATCCTTTTGAGGCAAATACAATTTAAAAATAAATTAAATTATTTTAACAATTAACAAACCTTGTAAAATATACCACCCATGTGAATTTTTGAATGCATTTTTTTAATATGTATATGTTTTCTTTTTTTTAGTATAGGTTCAAATATCAGTTTTTAAAAAAACTGATAACAATAATAACAGCAGATATTGAGTATCGGACCACCCCTACCTATACATAGTACTCTATCAAACTACATTTTTTTTTGCTTTTGATTAACATGGACAGTTTTAATTATTTATTAAAAAAATTCTAGCCTAAAAACTAATACAAATGTCTACAATTTAAAAAAAAACATACATAAAGCTGAAATGTGACTATAAAAATCTCTTTATTAATATTTGATTATTTTTTATCAAGTTTTTATAGATTTTCTAGTGGCGAACTGACAACCCATCCCAGATAACAAATTCATCTAGAAATCATCTCATGATAGTCCTTCAAGGCTTGTTAAGCTACAGGATGATGATATTATATTAAAATGATTTTATGTTAGCTACTCAAACACTACGCTAGACAGTCAATATTGCATATTTAGTAAACAGTAGGTATTCTTTTGATAATAATTATAAATCTTACCTATCACTCAAATCTCCATACCGTAGTTAGATTTTGTCGATATAACATGGCTGGTTTTATATGAGGATCGGACAGTGAATTTTTGACTAGTATGTCGAGTCCTCGGATAGTCGGATCACCGACTGTCTATCAATGGAGTTTGGCAGACCCGGGTCAGTAGATGTTGCAAACAGTTTCAACTGGTATTCTGGTGTTTGGATAGCAGTACATTTGCGGGATTTGATAGATGGTCGTCGTTTGATGGACTTAACTCAAAGTGAAATCTCCAATGTTATAGTTTTACCAGTGTACTGTAATTCACTGTTAATTAAACGCACCGAAGACTAGGCGGGACCGTTCAGATATAATGTTGTTGTTGTTAATTATGAGAAATCGAACGCCAGAAAATAGTTTATGTGAAAAAGAAACACTGAACATTAAACAACGGATAACCCTTTAGCCAAAATCAAGGGAAGAATGAAGTGTTCCCGAAACCGACGTTATCGCGACGGTGGCGGCTGCGGCAAATGAACAATTCACAGGGAGGAAAAAGTAAAAACCGATTGTACTTTGTAGGGACACGCCACGTCGGTCGCCGAGTAAACAATGTCCATGCGTCAATACTACACGTCTAATTCCTATGAAAACTCCATTAACGTTCTATACCTATATAATATAGTGTACTGTGTATTATAATAATAATTTTGATTAAGTCAAAAATCAATAATACGATTATATTTGGTAAAAATGAATTGTATTAAATTACACAATGTGATAACAGATGCTGATTGTGAGAACGTGCAAAAACCGATATCACGTTTTTCTCCTAAAAGTTAAAACGTTCACCCAGTTTATAACGATAACATTAATTAATAATATAAATTATTTGATTTATTTATCGTTCAGGCCCGTCTCCGGATTACGTCGATAAGTAATACAAATTGATTTGACTATAGTAGTATTCGAGGTGACCAAAGGTTAAACTCGGAATTCAATACCTACAACTTAGATATTGGCGTATAACTTTACACAGACACTCAATGCACATACAACTTACAAGACGACACAGGATAAAGTATTATAGTACACTTGCACAATATAGTAATAATAATAAATCTACTCGATTCTATTATTGTGTATATACATACAAGGGAGGGGGTTACGCCGTGACCTTTTCGTCGGCCTTTTTGGGTGTGACCCTTTGGATATTGCACTTAAAGTAGGTGGTACCTAAACCACCGCGTGTTGAAAATAATTATAAATACCTAGGTAATAATAATAATAATAATAATATTTTAAGTATCGATCGTCTATTGCAGGACGTCAACGAGTTTATGAGTATAAACCTTTTAATAACATAATATAATTAATAATTACTAATTAATAGCATACATAAAATCCACAAGGTCGCAGCATTAATGTACACATTTTTTAACGCGCGTGAAAAATAACAAAGCATAAGTATAATAATAATTAATAATTGGTATTGCGTACTTCAACGTAGGTAAATATGCGAGTAAAAAATGATTTATGTATAGACAGTGCCAACATAATGCTGTCTTTTACTGTTTTCCATACAACACTATATTATAATTTTGTAATTTAGTTTATTTGAACACATGTATAATCATTTCACGACGTTCTACAGCGACATAAATATCGTAATATATGTACAGCTATGTGTTTTACAAATTACACGTGTTATTTTATTTTTCAGCCATTCATTTCACGTTGTAAAAAATATCAGCAGTTATTGAATCGAATGTTTACAGTTAAAGTCAAACATAATTATTGTACTTTTTTGCGATGTTAATGACTCACTTTTAGCAAATTCAAATATTTTTTGTCATACAACATGCTCGTGACCTTCTGCTATAGAAAAACGAATTAAACAAGGCCTCTCTTTAAATATATACTAGGTATATATTGTATTTTTAAACATAGTTTTTTCAAAATCACCTACAGAAGCGCAATTAAGGGCTAAGCCCCCCGAAAATATGCATAGTCCTCACAAAATTCACGCAGAGATTTAATTCTTGATTCCAAACTAAAATAAATAACTAGAAAATTATATCATATTAATGGTACGAAAAATAAAATTGTGAATAAAAAAATTGTTACGAGGGCTTTAGCCCCTTAAATTTTTTACCCTAATTCCGTCTATGATCATCACCTACCTTAGGAAATCTATGTTTCTTGAAAAATAATATTAAAACCCTCTATTTGATGAGTCACAATTAGTGTTAAAAATGTCAAACAAACAAAGGTCTCATGATAGACCAAAAGAAGTTGGAAAATCAAATTTTCGGAAAAATTGGAAGTCAGGCCGACGATTGCGTGGTTTGACTCAGAATACCCCATATCTATATATCCGGAGTACAAACGGATGTATTTTGGTTGTTATCACATGTGTAGTATGGGAAGGGGGCACAACCCTATGGGTCTATTATAAGAAAATGTATAGAGGAATAATAACCCTTAGATCATTGGTTTCGCGCTACGCCTATTTAAATAAATACCCGGGTACATGAGTTTTCAAAACCGTACGTCTGTACCTCTAAGTATAATAAGAAAATACAAATTTTATAAAGCTGAAAACTAAATTTGAAAACCCTCCCTAATAGAAGTATCTAGGTTCGGACAAGACGCACGTAGACGCATAGACGCGCCTTGGTCAGCCGTCAAAGAATGATAGTGATTAGTAAAGATAATATTTGATGCTCATCACTCTGTCACCGTAAAAATGTTGAGGCACAATAATATGTAAGGTGCGAGCAACATTTGAGCCCCGAACTCCCCTCACCAAAGCAAAAAAAATAAAATAATAATAAAAGATCTTTATTGAGATGATATCATTTTTTTTGTCGGGTGCTCTTAAATCGAAGTAGAGGTCTTTTGCAATTTGGATCGTCCCTAATAAGCTCTCTCCATAATATGCTTCGTCTATAACACGATCTGAGGTCACTAATTATCAAATTGAGTTTTCTAACTCAAAAAGTTAAAAATTTAAAAGTCCAGCAAAATCTGACTATCATAATTCTCGACTTTAAACGTTAAATATTAAAATTTTAAAAAATGTTTATTTAAAGAGACGCAATAGGATGGTCAAATGTATTTAGTCATAAAACCAATTTTAATACTATTGAGTCCTAGCACAACTCATTCAGAATCGTTGAGCACGAATTTATATAATCAAACGTAGTTTTTAAATTTCAGTATATAACGAAGACTGAACGAATCATTCATTTGTTCGTGGGAAACTATTAATAAAATGAAAGATGTCAAAATTCGAGGAGAGCGAACATTTTTCTTATGCTTACCTTAATTTTAAATATCTTTTTTGTATGACAATAAAATACGTATAGGGTGAAGAAAGGTATTGTTAAAACACAGTTATTTTAACAATCAGTGTGATTTTCAAGACAATTTTCTAATAGGGAATTACGCGATACGATCAACAAACTATATCACGACATTACTTATGCCACGATAATACCTTCCTTCACCCTACCTTGAAATTTTTACAACAATATGTGATTTATACACAGTGCTGAAATTAGAAAAATAAAAGTAGTGGGACGTTTTTACATTAGGAAAAAGAACGTACCCGCAATTTTTTGTTACTCCTAAAAAAACCACCACTTGTAAAAAATTGTTGGGTACTCAGCCCCCCTCCCAATTCAAGCACTGTTTGTATAATGATTTTATTTTATATTATTCGACGTGTTATTTATTTTTTTCTAATGTAAAGCCCTCCGTTTATATCTACATATGTTTTTTTTCATCTACATGTTGAAGCAGACTGAAAATAACTCGCTCAATTTTGGTTTTAGAGTAAAAACACCCATTATAAAATTAAAAGAGAACAATATTCCGGAGGGCAAGACGGTGCGTTTTTTTCATTATTCCAAGTATACAATTCAATACATAGTTTTTAAATAACGACTATTTTAACATTTTTAAATGACTGTAACTTCTCAAAAAAATAAATTTTTTAAAAAAAACGTACCGTCTTGCCCTCCGGAATATTTTTCTCTTTTAATTTTTATAATAAATGCTTTTACTCTAAAACCAAAATTAAGCGAGTTATTTTCAGTTGGCGTAAACATGTTTTAACCACTGAAATCACCGGTGCGACGCCCTCTTTAAGTAGCAGCATAATAAAGTTGGCGAGTAGGCGACCGGGTCACGGACGGTAGAGAGCGCCAGACATGAAAAACCATTATTTAACAAAACCACCGCCCAAAGCTTGATTTTTCCATTTCCTAGCTCAGCTTTTATTAATTGTAACCCCCACCATTTGACCTACAAAAATTCTACTTTTGAGAAATGTTGGAAAAACACTACTACTAAACAATAATAAAACGTCAGACGACCAATGACACAAAAACTCAGCCTGACCAATCAATCATTATTGTTATAGTCATTATAATTAAATATTGTATATTATACACTGATATACAAGTATAAATTATATTATTGTTAGCGGTTTGAGCTCATATAGAAATGCGGGACACATTTTATTGGGAGCATTAAAAGTATGTTTTCTCATGGCTATATTAAGTTCTTGTGAGTAAGGACCCGTATTGATAATAATGAACAGTAGACTGTAGATTGAACTCAACCAGTGTCTGACGTAGCAACTAGCAATCACTATCACCAGAATCACTCTTCGAGCGTCACAGTATTATATTATAATAAGGTGTCCGTTATTTTAAACTTAGTAACAAATTTTTTTATTTCACATAATTTTTCGGTTTGGTATGCTGAATTTCATAGCTGTACCACAATATCGACCCGTGCTGAAATCGATTTAAAGTTTTACGTTTAAATAACGTCGGAATTTTAATAAGATGTAGTTATTATTGTTTTTCAGGTATATAAAAAAATTCCAAAAATTCTAAATAATCGTGTTTTACCATAAAAATACTTTAATTATATTTTTAATTACAACACAGGAGATCGATTTAACATAGAACATTCGTAATAACAATTTTATAGTATTTATTTTTGACATTTTTATTTATGTTATTTTAAAATAATAGAAAATTTCTAAATGTTTACCTTTTTTCCAGAGCACTATCAACTTTTGAAATTTAAATGGTAGGTAACATACATATTTAACTAACTTTTTAAATTAAGAATAACGTACTAAAAAATGGTGACTGGTCGATAACCAGTTTTGGATAGCTAATTACGTTTTAAGTTTAAACTTTAGGACGAGTAGTGGTAAAGGCTTCACTAAGGGGTGCTAAGGCTTTAGCAATCCCAGACCCAAAATTAGCACCCCCCCCCCCCAAATTCAAACCCTAATCCTTGATTTGTATGCATACAATTTTAATAAAGTGACATCTTTGTTTACAAATATTTTATTTTACATCTAATGATTATATATACATAATTTTAGCACTCCCTAAAATATAGATCTAGTTGCGCCTATGGGTAGTGAAGTACGGTTTATTAATATGCACAAATAAAAATCTACTAAACCCCACCCTTCTTCCCGATTTAAAATTTTAACTCTAATAACTTTTTAAAGTTATAATGCTTAATATATTATGTAGTAAAATGAGTAATAAATTTAAAAATCTACATTTTCTAAATAGATACTAAATTAACCCTCATGGAACATTGACACCCTGTATAGATTTAATCACATCCTTATCATTAATTATTTTATGTTTACTTATAATTATCAACATTTTCCTCAGATTTATATTAACAATAAAATAAATAAATTATCTTTTTAAATATTAATAAAACTATATAATTATTTGTATACTTTTTATTTAAGATTATGATTAAAGGTTAATTAAAAGTCAACAATATTAAAAGTCCAGTGATATATAAAATGGTTATATAAAAATACGCTAGTATATTTATAACAACGCGGTTTTCACTCACAATTACATAATTTCCATATTTCCTTTTTTGGGAGACATAAATAAATGTAAAACTATCCCCTATATTACAGCCTTATATGCGATTTTTATCGTCACACTGAAACATTTTCCAAACATAAATACCCAATTCAATGTAGGTAAATATAACTAAATCAAACATTATTGTTAATTTGAAAAACTTAACATCAATTACTGAAAGTGAAATAATAGGGATAAAATTTGTTTTATGCAAGTCTAGGGTCTAGATAATTTTATGTTCTAACAAAATATTTTTATAATAATCTATATATTTTATTCTTCAATAATTATTGTTATTACATAAGTACAATTATTTTTCCCCATATCCATCTACCTTCATATCATTTAATCCAAGTTCTTCATTTTGCTCTTCAGTTCTATCGAATTTTGTGATAGTCAGCTTTGGATCCAAAGTCGGAGGTGTTAGACTCTTAAAAAAAATTATTTTTAATAATTACTTTATGTTCAACAATTAAAATTAAAGTTTAAAAGTGACCAACCTGAACATAACTATTTCCAGCTGGATCTCTGAGTAATATGTCTACAGGCATTTCACATTTTTTAATTTTTTCTAATTTGTCTAAAAAAACTTCTGTGTTTAAAGCTACTTCCCCAGTCTGACTATCACCTTTATAGAAAGTAGAAGCCGTCTTACTCAATTGGTCTTGTAAAGAAGTTAGTAGTCCTTCAATAGTAGTAAAGCGGCCACTTAATGATAGTGCACCAGCTTCAAACTCCAAATCTGGAATTAGAAGATCGCAAGTTTCTGACTGGAATAGAGAACCAATAAAATATTACAAATAATATAGATGTTAAGATAAATATAATTAGTAAGAAATAAGAGATAATAACAATATAACTATTGGAATATTATAGTACGGCCAGCAAAAAATATGCCGCGATCGTTCACTCGTTTTGAACCCCTCAATAAGGAAAAATCGGCCGCTAGTTGAGTGACTATTGCGGCTTACTTTTCGATGGCCAAACTATTTGCAATATTACCTTAAGAATATCCCGGTTTAAATCTTCTGGGGCTGTAACTTTAACCTTGATTAAAACACCTTGATCTTCTATACCACCACCAGGTTTTACTTCATTAGTTCTATAGCCACATTGGTCGCAATTTGTTGCCATTATTACAACTTGTTTAAAATATGGAATGTCTTAAATTTTCACATAGAAACATAAGTTAATTTAATTTATAAAACATCTTTGAATCTATGAATAAAGGTACCTGTTACTTTCATATTTGTATCACACATCTGCGTACAATTTGGGCACGGGCCGTTAAATTGTACAACCTCATCGTTAATATTATTGACAGCCTCATCATTAAAACTACCCAATGGTTTAATCATAGAATCTTGAGTATTTTCTGCAGCTAAGCCAATCATTGTGTTTTGTTCATTATTGCGAGTAAAGGCGATCGAATGCATTCTAGGATCAGCTTGAGGTGCATTTGGATTTGAAATAAACAAGTTACCAGTAGCATCTTCAAAACTCTAAATAATTATAATTGATAAATTATATTAAGAAAATATAAATACTTAAACAAATAACCATTAGCTCATTACCATTATAACAGGTTTGTTAAGACTTTTAATACTATTCAAACCATTAATAACTTCATCAATCTTTGAAGCAAATTCAGCATTTGTTTCAAACAGCTGATCTTTTTGATGGCTTAAATTTACAACTGTCTTGTCTATAACACCTTCAACAGTAGTAACTTGTGCTTTTTGTGACATTGATGGGATTTCAAATTCTAGTTGAGGCACCCGTACACATGTATAGTCTGTGGTAATCACATACCTATCCAAATCAGCTTTTTCCTCTACGCTCAAAGTTAAACGTACACCTTGAGGTTTGATCTCAATAGCTGGGTCCAGTTGATTGTTTTTATAGCCACAGTGAGGGCACTCAAATGAAGATATTACCAATTCCTTATAGAATGGTATGCGTGTCAGTAACAATCTTGTAATTCCCTTTAAAAAAAATACACACAAAAATAAAGGTACAACTGATCAAACAAAAAATCAATTTGAAAGTACTTACATTTTTTCCACACTCAAAACACAAGCTCTCAATTACATTAACTTCTAATCGGTCAACGTCCAAGTCCTGAAATGGACTTTCAGAGTTACCAGTTTCACTTTCAGTCATTTTATTAATAATTTGTTAACGAAATTCAACGTGTATCGTTGTAAATTGTATTTTCGTATACGTTACTTCTTAGGTACTGGGTAGAAATTAGAATCAAGAATGAGAAAATAAAAGAGAAGGAAATCACGAGTGTGATAAAAGATCACCACCCGGTGCCTACGATTATAGATAGAATGGTTACGCCGTATGCGTAATGCGACGGCCAATGCAGCAGCTTACGGCGGCAAAGGTTCTTATCAAAATTACGAAGCAGGTCAAATCGTCGCCCGACAAAACGCCGCCGAAAATGGACAAAACGTCGCCCGACAAATCACCGCCCAAAAAAACCGCCTCTCAGTCACGCCAACATTGACAATTTTCGTATACAATACAAGATTATTAATTGTGTTGGTTGTGCGGCCAGCATCCTTAGATCTATAAATTTCTTTATAGCCTATAGGTCTATGCCAGCATCACATATTATTAAGGAATACTATTTAGTAATGATCCATCTCATTTGACTGTACTGATTTTAAAATATTAATGATTAAATTTAATGACGATAGTGGAAACTATTAAGTTAATATAATGTTAATTCAACAATCAACATTATAAAATCTAAGTATAATTGTATTTGTTCAACTATACAATATTACATTTTTTAGATACCTAAATTTTAAAAACTAAATTGATAGAATTATTTGTCATATGATTTTTTTTATTATGGACCACTGAATATCTCACTGAGTAGGTATAGTGAGTTTATTTAATAATTGGACTTTTTTTTTATAGTGTTTTTATTTAATGTGATCTCAATTTCCACAAATGTCAAATTTTCATGTACCCAGAGACGTATTTAGGAATTTTGCGCCCCAGGTAAGAAAAATAAACACCCCCTTCCCAACCTATATTTCTTATCAATAGGTGTATTTGAAAAAAAAAACACATGATAGTGAAACCAATGCATTCTTCGCTAAACTCATAATCTGAAAGGTATATTAGGTATACATAAAAAAAACGTTTTTAAAAACATGCTTTTCTAAAAAAAAAAAAAATAGTAAAAAGTGAACTAAAAAGTAAAAAAAATTTTATTACAAGATCAATTTACCAATCAATTGTAGCATATTTTATTTAAAATGTCAATTACTTTGAAAACAATCGAAAATAAATTTTTGACTAAAAAGAAAAGCGTGGGCCTTATTCAACAAAGGTCCAAATTTATTGAGTTAAGTATTAAGAAATGTATGTATCACACACTAATATTAAACCAAATTTAAATTACAAAAAAAACTTACAATATAAAACATTATCTGATAAATTTATTAGGGACTTTGTTGAATAGGGCACATGCTTTTCTTTTTAGTCAAAAATTAATTTTCGGTTGTTTTCAAAGTAATTGACTCTTTAAATAAAATATGCTACAATTGGTTGGTAAATTGTTCTTGTAATAAAATTATTTTTTACTTTTTAGTTCACTAAATGTTTTTAAAAAAATTTTTTTTTAAATTATTTATTTTATTTTTTTACTTTTTAGTCCTATTTAAAGTATAATTGCTGAATAGATTACTAAATTAATTTTGGAAGATTTGGAAAAAAATGAAATTTTAGTGAAATGACCCCCACATTTGACCCTGTGTAGGGCGACCTGGATGTCCGAGTCCCAATATGATTACAGAATATTGTATTGTCATCTAATACGAGTGTCTGTGCCAAGTTTCAGCCCTATACGACATCGGGAAGTGGGTTAAATTAATTTTGCATGATTTGAAAAAAAACCGTACAAACGTACGTACGTACGTGTTAGCGAGCTAAAGAAAAGCATGCAAAAATACATTTATTGAAGTACATATTACATAATTATATTAGGTATATTTATTATTAATTATACAAAAAACCTAAATGTAATAGGTTAAATGACAACATTTAAAAAAAAATCCCTTAATATATATAATTTCCCATATGTATAAGAATATTAAAAATTTAAAATTTTAAATGTTTACGCCGAGCTTTTTCAATAAAAAACGCCATTAAAAGGCGAGCAAAAGCAATAGAATTTACGCCGAGCGTATCAATGATATGATCATAATCTAACTTCTTTGTTAAATCTGACTCTATAGTTAAAACAGCCAAAGAATTTAGCCTTTCGTCGGTAGTACTTGATCTCAAATAGGATTTGACCATTTTTAAGACTGAAAAAGACCTCTCAGCAGAACAGTTAGATGTAGGGCTAGAAACAAAAATTCGTAACCCAATTTCTACATACAGTTACAAATCTTTTTTTGTTTCTTTGTGATTACGAACATAGATAATAGATTACGAGTACATCAACGTTACGAACTAAGATTATTATTACTGACAGTTGGCACGACCGTTTAAACATGTCTACGAAATATTTTTGGGCGGCCATATTCTGTGTATCTTAATGCTCAAACTACAATATACTTTTACATGTCCTGGTATTTTCAATGCATGTTTCGTGACAAATAAAAACCACAATAATACATTTATTAGTATCATTACTTTTTTTATCACCCAAATGACCTACCGTATTATACCAAAATGCTCTTCAAAATTTACCGCCTCTAAAATTTTACCGCCAGGGCCCAAGCCCCCCTGGCCCTCCCCTAAATACGTCTCTGCATGTACCTCCCTTCCAAACGAATTATATTAAAAGTATTGACTGGTCAATAAGCAGTTTTGGATAACTATTTTTAAATTTTGTTGTTTTAAGTTGAGGGCAGGAGAAAAGGTGGAGTGTAGTATTATATTTATCTGCACGCACTTCCCCTCCCGCCTTAACAATCCGCCCAAACTCTTATAACTTTAAAAATAGTGGTTCAAAACTGGTTATCAACTAGTCAAAATGTTTAAAATATATATGTTACCATTAAGTTTTAAAAGTTACTATCAAAAAAACTAATTTGAAAAAGGGGTAGGATCATAAAAAGTTTTTTTGGCCTCTCATCACCCGCCGTTGTTTTTTTTGATGAAATCACAAAATAGATGAACTTAAGTAGTCCCTCGAACGAAATTTTGTTGTGATTTTTTTGCACAAGTCTCATCAACAATTACTGTTTTTCATTCAAATAACACGTAATCACCACTCTTTCATTAAAGACCTATAACTTCTTTAGTTATCTGAAAAAAAAGTCATAAGATATAATTTGGAGATAATTTAAAAAGCGACAAGATTATTCTAATCCCAACTATTTATCTTCAAAAATTAAGAATTTACAGATCTTTTGAAAGGAAAGGGGTGGTTATAATATAAAATAAATTTTATTATTTATTATAATTGTATTTAAAGTATCTGTTTTTAATAAGGTAATTTTATGTATAAACAATTTTTTATAATTTGTTAGGAATAAAACAGCTATTTATTAAAACATGTATTTAATAAAAAATGTTTTAAAACATCTAAAGATATTTGGTTAGGATGTATAAAATTATTTATTAAATAATTTCAAGTATTAAATTAAGTATAAATCAAGTATAAAGTATTGTTCAGAAAATTAGGTTAAAGAAATATTATTTTGCTTGTTAGAACATATTCCTAACCTAACCGGAATATTTTAGGCAATTTAGCGTTATATATTGAACATTTTAAAACGTAAAAATTCACTCTCTGTACTTATAAGTTATACTCTAGGCAAATAGTTGACATTGTATATTGGTTTCCATAAAAAAAAAAAAATACCTATATACTAGGATCAACTATAATTATTAGTATTATAGGGACACAATAAATTAATAAAATTGCTTTAATATTTAGTTGGCCGAACTATTTAGCTATTATAGTTGATAATTATAGTTAAACTTCTGGTACCTACACTCTGTATAAATTATCGCTGAGTGGGCAAAGCATAAACAAAGGATGATGCGTTGGTCGCTGGTATACAGGAATTGTTATGACTAGACAAATTATAATAATCTCCAAAAACTCGGCGATGACTAAAGCGAATACTATACATACACTGGGGATTTTGACTAAAATTATTTCAATTTAAGAGCTTAGCAGAAAAATAACTACTATTATTATTTACATTTGTTTCCTTCTTATTTTTTTAATAATTAGGACAATTATCTATCTCGTCTTCATAGTGTTTAAAAAATGTTTTTGATAGTTTAACAAGACTATAGGCTAGTCTAATGGTCGATAAACAATTCTATTCATTTTCTTTTTAAATATTAAGTGCTTAAAAAACATATTGAATAAATAAGGGAACTTCTAGTTTAAGATTTAATACAACATAATTCTGCCTTTTTATATTATACAGACTTGCATATTAATTTTATGGCATTACACGTAACTGTTAGAATTTTAAACTCAGGTTAAACCTAACGAGTCAAATTTCGAATAATTCAAGAACTATTGGTCTATTTCGTAACTAAATTTGAAATTCTATAAGTATGGGGCAGTGTAAGTGTTTTTTTAATGTTCATAGCTTAATTCATACTGTAGAATTTTTTAAATAATGGATATATGCATTTCAATCAATATGACAATAGTTACCAGAACATAAAACATTAAAACGTAATATTAAACATTCTCAAGCATTTAGCACATTTATAAAATCGTGAAAATGGACGTCGGTCTTTATTAAATGTTTGTTTCATCATTGATTATTGCAATATATCTGTTGTCGTACATTAAAAATCCAACTTTCTAAATATAATTAAAATACTTCAGCTTTAAATAAAATAAGGTTTAAAGATGTATGGGATAACATTTTATGTTTACTACGTTAAGCTAATAATTTCTGTATAATAACTCCTTTCTGCTAATGATAAGCTGACAACGACACAATTTTAATTATTAAAGAAATAGTTTTTAGAATAATTGATTCTGTATTTTTAATTTTTATTATATTTTTAAATTATTTGATTTATACCCTTAAACTCTTACGTTGTATTATAATAATATAATATAGGACCATTTTTATGTAGTAAATTTTTTAAAAGTTCTTTTATCGACGTTGAATTGTTGTTTGATTTGTTTGTTTATGATGAAAAAAAAAAAAAAAATGTAGGTACTTTTTTTGGAAAATGTATATATTATATATATATATATATATATATATATATATATATATATATATATATACTTCATAAAGATTACAATCATTAGATAATAGTAATTAGCTGTGTGTCCTTAACCATCGAATACCGTCACTTTATTGGCCAATAATGTAACCCTCAATAATGCAATTTAAAGGAGGCTCTACAAAAAAGTTTGTTATGTGGTACTAAAAAGTTTAATTTTTGTTTTATGGATAATGAAATAGTATATTTATACATCAATGTCATACTTGTCAAACTAACTGAAATACAATATCAATATAATTTATGTTACACCAAAGTGATGTAACTAGTTGGAAAAACTATCGACTTAAAATTACATAAATATTTATTTTAAATTAAAAACAAGCGGACTGTCTTAAAGTCAACTAAGTAAAAATCCTTAAAATAGACCCTTTTATAATATAGTAATTATAAAAAAAAACTTAACCCTTTGTACGCTTAATTAAATATATTATAGCTCAGAACTATAATATTATAATAAGTAATAACTATAATATAAATAGCTTTAAAGTTTAGTTTTTTAAAAATAAAATCCAATACCTTTTCAGGTTTACATCAAAGCTAAAGTAAATTTTTATATTGTTGTTGAAGTCGAAATGAGGTTGTAAGATATAAAATAAAATTGGAACAGACAGTACAAATTAATGATAATGTTATTTTAATGAGCAAAGTCTTGTACAAATTTTTTCTTAAATATCACTTCTTATGAAATTGCGTTAAAAAAATTAATTAACTTAACCAGGCAAATTTATAATGCTTAACAATAGATTAACAAATACATTTCAAAAATATTGGCAACTTTTTTTTTCTGGTGTATTCAGACTGGTTTTACACATTAGAGAAAAATACATATTACCAAAAAAAAAAATTAATACTAATAATAAACTAGAGATTCAAACGACAGGGGACATGATGCAAAAAATTTAATTAACCAAGTTAATTAAATTAGCAAGAATAAGGCCGCGTGTTTTAAGTTGTAAAACAAAAAAAATAGATAAAAAACGTATTCTGTAACCTAGTTGTAACAACTAAATTAACGAAAAATATATTTTTAATTGTTATCGTAATAAAGAAATCATCTAATCTCTAATGTTAAACCTAGTTTTGTTTATATCCATATAATCAATAAAAATAATAACTTTTAAAAGAAAACAAAATAAAAATATACAAATTAATTGATATATAATAATAATAACAATTTTAAAAACTTAATTGCTTAATGTGTGTTGGCCAAATATTTTATAAAGTGAAAGGGTATTTAATCTTATGATCTTAAATTGGTGTTCCTATTATTTTATACAGCAGGATTATTGTTGAAATGAAGCGAGTAATCTTCTACATTTCTTGAATATTGATATGAACATTAAACTAATATATACATATGGCTAATGCGAAAATCCTATATTGTTAATGAACAAATTTTAAATGTTTTATTGATATTAATTAATATGTATCAACAATTTTATTTGTTGAGTTTAATAAATTTAATATCACATATTGCAAATAAAAAAAAAAACAACAAGCATAGTCTAAAGAAAACATAAGACAACTTTATAGTTGAAAATAGAATGTTTGCAAATATGAATGCATTTCAAGCATTTGATATGAGTGGTTCATTGGAGAAATATAAAATGGAATTTTTGGGAGAAAATACTGTAAAATTGATAAATACTGTACAATTCAAACTACATAACATAATTATTTGAAAAAGTTATCATTGTAAATGAGAGAATTATGAAGACAACATTAAATATAACACCATAAAAGAACAGAAATATCCTCGTCTTAATAAAAACAATAGACATAATATTAGAAAAATATAAAATCAAAATGAAAATAATTGTAAAATATTGGATGTGATTTGAATAAAATATTCATTATTTGTTAATACATCATAAATAGTTTGTACTCTTTGCAAATGTATGTCAAGTTTGAAATTTTTTTTTAGAAAGCATGTCTATTAATAAGTGAATAAAGAAAATTATTTTTTTTTTACTATTAGTCGCAATATAGAGGTGACTGATATAGTAAATTATTTTATGTTACGCTCCCAACTATATTATCCGTTTAAACATAAAATTTGTATACATATATAAATTTTTGTAACAGTTAAATACATGTAGTTAAATTGTAGGTCTGAATCAATAGTTTTTAAAGTTTGTAATACATCGAGATGTTTCTGCATACAAGACAACAATAACCCCAACAAAATACGTATTTTGACACTTTTTTACATAGAATACAATTATTATCATACATATGTACCGATCTTAAAACATTATTATCCTTTTGACTTACAAACAAATTTAGTTAATAATAATTATCTTTAGTAAAAACACCTCAAAATAATGATATTTTTTCTAGTCTCGTGTTTATAAAAAACCAAAAATGAAAACAACATTTAAAGAAGTGTAACAAGAATTATTATAGTAACTGTTCCATTGTACCTCAATTAGGTACATTGTAACATTTTAATTTTGTACACGTTAAATGTAATTTATTGTATTATGATAATTAATATAATATTAATAATAATTATTATTTTACTTTGTTTTTTTCACACGATTGGCTATCAAATAACCATTATTGGCACAAATACATTGTATTGTGAAAAATCACTGCTATAAATTGTTATCACTGTTAATGTGTTGTGATTGGGCAGCAATTGCAGCGGCAGCAGCGTTCGCCATATGATTAATGTTGCAAATAACTGGGTAAACGTTTTCCATTTTACTAAGCTTTTCAAAAAATGGAATCAAGTGCAACAGTTCTTTATCAGTCATATCATCAAACCATGAATTAACAGGAACCTGTCAACGAAATAACTAAATTATACTTTATATCTACTATATGTCTTTGCAAATTTGTTCAAATTGCTCTAATAACACATTTTAATTTTTTTTAAGTGCATTAAGAGGCTAGCACTGAGGCTGTTAAAAGCAGTATCGAGGGTATTTGAGGAACATTTTCTGGAAAATACTAGACTGAATACAATCTTTTTGTGTCTAAAACATTTAATTACTGTTGGCTCGTCGATAAAAAAAAAAAACTCATTTTTTTGGTTCTTAATGCAAGAAAAGCTTATACATTTTTTTGTCAAAAAAATCTCTCTCTTTATCCATATTAAATTTAAATAACAGGTTTCTTCAAAACAAGGGGCCTTCCATAGGATTCGATCTTTCTTAGATTTCAAATAAATGTACCTAGCATGGGAAAAATCTTGATATTACAGGAGATAGATTTTACTGAATAGTATAGCTAATACAGGCTTCTAAATCAGCAAATTAAAAAAATTATATACAATTTTCCCGCAATCTTTAGTATTTATTATGGCATATCAATGAGCACAGAATTAAATAAAGATTAAACAAAAAAAAAAAGTTTTTACCGGTGTCAGGCTCATTAAGTTTTATACCGTTTTCTTATAATATGTATTATAAAAAATAATTAAATATTTAAATAAACCACACAAATAATTCTCGACAGCGTATACATATTTCAGTAGCAATATTACCATCATCAGTCATACTGATTACGAGCAAACACCTCCGTATATACATATACACTATCGTCATACCGGAAATTATCACTGTAATCATGTATTTTTACGAATTTTAATAAAATGCGTTGTAATGGACTCGATTCCTAGTTTAACAAATTGTTCCAATTTTTCAACATTTTGATTGCCTCTCTAATATTAAATTCTTTAGAATTATTAAAATGTTTTACTAAGTTTATGCTATGAATAGTATCCAATAAATGTTCCGCAACAAGAGATTTGTGTACTTCTAGGTTATTTATGAGCCTTGCATGTTCTTTAAATCTAACCCCAATACAGGGTGATTATTTTATCGTGAACCACTCAATATCTCATTGGGTTTAATGAGAAATTTAAAATGTTTCTTTCATTTTGTTCTTATACAATGTGCTTTCAATTTTTGTTTTTACCCCCCTTCCAACTTAGTTATTTTATAGCAACTTTTAAAATATAAATGGTAACTAACTCATACACTTCATTAACTTTTTAAATTGAAAATAATGTACTAAAAATATTGACTGATTGATAACCAGTTTTGAACAACTATTTTTAATGTTATAAGAGTTTAAAAGTATGATGGGAGGGGAAGTGCGGTTGGCAACTTTATTCTCAATTTAAAAAGTCAATGAAATGTTTTTCTTTTTAAGATCCAAAAGCTGCCATTAAAAAAGCTAAGTGAGGAGGGAGGTAAAAACAAAAATAATGTAAAAATTGAGACCACATTGTATAAAAACATTATGAAAAAAAACTTGTATTCCTTATTAAACTCAATGAGATATTGAGTGGTTCATGGTAAAATGATCACCTATATTTCGTCAGACCTACACATAGGCGGAGATTTGATAAGCAAAGGCTTCACACCCCCTCATCATTACTTTAGTGAGTGATCAAATAATTTGGGGTGGCTTTCAATAATTTCGGGGGGGATAAGACCCCCAAGCACTCACCAATCTCCACCTATGGACCTACAAAGAATTTATCACATTTTTCACATTGTATTTTATAAATTCCCAATTTTTAGTATTCCCCTATATTATCTTTGGTCAGACAAAACAAAATATCGGGGTTAAGTTTAAACACATTTTTATAATGATCATTTCCTGTATGACGACACTGTATAGGTATGTAAGGAGGTGTTTGCCCGTAATCAGTCTCAGTCTATTGTATGCTCTGAAGATGGTAACAATGCTACCGAAATACGTATATGCTATAAGAAACCATTTTTGTGATTAAGGGTTAATTTAAATAGTTAATTACTTATAAATTATAATATATAGCCACAAGTGTTGCTAAAGTTTTCTCTAGATATTATAAAATGTTATATACATACAGCGTTATCAGGATGAAAAATATAAGAAGCTGGTGAATTATCAATGATTACGACTTTATGTAGTGCACGGCCTAATTTGTTTAAGTCTTTTACATAGTTTCCTCTATAAAAAACACATGATTCACGGAATAGGCGAGCTCGGAAGACACCCCACTGATCTAACAAATCAGCTACTGGATCAGCATACTAAAAAAAAAAACAATAGATAAATATATATATACATATATATGTAAGTATTTTTTTTTTTTGTAGATAACAAATTAAAATTTAACTTACTAAAAATATTAACAAATGTAATCAAATTCAACAAAAATAAGATTGAAATTATTATACATGATCAATGGTAATACATTTTTTAAAAACAATAGAAAATAAAAAAGTTACACACCTTGGCAAGACTTGCAGTAAATAATACACATTCATAAAGTTCGCCCATACGCTGAAGAAATTCATCTACATGTGGCCTTTTCAAAACATATACTTGATGAATGGTACCATCTATTTCTACAGGCACTATAAAGTCTGCATTGTTGATTGCCTATATTTGTAAAAAATATGTATAAATATATAACATGTTGAATTAATTAATTCCATAGGTACTATAAAACAGAATAACTATATACTGTTGTTAATTGAAAAAAGAGAAACCTTAAATGTACCTTAAATGAACTATGAACAAGTGTTTCATCTAAATCAATCACCATACACTTTTTATGCATATCTTGATGTTTGATAGCGGGAAGAAGATATGATGTTTGTGAAGGGTCCGGGCTTAGTGGAGGTGTAAAACTACGGCTAGATTTGGAGTTGACTCCACGAATACTACCGCTTGGTCCAAAAGTAGATTTTGGTCTTGTCCTCGATTTCCCAAAACAACACAGTAGTGTTCGCCATAATCCTCTTTCATTTTTCATTCGAACATGGCTACCTACAATGAAAAATTAAGTACTTAATAATAATTTATCATTTTGACTGTTATTGCCAAAACTTAATTTACAGCTAAAATAGTTTTGTATATTTATTTTATTAAGATACTATTGAGGATACTTTTTTGGTAGTGTAATGTGTCTGATAAGTTAGTTGTATAGGCTAGGCTAGGCTGACCGTAAAAAATAAATACAGTACACATCAAAAAACAATATACAAGTATTGTATATATAATTACAGAGTATCCTACAAATATTCAACAAATGAAATAACTTTTGTTCCAGAAAAAATTTTTAAGATTTTTTTTAAAATTAATTTATATTTATTTGCGCTATAAAATCCATTTTTTTTTATTGCACTTAACTGTTTTACTTTTGTAATTTATTTTTTTATGATAGCCCTTTTATTTAGAATCTTGCTGAAAATGTTGACTGGTCGACTACCAGTTTTGGATAATTATTTTTTAACTTATTTAAGTTTAAAGTTTGGGATGGATTGTGGAGTATGGTAGAGTAATGCGCATAGTTATTTTTATCAGGGCGCATTATCTACCGTATTCCACCTCCCATCCTAAACTTTAAACTTAAATAACTTTAAAATTAATGATCCAAAAGCGGTTGTTGACCAGTCAAATATTTTAGCAAAGTATTCTTAATAAAATTGCTATATTAAATGTTAAAAGAGCCAGTACAGTGGTGTTGGGGCATAGTGGGGACGAGGAGGTCACAGGTTTAGACGAATTATTAAATTGAAAGTGATAAAATCACTTTCAAATAAATGCTTCGATGCGAATCAGTAGTTAGTATTTTTAAACCATAGTATAAACCAACATAAGAAAGAATTAATGTGAAGTGCAGTGTTTACAAATTAGCATAAAAGTGTTTATTTGAAAGTGATTAGAGGACTAGTACAGTAGGGTCAAGACATAATGTAATCAAAGCATAGAGGGGATGTCTGTCCCGGAGAGGTCACAAGTCTCTAGGAATTATTATTAATCAAAGTGATAAAATCACTCTTAAATAAACGCTTACCAAATAAATATTCCTTAAAAATTTCAACTTGATCAGACTCTTTTCCTCGAAATTATAGCCAGAAAAAGTTTAAGATTTTTATACTTGTATGTTTTTTTTTTTGTTTTTCAAATTTTAACTGTGAAGTAAACTTTTTTCAACTTTTACCCTCGCCCCCCCCCCCCCCCAAAGAACCAAATAGATGAAATTTGTGATCTATAGAGTTGTTACTCGGAGGAATTGGTCCAGTATTAAAAAAGTCACAGTGTATACAGACAAAAAGAAAGTCCACATCATTGTAAAACCACTAGAATCTCTAGCATCAAACCTAAAAACAAGGTAACCAAAACATTATCACAGGAAAACCCAAACAAAAAAAAAGGAATACAAAATGATACAATAACATTACGACAACACATGAAATGATAATATTATGTACGAAAATAACAACACCTTTACTGTTACAGTTTTGTCTGTTTGCATGATGCTTAGATAATCGTGCGCATTCGACGTAATGTGTGTATTAAAGCGAAATGGGTTGTCCATTCCTGAGTAAATTGAACATTAACATTTATTTACTAATTTATACGCCTCAAGAGGAAGATTAGACAGAAATAATATAAAATGCAATGATAATACATTATGCATATAGTACATGAACGTATTAAATCAACAGTGGTTGTTAATAATAAATAATTTTATTTAATATCAATTTCTAGCAGTTAATAGACAAAACTTGCTGTTATAATATAATACTCAAACTTATTTCATGGTTGGAATAAAACAGATCAGTTTAACCTACTATTCATCATTTTTGAAAATTAAGGTCAATAACACTAATTAAGAGAAATAGTTCATACATGTTTTTAGTTACATACATAAACATATAAGGATGTATACAAATTTAAAAATAGACTCTTAATACTATTTTTTCTATTGTTTGTGCAAAAAAAACTAAAATTATATTGGTATGTTCAAAAAGTACTATAAAGATATTTGATCTTTTTCTTTATTTCACTTTGTCGAACTTGGTTTTTGGACTTAAACTGAAAATTAGTCTGTGTGCTTAAAATGAACATTTTTTTTTTTTTTTAATATCACAACTTTCAAAAATCAGTGACCTAACTGCAAAAGTCAAATTTTACAGGAAAGTGAATTGAAAAAATACCTTTTAACAATTATATAAGTATGAAATGAATGGATAATTTTGATAAATGGACAGCGAATAAGTGTTTTTATATTAATCGACTTTTTATAAAATTCATTGTTCCTCATACTAAAACCGCGAAAACCTAACTCTTCAGAAACCATATGTAGTAATTTTTTTTTTAAAAAGAAACCCAAAAATACTTAATAACACAATTATTACTAATATCGTGTTTTTAAAAACCACAAATTTGAATAGACACATTTTTATGAGTGTGATTTATAACTTTCAGTTATGATATTATTATCTACAGACCTGTGACCTCCAACCTCAATGTGCTTTGTTAACTTTTATTGCAACCCAAGCATACGCCTAACTTTTTAACCACATTTAAACATTTTATGATAAAAAATATGGTGAATTCTTACATACAAACTACATTGGATAGGTAAATGTCTTACAGATAATACATTCTGAAAAAAGTAGTTGATAATTATATTACCTATAGTTAAATTATTTGGTACACTACAATCCAATTAACTTGATAAGTAATATTATAATAATGATAAACAAAAATAATAACCATTTTAAAAATAACAACAAGAAAAGTTGAATGGCCTCATTTTTTAGATTGTTCCTTTATCAACCATGACATAAATACAATCGGCACAATTAAAAAAATTAGCATAAAACTTATTTTGAAATATCAATTTAGTATTTCTAAGTTTATATTTTTATAAATGCTATTTATTGATTTTGGAATGATGCCATTAGCTGACAAAAGCTCTTTAGACAAACGCTATTCAATTTACCACTCACAAAAAGCTGTCGGGTGACATCACCAAACACGCTGCATGATATTTACCTTTATCTGGAGTATAACTCTTTAAGTGTTCTTCCTCACGCGACACCTGGGTGATAATTGAAGATGCTTCCATTTAAACATTTGTTGTTTACCTTCTTTAGTGCCCCGTGACCATTCGTAAAGCAATTTCTTATGTACGAGTTCAACACCATATATAAGATATTAAGAATTACACAGCAACGACCAAGAAACGCCAAAACTGCTCAGCAAAAGACTGTCCTTCAGTCCTCTTCAGTTACGTGTATGTGTGTGCGGTGAACGTAGATATTATGTGTGATCGCAACGACGACAAGCGAATAACGTGCAAATATTTAGACCGCCGAGTAAACTTGCACACTAACACACAGAAAAAAACAATTAAATCGAAGTAAGAATGAACATGTATAAAATTATAATAGTTTTGAGTAATATTATCGTATACGACATACGAATCATGATTTACGATTAAAAATAAAGTGATATTATCATCAAGCCTATATCATCGTATTTGTATATACCTATTTTATTATTATTATTTGTTTATCGCTTGTTGGCGTTTGAAGAGAGCAACGTAGGAGCGCTACTGTCTACTACCACAGTACCACCCGGTTTACGAAGGCACAGATGGCGAGGCCTCGAGCCATAGAAAAAAAAATAAGCGTACCCAACTCTCAAGTCCTTAGAGAATTAATATATTCAGTAAGATGTACCTATCCTGTGTTTTGTGGACTGGCAATTTTGGACAGAGAGGGGGATGGCCGTGCGGTTATCTATAATGTCACGTTCCAGAATATTATCAAACAGCAGCGCTACGTAGCGGAGTAAAACCGCAGAATAGATGTTGAATGAATCAAATTAATAGAATTATTATTCTGTGGTAAAACTAGAAACGCAATTCTGGTGGTTCCGTCAAAACAATATACGATTAAATACTATATATTATTACCATTAATTATACATTGATTTTATTATAATAATAATGTAAACAATTTACGTTTTTTCGTTCCGCTTTTTAATCATAAATACAATAAACGCATCTTTTTGAGAGAAGTTAGGTAGCGTACTGTGGAAAAATTCCCAACTTTAACTGATGATAAAATCATATTATACTTTTAGGCCTCGTTCACGCGATGAAATATACACTTAAGGCCTCATTGACGGGTCTCTAATAGATTGACTCCCTGATTATCGTTAATCGTTGATTATTTAAGACGATTACATAGTAACCAGGCAACATAATTTTATAAGCGAATCACCTCATCTTTGCCCTGCTCATCTATAACGCCATGGCTGATGGCAGATAACGGACGGAGACCACTGCCCGATTTCCCGCGCATATTTAAACCGTTTAAATTGTTTTCATTGTTATTCGACGCTTAGCCGTATGTGCATTAACCTACCGTTGAGTGTCTGCAAAAAAAAAAAGAAGAACTAGTTTAAATCTCAATACTATCAACCATTCAAGCATAAAATAGATATCCTACAGACAATTACGGATTTTTGTACAACCAAACGACGCGACTATAAAAAAAAAATATCGTCTTGGTCTGTTCGTAAACGGTATAAAGTATAAATTGGTTTTTAGTTTTATAAGAAACAGACGAGTACTCGACAGCAAAATAAATAAATAGAAGTCCTATATGGTAGATTCGGGCGGCCATTAAGGTCTGCAGATATTATTATTACTGCGAAAGTGATAAAATTACTCTTCAAAAATAGTCTAGTTACGAATCTGGAATTTATAGATGGTAAAAATTCTTAATAACATTATATATATATATATTTGTTCATGTTATGTTTTTTTATTTTTTATTTATTTAAGATAATATTTACAATCTATACAATATATGTTAAGTATAATAAGTAAATGTGTTAGTAATAATAATAAGTATGTAGGATGATTTGAATGGCTTGATGATCCGTTGGCCACACCTCTAGTCGGTAATGTTATAAGTTATTTGTTATTTATGATTTTCACGTTAATACAAATTTACTAGGTTTATTTGGTATTTAATAAAAACTGTTTTTTTTTTATAAAATTGCATCATCGTATACTTAAATCAACATAGATCTATTATTTTTGTTACTAATTTATATAATAATTTAAACAATGATCGGTTCATGTTTGACACATGAATAAAGGTGAAGGGATTAATGTATCGAGACACAAGTCATAAGGTTTTTTTATTTATTTATTTTACAAATAACAATCTATACATAAATGTTTTTATGTATTTAAGTATTTATGTACAACACGTTTTTTTTCTTAATTATATTACAAAGCTTAAATGTCTTGAAAAGGAAGCCACCCTTTGGTAACACCTCTTTATGTAAAGTTAAGTTATGTCATTAAGTTGTTTATTTTATGTTAGTAGGTCTCTCATTCCAGTTACGTTTTAGTCTGCGTGGCCGTGGGGGGTTGTCGGGGAAGTAATAACGTAGAAACATTCGCAGATTGCGTTTTACTCACTCCATAACGATTTTGGAGAAAAAATACCTATAACAAGAATGTAAGATGATAGGATTTTGGAGACAACGTCATATCCTTTTTTTGGTAAACCTAATATTTAGCTTAATACTTAACTTTTAAAATCAGTTTTTTAACCTTTTTTAAAATAGCTATAATTTTGTTATTTTCAAAATCGGATATGACATTGTCTCCAAAATGTTATTATCTTTCGATTTCATAATAGGTGTTTTTTCTCTAAAACAACCAAGGACTTAGTAAAACGAATTCTGCGTAACCATGTTAAGATGAAAAAAAATATTTAAAATCACTGACAGATGTTTTGATAGTCCGAAAAATAAATCAACTACCAAAAAGAGTTCTAATTACTTAACTAATAATTAGACATTCCTAACTCCTTAATAACTAGGGGATACCACATCCTCTTTAATATATCTAATTAGGGTTGACATTCTCATTTCTCATAATTATTATACTTAATTGTAGAAGTTGGGTGTCCAAAAACGAGTTCGACTAAATCTTTACAGCTTGTATTGGCGGAGCTACAGGGTGTACTGAGTATGCTTTAGATGTCAGCGAGATGATACACATATATTAAATTTAAAAAAGTATAAAATATGGTTCATACACCGATACACGATGAAAATACAAAACACATAGGGCAGACACTGCTAAACGTCGCACAGTGGGGCAAGAGGCCTCCAAAATTGGCAAAAAATATAATATAATAAAATGCGGAACTATTTATAAACTAATAAAATTTTTGTTTATTTCATTTTTCAATTATTATTTTATTCTTTATTTAAACCATTTATTAGGGTTATTATTTAGTAAATATAAATAGAAACATATAGCGAGATGTATGCGTAAGCTAAGAAACCCCTTAGTCAAGATTGTATTATGCTAATTTGGACAAAATGTGGACATAACTAACAAAGTAGCAGAAAGTAGCAAAATGTGTAAAGTTTTTTTTACTCTTGTAACTCATACTTAATAGAAAAACAAACATTCGGCACACGATCAACTTCGGAACATAACTAAAAACTTTTAAATGTTTGTAGAATCTTTCTATAAAATATAAATTGTAAATCATTTCAAACAAAAAATTGGCTAATGAATCATTACATACGTTACGTCGAAGGTTTTATAGTTTAAAAATGTATTATTTAGATAATATCTCAAAATAGAAACAAAATGGAATAATATTAATAACATATAAAACATTTTTTTTTATCGAGGTGACTCGTCGATATTTGCCCTAGTGAAAGGAGCGGGAAAAAGTGCCATAATATCATATTTTGGTGGCGAGCAATAAATTAACCATGTTACTAAAATAGCGTGACCTATTTGACCGTGTTATCGTACAAACAAAAATAATATAATAATAGGTACATATTTCTAATTTTTTCGTGGTTTAAATTCAAATTTATTTTTTGCCAGTTTTGGAGGCCCTTTGCCCCAGTGTGCGTCGGTCGGTGTCCTTCATGTCATTTGTGAACACTCGACGATTAGTTTATTTTAACTATACCTCTTTAAAGGTAATATTCATTACAGTGCTGCCATTGGACACCTAATTTCTCTTTCAGTTTTCAATTCTTATATCATTAGGCCGTGTTATCACTTATCTTCTAAAAAATTAAATTGTGTAAATGTTCATAACCAAAAATATCTATTACATTTTACAATAATTATATGACCATCATACCAAACTAAACAATTTAGCAATTTATACTTCATAATATTATACTCGTTGAGAAAAATGTTTAGCGAAGAAAGTGGTGACAACAGTAAGTTTGAAAACATGTATTTTTTTTTTTGGTGTTACATTTTTTTGAAATTTTTTTTTATTTTAGCTAATCAAAGACAAATGAACGGTTTCTCTATTCCATCTCCATATTTGAACTTTGATCCAACACTTTTACCTCAGTCAACACAACCTGAATATTTATATTTAGAAGGAGGTTCAAAACAAAGAGGACAATTCGAACTAGCATTTAACCAAATTGGTTCATCATGTTTAGCTGGTGCGGCACTTGGAAGTATACGTGGTTTATACAACGGAATAAAGATGACATCAATGGAAAACCAAACTAGCACATATAATAGAACACAGTATGAAATTATTAAATACATTTTTTGTCATATAGTTAATAGGAATAAACTAATTAACCTATTGATTTAACTTGCAGGATATTAAACAGTATTTTTAAAAATGGCGCTGGGCTAGCCAATTCATTTGGTACAATATCTATTTATTACAGTATTTTTGGTATAATATTGGAAAAAACTAGAGGCTGTGATGATGAGCTCAATACCATAGTATCTGGTACCAGTACAGGATTTTTATACAAGTGCACAAGTTAGTAAGATATAAAACTTTTATTTCAAATAAAAATGAAATATTGCAAAACAGAATACATTTTAAGGAACTCGCATCATATGTTATCTACAATATTCCACCTCGTTAATATGCAATTTTTAAAAAAAATGATCAAAAAGTTCTAATAATAGGAAGTAATCTAGCTATCCCTCATTCCGACTATAAAAAATCTACAATTATTAACACCATCATCGCACACAGGCAACATCAGTCTCCTTTCAATTAACAGTGACGTAGATGACATACAACGTGATCAACGTTTGTGTAGCTAATAAATGACTCGAGTTCTCATTATAAATTAACTTCTATAGTAAAAACTGAAATTGGCATTATTTCAATACATTTATATTTAATATGTATATATATATTTATTATTATTATTAATAACGTTGAGCTTTGTTATAAAGCAAAACTAAAAGTATATTAAAACAAAATAGAAAATTTGTGTACTTAAATAATATATGTTTTTGTTACACATTATTTCAATAAAAAATGTCTGTTTTAGGTGGTATCAAAAGATGTGGAATTGGTGGTCTGATTGGTTTTGGTTTGGCAACTACTTATTGTTTAGTGAATTCCCGTGATAAAATTGTCAAAAGAGTGAAAGAAATTTATCACTAAACATTTTAACCTAAGTCAAATAATTTACATAAATACTTCTTCTTAATGAATCAAAACTTCCTGTAAAAAATTTTCAAATAGAATATTGATTAAATTGTAGTGACTGTGTATTTTTTATTTTCCTATTAAAATATTTATTTGAATTAGAAAAGAAAAATGTTTTATTTGTGTTAAAAAATTCAATATATTTACTGGTAAAATATTTATAAAAGCAATTATGTTTAAATCACTAAATAAACATTTCTGGTGATTGTAGAACATATAAGGAATTATGAATTATATAATTGAAATCTTCCCAGCTTCACATCTAAGAAAGTCAACTAATGTTTCAGTTATGTATTTGAGAACATGACGTCCGTAAATGTGGGGTCACATTTTCTAGAAATTTTATGAAAAATCACAAACTATGAATGGATAATATAAAAACACCAATCAAATTTTAGGTTTGATTTCTAAAGCATTCAATTCAAACTAGTAGTTAGATAAGTAATGAATTGCATATTTATAATTTACACTAATTATTGTATTCGGTTGCTGTAAATAGTCTAAATTCTAGTTGATACTTAATAACTATAATTGTGAATATTTCTAATAAATAAAAATATACAATATTAATACAATTTTGCCATAGAAATCCCTATGATGTTGGTACTTTGTTAGTTGAGCAAGCGTTTTAAGGGGTTAATCGCATAACCACAACGGTAAATACAATCAACAATACTATTAGCTGTTTTTTGCGGATAACTACATTCTGTAGTCTACATAGTGCTGAGGACATTATAAATTTCTAAACTCGGCAAGTTCCACAAGTAACATAGTTAATTACATTAATGAATCGCTTTTTGTTAAAAAGGCATATGTTACATTTTTTGTTAAATTTGTTTGCAACTTACAACTAGTATAAACTTAAATTAAATATTTTTACAATATGGAAATTTGGTATAAATGTCGAGTACCATGCACGTCATAATGTACATCGAAAAAATGATTTACAAAGTTATCACATTTTGAAAGTTATGCAGTTTTTACTTTTTTATCATTTCCCAAAAGTTCACCTGTTGAAACATGTGCCCTTATACAAAAAGCGATTCAATTTTATCTTCGGTCGATTGTCACATTTAAGAGAAAACTTAATTTACGTTTTTCCATTGTACAGACTTCAAATTATATTTTACGTGAATGTGTTACAGTTGTAATAGTACTGACTATTGTTCTCGGTAAGAGGTATATCAACTTTATTTATTTATAAACGTTTACAACTACAGGGTGTTTAATGGAGATATTAAAAATTCAAACTATCTGATCATTTTTTCGAATCGAAGTGCAAAATACATACATTATTTAAATTCTGACACAGCCTCCGATTTATCTATAATATGTAATCGATACCTTGCAATTTAACTTCGATGCTGTCAATTTTTTTTTTAAGGGAAAATTACACTTTGACCATAGTCAGTTTTTAGGTGGCCATGTGAGAGTTATTCACGATATTTGGATAACTATGGCAACACATTTTTGTAGACAGACGATCAGCACTAATGCTAAAAATTAATTTTTAAGCACAAATGCTTTTCATCGATATTTGTTGTCTGTAAACACTGGACCTCCCTCACTTACGTCTTGCGTATAATACTTTCTTACTGTATTGTTATACTGTGCTTGGTTTAAACTTACCATCCAAAGATTCGCATCGAAGCGTTTATTTGAGTGATTTTATCACTTTCAGTTATAACATTAATTATTATGTAGACCTGTGAGTTGTGACCTCCCCGTCCCCACTGTATTGGCTTCTTTTTAATACATTTGCATCAATAATTATTTTTTTAAATAACAATATCAACAACTTTGACACAGTATTTTAGGAAACAAATGTATTACAAGCGGACCGGAGTTGTAGGGTTTGATGCAGGCTACAATCTTCATGTCGACAAGACAACGGACATCGTGCAACAGAAACAGATTATTTTCAAAATGCATAGGGATTAGGAAACAAAATAATTAATAAATAATAATTGGATTTTATCATGACCAATATGTGTTTGTCATCAAAATTCTAAACTCGTGATTACGCATGCGTATAGATAACATAATATTTGTTTGGGACTCCGGACCGATAACACATTGATAAACCTCCGGGTTTTCTAAAGCTTGAGAGTTGAGACTTCGGGAGTTGAGCGCGATATTGTTGTAATTTGTAAGTGTTATTTGTTTGTATCATAATCCATAAAGCGGTAAGCCATTCGAAAATAATAAGGGATTCTGGATATTTTGTAAGGTGGCCGACCTTTTTAGTCAAAATGGCTGCACAAATAAAACCCGGGCCGAGTTCGAACAACGATAAGTTTAATTCTAATCGAAAACCAGTACTACTGGCCAAACTTGAAGGATGTAGTGACAGTGTGAACAAAGCCATTTTAATTCCAGAAACTGACGGAGTCATAAGCGTTTCCAGTGATCGGTAATAAACTTTCTGTTAAGTTTTTGAAAAGATGTTTGGTAAAACATTTTAGTTGTCGCCATAAAATCTGGATTTTCAACATTTTGAGAATCTCCAAATCCAACAACAGTTTAAATTGATTTTGAAAAACTTAAAATCTTTATAATTTTAAATTTATCTATTTAAAGCACTTAAGGTTTTGGATTTTAGAAATTCTCGTTTTGCGCGTTTAGCGCCTTTTGGTAAAAACTGCAGTGTAATAATGTGTAAATTGTACAATTGTAACACTGTTGTAAACACTATGTATAATTGTTGTAAGACTCAAAATATTTTATTTAGACCGTAAAAGTGAAGTGTTTAATGTTTGATAAAGCAACAAGTATTTGAATTTTGTCTACATTAATGTAATGTGTTTTGAACAATTTATTGAAAATAATAGGGAAAATAAAAAAAATGTTTGTCCAAGAGGATCAACGGGTTATATTTGTTATGCATACCTTATATGATACATTGATACATACTTATATATAATTTTCAAACCTAACCCTATCCAAATGATAATTTAATGCAGATTGTGTGATAGTTGTTATTCGTCATTATTTGCCATTCTAGATATTTCTATCTAAAATCATTGAAAATCATTTGGAAAAATGCCACAATATTTTTACTAAGTGCTTTGCTAAACATGCATTTTTTTATATTCTTATCACTCAAATATGTGTTAATTATATCTAGATACTTCAGGTAGTTATGTTATGAAAAAAATCGTTCATTTACACAAAAAAAAGCCTGCCAAGTCAAAAAATTGATTTTTGTGAGCATCAGGCAAGTTTTTTTTGACTGGTAGTGCATAATAATACAATTTTTGATGACTGGGAGTGCCATCTTATTTTATAGTTTATAGGTATTTTTATAAACTTTACACAATATATCATTATTTCTGTAACTTATGTCACTGCTTATCATTGGTTTATTAAGTTGGGGACTATTTGAATAAATAACTAATTATTGTTTTAGCTTTATGGGCATAGTAAGAAAAAAATATTATTTCAATCTTAAGACATTCATCTTCTTAGTGGTCCAAAACTTAAAAATGAATCAAATAAGTGTTAAAATTATAATATTGTGTAAAACATTCAAATCTAATTGTGATAATATTTATTTATTTGTATGTATATAGTACGGGACGAACCCATTACAAAAATTTAAATACAGTACATTGTAAGAAACATCATGGTAAACTGGAATGGCTGATAAAAAATAGAAAAAAGACTGGTCACTATTAGCAAAACGCAATATACGGAAAATTGAGGAATTAAGATAGTAGTTAGACGAGGAGAATGGAATATAGAACGGAAAACATGAACGTGTACGGCGACAAGGAACATTAAATGAAATAAGATTTGTTGGATCGTTGAATAGTCATGAGGGGGATGGGGAATATGTAGCTTCCAAGCAACATGTCGAAGGAACTTTCTTTGAACTCTTTCAATCAATTTTCGAGCAGCGGTGGAAGAGGGGTCCCAGAGTACATAGCCATATTCGAGGGTAGGACTGACTAAGGAAACTAACAAAACAGAACTTTTAGAGGAGCAACTAAATTGAATTCAGCTGAGACATGATTAATGAAATCAAATAATTTAAGTGCTTTGCAGCAGATTATTTGAATATGCTTGTTGGGGCAAAGAATCCATGTCAGAGTGAAACCCAAGTCTTTTACTGAGTTAGTAGCAACACTAATGTTGTTTCATTGTTTTTCTAGTACTGTAAGGGTATGGCTAAAAAGAGATTCAGGACAGTACTGGCCAAGTATTTGTAATTATTTACCGTCACCTGCAGTCGATTTATTCTACAGATCAACTACTAGACAATTATTTATTGGACAAGAAAATGGTACCATATCAGTGAGTTTGAATAAATATTTTAATCTTATTTGACAAAAATGTAATGCCGTTAATTAGACGATTACCATTTGAAATTATTATTTTAAAATATATAATTGCTAGAAAATATCTATCTACAATTGTTTTTTAAGTAGCTCGTCGGTATTTTGGACTAATTAAAAAATTTCTTAACTTTTATTCAAGTCTATGTTTCAAGTTTTCCCACCTGGCTCATGTGAAAGCTAAAACTTTAAAACATGTGTACACAGCATTGAATATAACCATTAATTGTTTTGATAAAAATATATTGCATATTTTCGATGTATCATTTTAGAAGAGAAAAACTGATATTGTGAACAAAAATGTTGACTGAAAATGTCCCATGATATTTTTCATTCTTTCATTTTTTATACTTGGTTAAATTTCAAACTTTGAAAAAAGTCATTTTATTCAATTTTATAATCAATGCACTTAGCTTTTTACTGACCATTTGATTTAAATTTATTATCCAAAATCGTGGGTAATAAGGTATAATACCCATTTATATAATATATAAAAATAGGTATAATATGTATAGGTTTAATTCAATTTGACTTTGTTTTTTTGATAACAAATGTTGACGCATTTGTTATTTTGAACGAAGAATCAGTTGCTCCACATCTTATAAACATTTTCACAGCCTTTTGAAAAACAAGTACTTTGTTAGATTTTTAACAAAATTCATATAATGTTACTAATTTAAAAAAAAAAAAAAATTTCCCTATAATTTCAAATAATTTACTTTTTTTAAATATATATTTCTTTATGTACTAGGAATACATACTAGAAGAGGACTTCAATCGCATGGAGCCCATTGGCGACATCTTAGCTCACCACGGCCGTTTAACTGGTATAATTTGGACAGAAGTAGCTATTGATGGGACATTGGAAGAATGGATTTTGAGTACTGCTCGTGATAAACGTTTCCAATATCACAATGCCAAGAACGGTAACCCAATCGGTCCGCCCTTTGTTTCTACCTCATGGTGTACATCGTTAGAGTATCCTTTTTAATATATATTTTTGTCTTAAGCATATTGAATTTAGTATGATAAACAAATGTTTAATCAAAAAAAGTTCTTAGAAATAATTTAAACTTACATTCATTAATATCAGATATGATCCGGAATCTGCTCATGCTTTTGTCGGAGATTATTCAGGAAATATTACCATGCTTAACATAAAATCTGATGGTTTGAAAGTAGTAACTACATTAACTGGCCATACTGCTAGTGTTGAAATGCTTATTTGGGATTCATCATCAAGACGTTTGTTTTCAGCCGGACATGATCGTTTAATAATAATATGGGATATTGGAGGAGGCCAAGGCACTGCCTATGAGTTGCATGGCCATACGTATGAAAATTTTACATAAACATATTTTCATATTGGTTGAAATCAGTGGCATATTTACAAGGGGTGATCAGGGAGATATAACACCGGGGGGAGGGGTTATTTATTTTTTTAAACATATTTTCAATAATCTATTTATTGAACAGAATTTTTTTGGACAAAATGTTACAAAACTAAAAAAACATTTAATTATAATATTGAGTTAAGTATTATATCTTTATAGTAAGGTATAGCAACATACATTTTAGTAATTTTTTTTTATCCTTACAAACATGTTTTATTTTAACAAGCAAACTTTTAAAAATGAATACTAAATACATTACGATTTGAAAACAACAAACAATGTAGATAAACAAACTCTTGCCAGGATTATACTTAAAGAGATAAATATGGTTCAGCTTTTTTTGTCTGGCCATAATAGCAAGAATTAAATAAGGGAGCCAGAGTGAATTTTTTTTTGCATATCATACCCCAGAAGAAAACTAAATAAGCTATTGATTGGAATATCTAGCTTTTATGGTTATGTATTGCATTTTTTTAAAAAAATATTTTTGGATAAATTCTTTATTTTTTGTTATACAGCAATAGAGTTACATCATTGGCATTCGTTTTGCCAAAAAATCTATTAATATCTGCTGGTGAAGATTCAGTCATGGTGTTTTGGGATCTAAATGCTCAAAGAAAAGAAGTAAATATCATTCATGTGTTTCTTTTTAAATTATATTAGATTGTTATTTAGGTGAAGTCTTAATTTGTATGGTACCTCTCTTTCATTTGATTCTAAATAAGAAAATAAAAATGTCAAGCCCAATATAACTCCTTTACCCTTTTTAATTGTCCAACTATATTGACATAAAGTAAATTATTAAATGAAGTATATTTCATAATTTATTTGACATTTTCTTATTAGTTTATCTATTACAGAGATGCCGGACAATATCTTTAAATACAAAACGCATAGTATTCATATGAAGGGCACAGGGGAAAAATGGTAGTAGTCACATAATGAAAATTTTCCCTCTCACACAAAAACACAAAAAATCACATTAAATGCTATTTTGATAAAAAATGTATTTATTTAAACAATCTATTGAGATAAATAAATAAAATTAATGGCATATACTGCAAAAAACTATTTGAAAAAAAAAATTTCATAAATGGACTACATACTACTGTTCTTCCCCTGTGCCCTTCATATATTTTTATATGTATTTTCCTGTAACTAAGCAGAGCTTGTGTGAGGCAATTAACATCTCTTTTATAGGTACCTTTAGTATTAATTTTAACACGGTTCTTTGCTATTTGCACAAATATTTATCATCATAATCATATCATTGATTTGTAAAATCAATTATCATACTAACAGTATATGTGAATTAATTGTATCAACATGACCTAACCTCTGTTAATTTTTTTTGATGTATTAAATATAGGTTATTTGTTATCAAAATATGTGTGCCGAAAATGTGTTAATAATTACTTTTATTAACAAATGTTACTCCACTCTATTCCTTGAGAACCATGTTGTTTCATGCACATTACTAGATAATACTATCAACTTTAATTATTGTGCATTACTATTATCTCATGAACAGGCTCAAATGAATCATAACAATTTAAATTTACTTTTATTTTTGTACTTATTGTTCATTTAAATGTATAGACACCACCATGGACTGAGTCGGATAATTGTGAATCTTGTAGTCGACCATTTTTGTGGAATATCAGTGGAATATTTGAACGCAAACAATTTGGCTCGAGACAACATCATTGCAGATCGTGTGGTCGCGCCCTTTGCGATAAATGCAGCCAAGAACAATCTACTATTCCGTCCATGGGATTCGAGCTTCCTGTACGAGTCTGTAAATTCTGTAGCACTAATATAGAGTAAGATAAATTGAAAGCTGTTTCTTTAAATCCAATTGTATATATTATGTATATTATAATTGTTTTTCCAGTCATACACCAATGGCTACATTCCATGACGCTAAACATAGTGTAGTTACAATGACGTTAGATTTACAACGAAAATGTGTTGTTACCATTGGTCAAGATCGAATTATTAAAATCTGGGATGTGTCAGCTTTTATTTAAAAAAAAAAAATATATCTTAATAAAAATGCCTATAATAATTACTTTAGTCATGTATATGAATAAATTATATTTTATACTTAGTATTGATAAAGGTGATTATTCTGTCATCAAATAAAAACTAAGTCTTATGTTGTCAAATATTCTACCTATATAATACTATATTTAATAATTTATACTTATTTATTTATTAATATTACATATTAAATCAAGTATTTTATAATCATTAATAAGTGTGTATTACTTTTTTTTAAATTCAAATTATTGTTGAAAAATAACTTGAAACCAGTGCAAACGAAAATGTATTTTACTAGTTAAGCTATTGATATTAAATTTGTTTATACCATATGTAAGTGTTATTTAGACTTTATATAAGAATAAATACATTTTTTTCCAATATACATAACACTATATTATTTGTACTTCATACTTTAATATATTAAGACAAAGTATGTTAAATTAATTTGTTTGTAAACCAATAAGTTTTTAATTATCTTATTAATAAAATATAATACACGCAAATTATCATTAGTAAAGCATCTTTTGAATTTGTTTTTCCCTTAAACAATATTATTGTGTGCACAATGTCATTTTCACTTATACTATACAATTTAAGAAATAAATCACAGTCGATATTAAGGGTTTTTATATACATATATATATTAACATGTATATAACTTAACATCTCGAGAAATAAATGATATTTTTGTAAAAAGTAATTCTACTTACAATGATTTAGGAACGAGTAAGCATTATTAAATGCTTTCAGCCTAAATTTTCAAAAAAAAATAAAATAAAAAAACCACTAGACACTTTAACTTATTATTGACTGCTTAAGTATAAGAATCTAAGATTAATAATAGTATTATTAATATTGTGAACCTATAAAAGATAAATTATAATAAGAATATGTTAGATTTAAAAAAACCTATAATACATTAATGGGTATCAATTAAATTGGTTGGAATTATTTGGAAGAAATTTAAATGGACTGGAGTAGAATCCAATCAGTCAGTTTTACGTATTTTGCGCCTATTTCTTACTAGTTGTTCTTTATCTTTAGGTTCTTCACTAGTCTGGTCATCCAATAGTTCATCTTTGACAAGTTCATCATCCTAAAAAAATTGTAAAACATACATAGTTTACAGTAAAACACTATTTAGTAAGGTTTTATAGTTATTTTTAAATTTCAACTAACCGATTCTTGTCCACTATCACTGTTATCATCTTTTCTATTCTTCAACTGGTATTTATGATTGTTTGGAGGATATATCAAATCAATAATACACACTAATACCTAAAAGAAAAAGAAATTGCAAATAATTTGTACATCTGTTGTATAGTTAGATAAAAAAATTACCAATCCAAGTATGGCACCAATAAATATGGTCGCTATAGCGAAAATCAAATAAGATCCCCATGTTGGAAGTCCGTATTCAGCCATGAGAGTAGAATGAACCACCTTAAATTGTAGATTAGTTTTTAACTATAATATCTTGATTTTGAACTCTTTTTTTTTTTTTTTAGTTTAAATGCTTTATGAGATTACTTACTCTAACTTTTTGGGAAAGCTTAAAGAATTGAGCAACTAGTGACATTTGAATTGAATTAGGAGCTTTCCATGAAGATACTGTTTCCAACTTTTCCCATTTGCGTTCTTTCACAAAAGATACCATAGCTTCTTTGTCACGACCCATTTTATAATACCTAAACACTCCATCTTTCACGCTGAAATATGTTAAGTATAGAATATTATTTGCAACCTTATATTAAAAATTACTTCAGAATAAAATCCTAAAACTTTGCTTGAAAAAGAGGAATAAAGAAAAAGTTTCCCCCTCTTCTAGGGGAAAGAGTTTACGATATTTGTTTAGGTTGTCAACATTATTTATCCGTAGTACTATGTCTTAAAAATATTCTGCACAAATTTGGAACTAATTGGACTATTTTAAAAAAAATTATAGAACACTTTAATTTAAGTTGAAAAATATGTACACTGTTTAGTGTTTTTCTCGTAATTGGTGTATTTCTTAAAAAATATTTTGATTACCTATTGACTTGGATGCGTTAAAACTTACTCAATTGATACCTGTTGCGTGTTAGTTCACTCACATATAGCAACCTAAAAACTGACTACCGTAAAAGTGTAATTTTCCAATTTTTGGGTTTTCCTTAATAAAAACAAAATTTGACTAAATAAAGATTTTTGAGAAAACTGTTTATATTATAAGCCTATTCTAGATCTACTTTCGGTTTAATTTTCAGACTTAAATCCCTAAAACTTTGCTTGGAAAAGTGAAATATAGAAAAAATGACTATCCTATCTAGGGGAAGGGCTTACGATATTTTGTTGGTTTGTCAATATATTATTTTTAAAGAATATTTCCTACAAATTTGGAACTAATTGGACTATTTTTAAAAAAGTTATGGAGCACTGTAATTTTAAGTTTGAAAATTTGTGTATTTATTGGTGATGTTCTCGACTCTACCATACATACCATAGATTTCTAATCTTTAGATTTGTTCTATAAAGAAATTGGTTTGGGGCTTAGAAGATAATGATACCTTGAAGCACACAAGTGCTAGGTCCATTTTTTACAAAATCGTGATTTTGGGTATTTCTGAATTTGAGATAAAAAAACTGAATCGAATGAACACCAGTGGTATGTCCAAAGAGCATAAATGTCCTTTGTGAATTTTTTGTAAGAGCTTAAGAGCTTAACTCCTCTACCTTACAACCATAAAAAGTGGACATAGCAATTGTGTGCTCTAAGGTATCAATATCATGGGTACACACGCACACGAAAAAAAAACCACATAATTTTTAAAACAATAGCTTCTCAGCTATCACACTGAAGCTAATATTATAATTAAAAATAAAATATTGAATTCTTACTGAAATATAGTAGGAAGAGTTGTAACAATAAAGCGACCAGTGAGACCAGGAGATACTGTTATATCAGTACTGGCCACTGATATATCTGAGAAGTCTTCACTCCATTTAGCAAATGCTCTCCACTCTGGTTCAAGAGACTTGCAAGCAGGGCACCAAGGTGCATAGCTGAAATAAAATGAAAACGTTTTAAATGATACATTAATATTCACTGTTCATAAAGAAAACGTTTTGAATGATACATTAATATTCACTGTTCATAAAGAAAACTCTTTTCATTAAAAGTTGAAACTGTCCACTAGATATGCCTGATTTCAGAAATAATAAATATTCGTTATTTATTAACATATTTTTGTTGTATTATATTTTTGGCCCAAATAATATTATATTAAAAAAAAAAAAAAAAAAGGGGATCAGGAGGGGAACACCACTAAATATATTACAAATATAATATTATTTGGGCTAAGAATATAATGCAACAAAAATATGTTAATAAGTAACAAATATTTTTTTATTTCTGAAATCAGGCATACAAGATCGTAAGTGCCTAAAAATAAATTAACTTTACCAGGTTCAGTTTTTTTTTGCAATTTTTTTACCATATCGTAAAATCTTTTAGGCTGATAACGAATCTGAAGTAAAAAATCGCGGGATTCCTCTAGTTCTAAAGTTATAGCTACTTGAAATTTGCATATTTCCGCGTGTATAACAATAGTAAACTTGAGACTGCGGCCCCAGCCGCCATACCATACATTTTTCGGCAAAGCGACAGCGTGCTGCTTCAGTATTATTGGTTAATTATTCATTTTTATTTACATGATTATTGTATTGAGCAATATAATTTTCTTAAGTATTAAAGCTCTAAGTTAGTAAATCTTTAACTACATATATATATAATAACTCCCAACGCCTGCTGTCTTTGGGAGCCAACTTCAAGACTCTTCTTTGGATAGGATCTCATGCCCCCAAACCCCGAGAGGAAAAAATAGCTTGTCTAAAAGATTAATTAACCTAACTTACCACTCTGTAAGCGTCAGCGACCTAACAAGACCTATGCTTGCATTGCCACCTATTAATATACAAGCAGAAATTACAAATTTCAAGTATGAATGTGTTGAAACTTTTGCGGATTCAAATATCACATGAATGATTTTTGGATATACTCGCGTCAATGGTTGTTAACCAACGTTTCGGACTCTTTGCAGAGTTCATCTTTAGGGTAATGTCACGACTGTTCCGCTGCCGTAACTCTACAGATTATTTTTTGAAATAAGGTGTAATACATGTTTAAAAAAAAAAAATTACCACAAAAGGTGTGTAAGCGAAAACGCTGATGTCAGCCCATCAACCGGTCACAGCTCACTTACAAAGTATCACAATAATTACTTGAGTATAAGAAGCTATAATATTTGAACCAGTTGAGTCTGTGGATTTTTGATTGGAGGTGCAAAATCAGCTCAACAAATATTATAATTAGTAATTTTAAAAATTGAAAAACAAAAAGATGTCCCCATTCAGTAAAGGAAATTTATACCTAGTTAAGTTAGTTACCAAGGGTAAATGCAACCAGTACACAATTTTCTATAATTATACATTGTTGGAATATAAAGATAAAGGCAAACTAGAACTTGAACAGTCTGCATAGAACTTTAGTTCATTGCATTATTAGTCTCTTTTGTTTTTACGTCCATTACTCTCACTGATGGGGGGCTTAGGCAGTTTAGATTTTTCATCTAATAGTTGGCTGCCGACCTAACACTACCAAACAAGTTGGCCTCAGAGAAAGGTGCAGGTGGGCATTTCTTCAGTTGCCCATCCAGAAGACCAAACCGCTAGTGGCCGATATTCCAACCGGCGGCCGTGCGTTGGTACACTGCTGTCGTACCTCAATCCACCACGCGCCTGCCACAGAACTTGCATTACTATTAGTTTATTTAATTCATAACTATATTATAGAATCTCTGTTTTTAGCAGTTCTTGTTTTAAATAGATGTTATAATACTATCAGTTGTTTTTTTACAGTTTTTTCTGCTGGATTGACGTTAAAATACTAATTACGCCTAATTTAAAAGATAAAAAATAATTATAAGATTACGGTCAACTCACAACAAAACCATCCATTCGCCTTTTAGTATTTTTGTCCAATTGTTTTCATCCAGTTCCAGAGATCGGTGACCGTGATCTCCGTTGGCAGTCAACAAAAAACACAAGCAGACGATCGCCAACAACGTCACACATTTTCGAGGCCCGAACATTTTCCAATTAAAAATTACAAAAAACACAAACGTAATGCGATAATGCAAAATCTTAAATCTTTATAAACAGAATGAACTACAACGGACGGCCGCACTGGTCGATTTCAGAACGATATTGCCATTTGCCACTGTCAGTGTGTGTGTGTGTGTGTGTGTGTGTGTGTGTGTGTGTGTGTGTGGACCGCGCAGACTGTCTCCGTCACAGAAAAACGTAAATCGTTGGTTTTTGGTGATGGGAGTAGGATCCGCACTGATAACGCGACGGCGGATGACGACGATAAAATATGGAGACTATAATATTATTTTATCTACTAATAAATAATATATGATTGTATGTAATATAATCATATATATAAGCACTATTTTCTATTAACCTTAGGGGTAGAACTATTAAACCGGCTTGCTGTAAGCACTAAACACAATTCGGTAAGAATTGATGGGGAGAATCGAGTGGGTAATATTTGTTCCACACATTTTTACTTCCAATGAACATTTGTTCTAAATGTTTTGTGGAACAAAAGTCTATTGGGACATAAGATGTATGGAATAAGTGATATTTGGAACAAATGTTTTGCGGAAGAAAAATTATATTAGTACTCAGTACTGTAGAACAATCGTTCATGGAAGTTAAACATTTTCGAGAAAAAGATAATTGACACAAAGTATCTTCAGAACAAGAGTAGATAAACGTTGGATTAAGTATTCCAAAAAATATAACTTTCAATATAAACTATATAAATAATAATAGTATATTATATTATTAACATACGTCATAATATATTGGTAGGTAATTTATGTTGTATGACGTTTTAAACCTTTAGTTTACTTACTTTTGAATAGTACTAAAAGAATTAATGATTTTTATATTTTTATGAAAGTATATTTGAAAGAAGTAAAAATTAATCAAATACGTTAGCCAAGTAGTTTTGTTTTATATCGCTCCTTTACACACAAACCCATTTATGATTCAGTAGTTTTATTTATGAAGGGGCTAAATAACTCATTATTATATGAAAAGGGTTAAGTTCATTTAATTAAATCCCTTTTTGTTGTCTGAACAACTATTGCTATTAACAAATTTATGAAAGTATAATACATCAGAATTAAAAAATACCTACTTTTTATAATATTTCTTCAGGTAAACCGTTTTTATTCTCGTAAGAATTACCTACATTTATAATTCGATTTATCTATTCTAAATTATATTTAGTGATTACTAGAAAATAATGTATTAATAATATATTTATATAATTGAATTTTTTTTCGTAGGTCGCTTGTTCAAAATAACCAAATATATTAAATATTAAAAACTATCTTTTTTAATTATCATTTAAATATTATAATTTATTCAGTTTTTACACTAGGTATGTTAGGTAATTATGTAAAATTCTAAAAAAATCGGGCATAATCTTAGCTTGGCCGACCGCCGATGCCGAAATAATTTTGCCATGGATATGGCTATTATGGCTGGGGGTCATTCTAAAAATTTGTCCTTCACGTTTTGAGCGAGATGGTAAGTGTCACAGTGCTGACGTCATTATGGAGGAAGATTATGTTATGAAAATAAAGTTAGGAATATCCACACTTCATGCAGATACATCAAGTTGCAGGATATACAGGATATCTTAGGATAAATAAGGATCTAAGGATAAAAGGATATATGAATATATTTAGATATAACGATATATTATATAAAGATAGTCAAATGAATTTGTTACTTGGCACTTACTTACTGGCAAACTACGGAAATAAGAAATAATGAATATTGATAAATGTTGCCAGTAAATCGATTTAGTCCAGATATTATAAAAATACTAAAAAACGTTTGGTCAGAACATATAATCAAGACTATACTATCATCATATGTCGCAAGGAAATTATAGATGGGTCATAATCATATAATTATCAGGACGTATCTATGTATTGATGTATCTGCATGAAGTGTAGATACTCTTAACTGAGTTTACTCAGTTAATCAGGCGCAGGCTGGCTCACCGGGATACATCGGGAATATACCGGTGGGCTCTGTTTTAATTATCATTTAAATACCATAATTTGTTCAGTTTTTACAATATGTTAATTATGTGAAATTCTTGTAATACATGCGTAATATTTTTCATGATTAAGGATCAATAAGTCAGTATTCGATGACATAAATTAATCTGTTTGATCAACATGTAGCTAGTTATTCGCAATTAGCGGCGTTTATTCTTTAGACCTGCAATAACGCATGCGGTAACCTTTTTAGTTTTTTTAATAACATTCAAAGAAGCCGCTATCAAAATGTTTTATAAAATTGTACTACAATACAAATTATATTATGGCTGTATGATAATTTATTTCAAAACCAATAGTAATAATATTAGTATAGGTATATATTATACTGTAGAGATGCAGTCTCGAAAATGTTAACAGGTTTTTTTTCTTTACAGTTACGATGATATACCTACTAGGGTGGTCTGTCTCACTAATAATCGTGGATAATTATTACAAATTAATCTTCATGCCAACTGCCGGGAAGAAATCGACAGGGAGGCTGAAGGAAGTCACAGTAAGGCGGCTGGTGCCCGTTTACGGAGGCTCACAACGAGCAGTAGTGACCATGCCAGAAGCGGCTGCGGGGCGATTGTTGAAAAAAAGAAGACTCTTGGTCGGGCTCGTCTCATGTCGGGTACAACCAGATGATTTCATTGCCACGGCTACGGCCACAAAGCAGCGGGATGCAAAGAGCCAAACAGAAGCAAGCTTCGCATGACCTATGGCGGAGAAGGCCACCTTGCAAAATATTCCAATTTTCATCCCCACTGTGTGCTGTGCGAAGAATTTAAGAAAGCCGCCGACCACTTCCCAGGGAGCGAAAAGTGCAAGGCGTATACAATAGTGTCTACGAAATCATGATCCAGAATATGCCCTGTGGCGTCCGTGACGCGGGGCGAGAATAAAAGAATAAAAATATTTAAACATTATTATTTTAATATGATTAAATATCATTATGTTGTATCGTGTTAACTGACTGTAAATATTTTGTATATAACTGTCTGTTCACAATAAATATGTAGGCGGCCCTGAAGTAATACTTAACGGCGGGTTCCAGGGCCACCTACGATTCAGCAGTGAAAAAAAAAAAAGCTTCATGCCAAAAATGATCAGTTCTTATTAATAACTTTGTGTCTAGCCAAAATGGTGGTAAAAATGTTGGTGGTACTTCTCAGAAAATTGTCTCACGGCTTATAGATTGGTCTGATTTCGATCACTTCATTTATGTTTGTCGTTCGAAAAAGAAAGACTTTTTACAGGACGATTTAGACTACATTATCTAAAACGACAATATGAATTATACTGATTTGTTAATTACGTTTAATTCATCTTTATTTTAGCGTTCAGAAATTAATTTCTAGGAATTACATCATTACACTTGTTAATACGTTCAACATTATTTTAGTTCATAACAATAAGGAATTCGTAGGTAGGTTATATTGGAAAATAAATGCATGTATCATGGACAAAACAATAACAGTATACAAAATGACAGCATTCTACCATGGGACATTTCCATAAGCAGCCGACTATAGGCAATACGCGTTCCATACATTGAGTTCAGTGTACACTGTACACGGTACACGGTACTAAAAATAAATACTTATACAAATTAATAACTAGGAACATTTACATTTCCCATGATTATTTCGACAAATCCGATTGTCGGTATTATGGCTTTCACAGGTGCAATTTATGTAGCTGTATGACTATGTAACTGCTAAGTCAATAATGTTTCAGGTTTAGAGTTACATAAATTGATAAATGTATAGCAATAACTAAAATAAAAAAAAAAATAAACCTGATTAAATACCTAATATACCTATAACTGATTAAAAAAACTTTCTCAAGCTTATCTGTATTTAACGTTTTTTGCTTAAAGTATGATCATAACGTTAAATTTTTTTTATCCATTTTATTGTTTATTTATATTATCTATAAATTCACTGGACCATCAAGTGTCTACTACAGACAGATTTTATTGTTTTCATAATAAAATTCGTGCACAAATATGTAATGAAAATTGAATTGTATTGAATTTTTTTTATAATACCTACATAGTTAATTGTAATAAATGAATATTTTTTCTCGAAAAACGATAAGTTATGTTTGCATGATCAACTTGGATTTCATCATTTCTATACGCATAAGCAGTGGCGTATATAGGATTTAATTTAAGGGGGTTATAAAATAAGTATAAATTTGATTAATACTATAAATTAACTTTATTTTGATAATTAATGAATAATATAATTATAACTATAATACCTCAATAAGTTTCCTTAATTAAAGAATAAAATCTTATTAAATATTAAATGAATTAAAACGTGTGCCGTACCAACGATTAATTTCGGAGGGGGTGCGGGTGAACCTCCTAAACCCTCCCCATATGCCACTGAGCATAAGTAGTCAATAGGTAAACTTAACTTATGAAAAATTATTATTAGGACAATTGTGTTATTGGAGATCTGTGGTTTTTGGTTAGTGTTGCTATCCCAACTGAACGAGATGGAGGTAGTTCTTCCCAAAAAATGATAACGCATTCTGATAAAGACAATCGATGATAAAATTAGTGAATATAATACATGTGCCGATGAGCGGCGAAAAAAAAAAGATAAATGGCTATTCATTATCAGTTCAGACTTTCGAGTTCTTTTCGTGTTCAAGTAAATTAATAATCATTACCAATTACGTTTTGTAAACGTTATAACCAATTGCGTTCAATACCTTTTTTTAATGTGTTATAAATTTGTATTGTATTTGTTTACAGAATAATGTTTAAATCATTTTTATTCGTCAGAGGGATACATTTAGCTAATGCTAATTGGTCTTCTAGCAAAGCACAATTATTAAAACTAAGAAAAAAAACTGGATACCCATTTGAAAGCTGCAAAAAAGCATTACAATTAAATAACAACAGTTTAGAGAAGGTAAATACAAACCATAAATAGAAGGTATTTAAAAAAAATAACTAATGTAAACTTTGTTTGATAATTTTTAAAGTCTGAAGATTGGTTAAAAGAAGAAGCACAAAGGTTAGGATGGGCAAAAGCCAATAAACTTGCAAACCGTGCTACTGCTCAAGGAGTTATAGCATTGGCAGTAGATAATAAAAAACAAATTGCTACCATGGTAGAAGTAAATTGTGAAACTGATTTTGTTGCTCGTAACAAATCTTTCCAATCTGTGGTGGATGTAGTGACGTCGTCATGCTTGGATTTTGCTAAAAAACAAAAGGCTTTAGAAAACTCTTTTTCTAAGGTAAAATATTTTTTATTATATTTGAATCAAGTAATTTCCAATAGTTAAGTATCAATATTTGAATAATTTGAAATATTGCATTATTATGGTCATAAATGTAATTTATACTGTTAATTATATATTATATCAGATAGACAAATTAAAAAAAATGATTTTCTAGATGATTAGATGTTAGGTTACAATGATTTTATCTAGTATAATAATTTATTATTTCATTTATTTTATAATTTTGAATGTACTATATAGTTTACAGGGATTGAAAATGTTACCATGTTTTTAATAAATATACTGTATATATTATGGGAAACAAAACAATTTTCATTTTGTTTCGGTGTTTTCAATCCTTGATTATTTATTTTCTGAATAAATTAATGCAATATTGTACATTTGGGACTAAAATATTTGTATACTATTATTATACTTAATTAAATTGATTTAGATAGGATAGTATGTACCAATTGAATTTGATACATTTTTCCTAAAATATATTCCATGATCATCATCATTTGTACAGTATTAATAAAGTATGTATTATTCTTAAATGGTTTTTATACCACTGGTGTAGGCAGAACATTGTTCGAATACATTTTTAGCTTTACTTTTTTATCATTTATATCAGCTACAATTGTATCACATTAAAAAAGCAATCGACCTTGTAAGTTTGGTAGTAAATATGGTCAGGTTCAATTTTTGTTTTAATAAAATGTTGTAAATTTGACTATAAGTTCAAAAAATGAATTCTCCCAAAATGAGTTAGCGTTAGAAAATCAGAACATTTACTATAGCTCAGTCTGTTGTTAGCGCTGAAGATGACAACATCGTTGTAACACGTGTATGCAAGAAGTGTATAATTTGTATGGTTTAGGGTTCAAGTAGATTTTATATCTTTACTACTATAATAGTCTTTTATTTAACTAAACAATTCAGTTAGGAGATAATGTATTATCGCTGTCGGATCATAATGATGAATCAGCCAAAAATGTTTTTTTTTAAGTACATATCAACCAAATATTTTGTAGAATTTAGTGGTTAAATAATGTAGCTCTAAGAGTACAGGAAGGTTATTTTATATTTTAAACATATCTTTAATAAATGTAGATATATTTTAAATTACATTTTTTCTCTTCTGAGAAAATTGCATTTGGTTGATACCTCACTATGATTTTACAGCGGCAAAAAGTATTATATTAGTAGTATTGCCAGAAATGCATTTAAGCCATCAAATTTTTCAAAATAGATGGAAAGTATAAGTCATACTATACCTAAATTTAATCGATTAGGATGTTATTCTAAAATAAACAATTTGTAAAAAAGATATTGGTCAAAATTTAAAAACCACAGCTACTATACTTTATTAAACTTAAAATCACATTTTATTTTTGTTGATAAATTATTTTTTAAAAAAATGTTTATACAGCCATGTTTTGATTACAATACATTTCTTTACAGGTCAATCTCAAAAGTGGAGAACTGATGGCTTTAAGTGGTACTGAGGGCAAGTCGCTGGCCGATCATATTGCAATGACTATTGGTAATCTAGGTGAAAATCTTACACTTAGACGTGCAACCTGTTTAAATACTCATGGTACAGGATTAAATATAACTGGTCTTACTCACCCTGCGAACACTACAGGAAATAACTATTTTGCTGGAAAATATGGATCACTAATAATTTATCGTCGTCATTTAGATAATGACATCATAAGTGAAAAATCTATGGAAAGTTCTCATAATGAAATTCTTCGTCAAATGTGTCAACATGTTATTGGTAATTACACAACTTTACAACTAGATACATACATTTTAATATGGATATGTTTTTTGCCCGGGGGTGTCATTTGAAAATTTGTATCACACTTTTTTTAAGACTGAAATTCAAATTTTAAATACAACTAAAAACATTGAATTGTGTATAGCCTATATAGAAGGCAAAAAATATATCCATGATTTGATGATTTTTCACACTAGAGAATATTTTTGACTTAAAATTATGCCTACAGGATTAACTCTCACGTCACGTAAAGTGACCCAATGTTACTTCTTTACTATTATGTAATAGATTGTAATCATTTGTTTTTTTTGCTTTAGGTATGAATCCTAAAAGTGTTGGAGTGCTTGGACCTTATGAACTAACAAAATCTCAAGATAAAGTCAATGATGAAAACGATTCCACTGAAATTCAAGACACAGTAAATGTTGATGAAAAGCCAAGTGATGAAATAGAGGAAGATGGCATGTTAGAACAAGCATTTTTATTAGATCCTTCTTTAACTGTAGGACAAGTAGCAACTGATTATGGGATTGATATATTGGATTTTGTACGATTTGAATGCGGTGAATCATAATTTCATTAATTCAATTTCTTTGAATGAATTTCTTTATAAAAAAAATAGATTTTTTTAAATAATGACACTTTAACAAGTGTTAGTATCTTTGAATAAAAACTAAACTTAGTTATGAATTTGGTAGTATCAATGTTTTAAGTATTTTGAGTATATATTTTAGATTTTTTTATCTGGTTTTTAATTAATCATCTAGAATTCCTTACTTGAGTGTGTTTCATAATTTTTTTTTTTAATTGTATACTTAATTTCATTAAAAAGACTACTTTAAATATAAAACTTTATTACTATTACTTTAAGTGAAAACCTAGGTATTTTTTTATTTAAATAAAAACAATTATTTAAATAATACCCAGGTTTAGATAACAGTTTACTTTTATGTTTTCTTATGGATTACCTTTATAAATAGTTAAAACTTATGAACATCAATAGTACTATTATTATGAAAAAACTGAATTTAAAAGGTTAAAATGTATTTAAAGTGTTAATTCCTTCTTTCAGTGTTGTTATTACTTATTTTAATTTTTGAATATGTGAGATCTCAGTAAATTACACTGTAATTGGTTAACCCAAATCTAACCAACTGATACTCTCTCAGATGACTTATTTGATAATAGATAGGAGATATGTAAAAACAAACTAGTAGGTAAAAATATTAACTAAGACACCATTATAATAAAATTTATTATTTAATTAACATAATATGTAATCTTAGTCTGTCGTTAGTGCTGAAAATGACAACATTGTTACCGAAATACGTACACGAAGAGAGTTTATTATTTTATGGTTAAGGGTTTTAAATATTAATTTCTTATATAACCATAAGTTGCTCAAGTTTTTTCTAGCTTACCAATCTTGATTACAATATTATTATATTTTATTACTATACAAAATAGCTATAATACTGGCCCATATTTAGGAAGATAAGATGTTGTAAATTCTCAACCTCTACCCAATAAATGAAGTCACCACCTTCTTTATATTATACAACTGTTTAAGTTAGTAATGAGCTTAAATTATAATATATTCTGAAGAAACATTACATTCTTTTTTGAGGTAGGTTCTATGATACATAAAACATTTTGTTTTAACTTATAGGCCCATTTTAACATTTGTCCAGTAGCTGGAGGTGTGTCCAATTTGCCCTTTATCTAAATACAAATAAAATGGATTGATTAAGAGACAAAACTTGTTAACATTTTATAAAATATTCTTATGTTGACCATGTTTTGAAAAAAATATATCAATTATATTATTTATAATAAATCTACATTAATTAAATTGTAGTAATAAAAATATATATTATACATATTTATATATATAGTTACTAATTTACAAAACAAAATTGTTTGGTTTTGTTGAGATATATGAAGAAAATGTAATTTAATTTTGTAAATGTATTAGGGACAGAAGTATTTAAATTGAAATATAGAACTGTAAAATTGTGCCTTTCCAAGACAATCTAGAATCCCATCCCAATTTTCCTCACAATTGAATTCTCACACAAATACAGCATTCATGTTTTAAAATTATACAAATTATACTTAGTGAGAAAATCAAGTTTTATTCTTAACTCTAGTATGTATAGAGATTAATGAAGTCAATAAATTAACCTTGAACAAATACATATTTAAACATTTGGTGCCCGATGTAATTATAATTTTTACCACCTTTCTCACCTTAAAATAAACAAATACTATGTTTAGACTAGCAATTTCATTAAATTTGTTCTATAATTAGTTGTGCATCATTCGAATAAAACGTTTTTTAAAAATCATCTAATTAACTTATTAGTCAAGTAGAAGTTATTTGAATAATTTCAAAAATTTTTCAAAAAAAATTATTTGAATAAGAACTTGCACAATACTGATTATAATTAATTGTTTAAATTGTTTAAAGACAATACAAAAAAATATTCTTTCTACCGTTTTTGTCGATCTTTGTAGTTTATTGCAGTTTAGTAACTAGAGATTAAAGTTACCACGTATAGTACACCGTACAAATTTGAATGTGCCCTGGGTCTGCTGTGCTTCCTGCACCAACGGTAGCTACGCTACTGGTGAAGCTTGTCAAATTTGGAAGGTTAGGATAGGTTATGACATATTAAATTCATCTTATATAGTATTCTGGTTTATTGAAGGTCCATTTTAGATAGGTTTTTACTGCATTGTTTAAATAAAAAATAAAATATAAGTTTTAATTACAGTACAAAGTCAAGAAGGTATTTCTAAGATGATTCTTTAATAATTATTTAAATAATGCCCAGGTTTGATTATCCCATATTTTTTCTCTTATTCTTTCTTAGGTAAAAAAAATATTGTGGTCACACGATCTTTAAAACATTATTCAGATTATTGTTGTATAAACACTGATTGATCTTAAGTACAAACAATTTTTTTTTATATTGAAGGTTAAGCAATATAATTATATATTATCAATCAATAATAAAAATAATTAAAAAAAAAAAACATTTAGAGGATATTTGTAGATATTATTTTTTATTGTTTAATACTGATACATCATAGAAACTTAAGTAATAATGATACAAATATTAGAAACATTTTAAAAAGTTTGTTTTAAATAATCTTCAAAAATTTTAAGAAATTCCCGAACAATATTTGAATCAGTAACATAAATTCTAGGTGCTAAATTTTGTCCTAAATTTATTGTAGGATTATTAGTTTTATTTTTTAGTGATTTTGCTGATCCATGAATTTCACGACACAATGTTAAGTCCAAAATTTGTTTTAGATTATCAATGCTAATGCCTGCCCCTGGTATAATAATGAGCTTATTATCCATTTCCTCGATTAAATGTTTAATTAGCAATGCACCATCAAAAGCATTTGAACTTCTACCACTTGTTAACAAACGTTTGAAACCGAGATCAGCAATTTCATTTACCATTACCATTGGATCACCTGTTGCCACATCAAATGCCCGATGAAACGTTACAGGTAATGGATGAGCAGCAGAAATAACTGAAGCACAAGCAGCGGTATCTATTAACCCTTTAGCAGTCAAGGCTCCAAAAACAAAACCATCCGCACCAGCGTTTTTTAGCAATTGTAAATCTTCAAGAATAATTTTCAATTCTATTTCTGACAATTGGAAGTCATTACCTCCTCTTGGTCTAAGCATGACAAAAATAGGTACACTTACAAGGGATTTAACAATTTTGAAAAAACCTACGGATGGAGTTAAACCGCCTTCACTCAAAGCACTGCACAGTTCTAATCTATGAGCGCCACCCGAAACGGCATTTAAAACAGACTCTACATTGTCAACACAAATCTCCATATCTGAAATCAAAAATCATACAAGCATATTATTAAGTATTATTAGTATATTATTTTCAAGAGTTTTAATGTAATGTCAATAATATATTTCATTGTTTTCATATAATTAAGTTAATTATATTATTAACTTTTAATTTTAGTTCAGTTATTATACTTAGTTAAGCAAGTTCTTAGGCAATCTGCACAATAATGAATATTCTAGGAACCCTTCTGTATAACATTGAGTTGATTTGTTAAAATAATTAACTGTCTACGATAATTAACGAAATGCATAGGTTCGCAACTAGTTTGCGATGATGTAAAATTTACCTTAGAATTCGAAAATATATATATTTATATTATCCAGGTTACCAGTTGATCCAGCTTATCTGTTCAATAAATTATAATACAAAAGAAATAGTTTTTAAATTAAATAAATAATGAACATAAATACGTCAAATATATAAAGGATATCGATACATATAAAGATAGGTACACATATTACGAAAGTACTTACTATGGAAATTTATTATTACTTAAATTTGGTGATTTATGACTTACTTATGAATTGATAAGAATAGTCAGCATTTTGTTATCATAGTTATGTTTTAAGTAACAAAACGCGTTCATTACTGGTATTATGGAGGTAAACATATTATAAGGGCAGCTGTAAGGCGAAGGATAAATTATTTTTAAAAATGTGGCGAAGGACATAAAACACAGAAGACAAGTCTTGTATTAAGGTTTCCCGTTTATAAAAACACAATATAAAAGTATAATAATTATTACAGTCTTGATTTCTCGTTGGCCGTTACAGCTTAATGTTTATCAGTTTTTGCACCAATTAGGAAAAAATAAAATAAATTAGGTACATGTTGTTGTCGTACGACTCTATAGATGCTTTATAGCATAACCTTAATTTTGGGAGCAGCAAATGTATAAAGCTATTTCGAAGCGAGCCAATGTGTTAAGATATTATGTTTATAAAATGAAGAAATGAAATTTACTCTAAGCTTGGTTTCAAAAGCCGCATGAAACTGATTTAAGATACTATAGAGTATATAGTATCGAGTATAGCAATAAGGTATGCTTGAACAGGACTGTTAAAGTTTTAGACTAGATAGCAGAAAAAAAAGTTATCAAATTTAAACCCCCTGAGATACATGTAAAATAAACCATCCTGATCTTATAATTTTTTCATCATCTCTCCTACTAATCGTGCTGGCTATACTAACTTTCCTAATATCTTGACCATTTATGTTTATTAACTAATCTAAAAATCATATCTGTGTGACCCATTCAATTTAGCTATTTTAAGCACTAAATTAATTAAAATACTCTTTATCAAAATTCTTTCAAAGTTCTTTATCAAAACCAACCATTTTTAACATAAGAATGTTGAAAACCATACTATTAAATGTTGCTAACAGCGATTTTAATCTTTGGGAATGTACTAAAGTGTGCGTTTTCTTGCTATAAATCTTAAAACCTAAATTTGTTTCCATTCTTTTAATTAGTAAATCAAGGAAAGGCAACTTTCCACACGTTAATATAATAGAATGATAATGAGAATTTATACATTGAAGAAAAACATCAATTTTGAAATTTTTATCCACTATAGCAAAAATGTCATCAACCTAAACCAAATTTACGGAAAATAATTATTACTATTTTTAATATTTATTTCAAAGCTTCCCATGAAAACTTTTGCCAAGAAAGATGATAATAGATTACAACAACCATTGCTGTGCCTTCAGTTTGTGTAAATAATCTATTCTGAAACTAAAAAACATTTTGACTTAAACTTAATTTATTAATTCTAACTTTTTCTACATTAAAATTATTATTTAAAATTACTATTATTGGGTCTTCATAAATAATTTTTAAAACTTTATCAAAATTATTTGATTATTTAAAAACGATTAACGAAGGGCGAAGGCCCAGTTTGCTAACGTTAGTAAAGTCAGAAGTCATTTTGTAAGTATAGGTGTAACTTCAAACCGTGTAAATATTTAAATAACTTTTAAGGAATCAAATTCTCTTATCATTCGATTAATCGGAGGATTAAATCTATATTCAACTATTGGACGAGTTAAAGGAAATTATACACCAATTTTAGACAAAGCGGGTTTATCAACACACAGTAAACTTTATTCATTTGAATTATACACTTCGCAAATGAATAATGATAGGTATGTGTTGATTATTACAAAATAATAAATATGAAGACTAACTAAGATAACTTCATGATGTAAAATTTGGATAAAGTGTTATGTTCAATCGGTAACTTAAAAACAATAAATATTCACTCAAAGGTATAACAGTATATTCAAATGTTTACAAATTAATGTTTTTGTGTTCGTAGTAATTTACATTTGTTAGTTGTCACACATTGAAATACATTTGGAATTATAATAAAACGTGCCATAAATTTGTTTTTTTAGAATTATACATAGTTTACTACAATATTATATAAAACGAATAATAGATACTTATAAAAACAAACAAGTGTCCAAAACAAAATTACTATTTTAATCTTTTTTATTTTGAAACGAGTAACGTGCGGCGTAATCATATTTTAATTTTCCAGTCATATAATACATATTATAAAAGGTTTAAGGGTAATGTATGTCAAATAAAAAACATTAAAAAACTATTATTATTTTTTGGCATTACGTATGTTCCCACATTTATCGTTGAAATATTGTAATCTTTGGCATCTTGAATGTATAAATGAGCTGAGTGTAGATTCATACAAATACAATTTTAAAAACCTATTAAAATTAAAAGACACAACACCAAGATAATTAACAATTTAATTCTTATAAACAACGGCCACGACACTCCACCATAACGTGGCTGTTACATGTTAAACGCCAATTGCCTAAAACAAAATCGTTGAATCAACAACAGTGAACATAACATTAAACGTATATAGATCAAATATAGTTAAACAACTACAGAAGCTTGATTTTTTTTAGGAATATAATCAAAGTTTGGGCTTAAAACTTGTTACCTAAACATTTTTAAGTAAATTAATAACACTACAACAAAATTGTATATTTTTCGTCACAAAACCAAAAATATATAGTAGTTTACAATGAATCTGAATCTGGCCTCAGATATTCACTAGTAGTGATCTAGTAGTCATCATCTTAAGGGGAAAGGAAAGTCATTTTTATTAAGGGATAGAGAATGGGCAATATTTAACAAAAATTAAGTTTTAAATATGCCGACTAATTTTAAAGTGAAAAAATATAAAGTTTATCTAGTTATTTTTCTCGAGTTATTGTGAAAATTTGAAATGGCTTTCGTAGATTGTAGAAGTCATTTTCTGGTGTATTTATTTGACCAATTCCAAAATTTTATTTTTATGTGAAACTTATTATTTTCCCTATAAGGTCTAAAATTCCGATTTTTATTTTAGCAATTAGAAAATTAATTAGATTTGATGGTAAAAACTATTAAAAAATATAAACGCTTATAAAATTTGTTTGAAACCTTTTAGGCCGCATAGAGAAGATGTTTAACTTTATAGCAAAAAAAATGTTGAAAGTTGTGCGGTAGAAACTTTAGAAAGTGACTTTTATTCAATTATTTTACGCGTTTAGCCCTTATTTGTATATAATTAGGTGCTTTTCGTTTCCCCTAAATAATTTTTTTCTAAAAATCCAACTTTTGTTTTAAAAACATAATTTTTTCATATATTAATTTTTAATTAAATTAATTTTTAGTAAATTAATAAATTAAACTTTAATAAACTTTAAATTATTTATTTTTAGTAAACTAAGTTTTATGGATCAAAAGTATGTTTAGTCAATTTAATGAGTATTTATATTTACAGTATTTATATACTTATATTTTTGGGTAGAATATTTTGTGGAAAAAATAATACATTCTAAATAACAGCGGGAAAACAAACTTGAAAATATTTGCAACTCGTAAAACAATGCACTGTAAAAAAAATAATTGATTTCGTCGATATTATAGTAATTTAAATTTATTGTAACAACTCATAATTATTGAATCCGAAAATAAAACAATTTGAATATCCGAATAACCGAATAATACATATATCTGGTTTTATCCGATTCTATAATTCGGAATGTAAATCAGAATTTTAAAAGTTTTTCTTAAGTATTCCACCGTGATTTCCAATGTAATTTTTTATTCTACGGTAAACCTAGACGAGTATCATTAAGTTCTAATACATTTTGTTTTGGATTATCCCTGTACAGTAGGTACTTTGTTTTGATTATAATTATTCATGACTGGAATACAATTTTTCCCCGGAAATAATATCCTTGAGATACCTAAAAACTTCAATTACTATATTTTTAGTATTATAAAAACATATTTTCTGATATAAATGACTTTTAAATATTATTTACATTAAAAATTGATACGAAAAAATACATGTTTGTTTTTTAAAACAAAATTTGGTGGCTTCTCTCCAAAAGTGTTATGTTTTAAGAATCGTACATTTTTTTATAAGCAAATTTAAGTATGTATATTTAAAAGTACGTCATAAAAATCCGCTTGGCTTAGATAAGTTCTTAATTCAGCCAATTAATAAGGGACTGTACTAAATAAATTGCAATTGAAAGAAATGTTAAAAATTATTTAAACGTACAAAACTTGCTGTATAAACTACAAAAATATATTTTTACAACAATGGAGGAATTTAAAATAATTTTTAGCTAGACGTGATAAAGACATTCTAAGACTAGATTTTCATTCAGCAAAATAAAAATAAAAAAGAAGTATTTTAGTTTTTTCCCCAAAATCGTGTTGTACATTGTAATATAAATATTTTTATTAAGTACTCTTGATCACGGCACATAATTTATAAAACATATTATGTACCTCTTTTAAGTAAAAAATCTATGTCTGATCGAGCCTGTATGCGATTGGCACGCTACGTGCACACGCCTATGATTGTGATTTGTGTATCTACTTAGGAACACATGTTCGATAATTACGCTATCTTTACATGATATATTTTATGCTTTAGCGATGATTTCGATTCGAAGGATTTTTTTTTATCAATCACTGGACTTATTGCGGACGATAAACAATTGCGTTTTGAATAACTTATCACTTCTTCGATATCTTCCTTTCTGAAAAAAAAACACTAGAAGTGATATGTATATTAGGGTGATCCTTAAATGTAGATTTTCGAATTTTAACCTCGACGCTCCCTAAAAAGTTTCTACAATAAAAATAAGATCAAAAAAATATAAATTTTTACCTGTGCCCCACAAGGGTTGAAGTTTAAATGGAATTTAACATAGGATTTCTACACTTGTGCACAAAGAATGTAATTTCCACTTAAAAATCTAAAGAACATCGACGGGTAATGCCTAGAGAATATGGTGGGGACGGCAGATGACGTGATGTGGTTATATAAATCTTTAATATAAAACGTAAAACAATTCCATCTCTTTGTGTTCTCCCTTGTTTGAAAATTAGCTAAAAAAAGTACCAAAAACGCTTATTTTTTTGTTAAATTTTCATTTTCTGGCAGCAGTTTTGGCAGGTATGAATTTTTAACAGACTCCAAGCTATAAAACAACCAAAACTTCAGATCAAACTAAAGAGAAGGAAAAGAGTTATGCATTGATTTGTGCACAAGTGTCGAAATCCTATGTTAAATCCCATTTAAACTTCAATCCTTGCGGGGCACGCGTTTAAAATTAATATTTTTCAATTTTTCTTTTTTTATCTTATTTTTATTGTATTTAAAACTCTTTACAGGGCGTCGAGGTTAAAACTCGAAAATCGACTTTTTAAGGACCATCCTAATATATATATATATATATATATATATATATATATTAGATACAACTCATATATATATATATATATATATATATATGATAATAGCCGTTTTTTAAATTAATAACCGTAAGAATATTAATGATGGCCAAGTTAGACTGCGATGGGGTTGTCAATTAATTTACCGGTTAACTTGTATAAGCTTCATGGTATTATTTTTAATTTAAATCATTTTGTCTATGAGTAAAAGCCATTTTAGTTCATAAAAATAGTACATTTTTTGTCCATCGCACAGGCTGAATCAGTGATCCGATAAATAATCTAAAAACAGATTTAAATTTGTCATGTAGTTTACTTGAGATCTGTCAGCGTCCTTTTTTGATATCTTATTCCTACACGCATAAAACACGATAACCTTTTAATAAAATTTCAAATTTTAAAATCGAATTTGGAAAGGGTTAAAATTCAAAATTGAAAAAAGTACTCTGACCGATCTCAAGTAAACTTTATGACGAATTCATATCTGTTTTTAGATTGCTTATCGGATCACAGGTTCGGACTTCGGCCTGTATGTTGAGCAAAAAATTATGTATTTTGGCTGAAAAATAAGGTCGGTATCTAGGGGCCTTAAGGAAGCTAGCCACTTGCATTGGGATAAGACAAATAATATAGTTAAATAAATGTGTTAAGTCACATTACAGTTTCGAAGACTTACCTGGCACGGGACAAAAATAAATTGAATAACTTGTGGGGAATACAATTCTTTTGGTTACCGTGTGACGCAAACATAACCGTGTCGTAATTGTACTTTATTAGAAAATTATCTAACAGCTGGAATATTTTCAGTGATTTTTGGCTGGTTGACAACGAAGACTTGGGAATCTATAAAAATTAACGTTAAGAAATGTATAAAAATATATTAGTTAATACTTAATAAACATTCGAAATTAAGTTCTTTAGAGTTAGTTGTAGGTAAGTTATAGCTATAATGTAAAGCTTTAAAAAACACATTAAGCACTGCATTTTAATTACACCGTACGTATTTATAAATGTATAAGTGGCTGAGGTGTAAAGATAAACCAAAATACAAATAAAAGTACATATACTTGTACATGTATATATTATTATAACATTATTTCAATCAACTGTGCCGTATGCCAAAGTAATAAGTATTACATTTTTGATAAAATAAATTAGTGAAAATCGTGCACAATGCATGTAATCTAATTGTCACGCGAATTAAACTAATAATATAAACACATAACTGCAGTTCTGTATATATATTATATATATAGGTACTGTATACATATTTAAGCTTCGATGCGAAGCGGAGAAAGTTCACCCTTTTCTCTTTAAAATTAAGAAAAACAACTATTAAACCAACAATTGATTTTGATATATATATATATATATAAATACAAATCATTTGTAAGTTAAGTTTTAAATTGGTGGTGAAATAAAGAATACATTTATAATATTTATAGAAATAACAAAAACATCTTGGTATGATTAAAAAAACGTTCATTGTATTTTACCGAAAGTTAAATACAGGCAATATTGGGTATTTGTAAATAGTGATCGCTCAACGAAATGTGAATTAAAACTGATACCAATTTCTATACTCTGTTCCAAAAGAAAATAACCAGAAACTAAAACGTTGCGCCGTCGTCACGTTTTAGTTTCTGCGCTGGTTTTTCTATTTTGGAACAGAGTATAGTTTGTGAAAGATATTGGAACGAGACTTCATTCGAATTTCGGTGCATAATAAAATATAATGTTAAGTATCTGTCGATTTAAGGTTTAACGGCATGGTTAAGCATTATTACTATGCAAATTGTAACTGCAAAAGTTGTTGAGTATAATATCATGGGGACAGAATGCTTTTGATATTTGGACGGACTTGCAATAACGTGTCGCAGTTAGACACTTTAAACGAGCGAGGAATACATTACCTACAAGCCGCAACTTCGTTTCCCATAGTTCAACGTGAATAGTACACTCAGGTATTTGTAATCGTGCTAATGTATATTATATATTCAGACGGTGTATTATTGAAATTAAAATAACAAATTACAAGGAAATGAAAATCAATTGTGAATTATTTTGATCACACGTTAAGCGTGTACATTAACAATTCCACAATGAAATCATACATAATAAACCTATATCCTATACTATAATACGATGAATAAATATATATAAATATATACATACATATGAAATAAGCTATTTCAAATATTTCCATACTACTAAATACATTTTCTAAATAAAATAATAAAATAATTTATTATATTTTAAATAGTACTTTATAAACAAGGTTTCCGTAAGGGACGTTCTACTTTGACTAATTTGGCTATTTTTAAACTTAACATTCTCGATTCTTTTTCAACTGGTGCCGCCCAAATGAATACTCTATAAACAGATTTCGAGAAAGCTTTCGATATTGTCGATTACTTGTCACTAATAAATAATCCTTTACTATCTTAATTTAATTATTTTTTGTTAAATATAATACAAATTGTAAAATTAAAACATTTTATATCGAAACTTTACAAAGTTCTATCAGGTGGTCCTTAGGGTGATCACCTTTCACCAACATGTTTTTATTATTTATAGGTCAAATATTTTATTATTTACTGATAATGCTAAATTATTAAAAAACAAACAAATAGACTCTATAATTGTTTGTATAGCTTTACAAGATGATTTGAATAATTTTAACAAGTAGTGTTTTTGATAAAAAATTAAAATTTTTTTTTTTAAATATGGGGTTCATTATTCGTATATGTTTAAATTTTAATAATTTTAATGCTTTTAAAAATGTATACTTTGTATTTGTTAGATCACAGTTAAAAATGCTTCTTTTATTAGACTTTAATAATATGTCTACAACACAGAATCTTGAAGCAGTGCAGTATCATTTTCTTCGTTTTCTATCATTTAAATTTAATGTTGATCGTCTACGGCATAGTTATAATAGAGTTCTATCATACTTTAATCTAAATTATGATTAAAATTAATTAAATTCGTGGAAAACTACTCTAATTATGTATTTCTGTTAAAATTATTAAACAACTTAATAGATTGCTTATATTTAAAAACGTTAAAATTTTTCCAACAAGATTATTGTCAAATTTAATCGTTATAATTTACATTGTTGTATTATTAGGAGTGAATTTTATTACCATTGTAATAAAAGTACTTAGTCCTTTTTATGTACTTGCTACATATTATATTGTACACATTTTTGTAAATAGAGTTATCCGTAAATAAATATATAAATAATAATAATAATTATATAATATATACATACTAAAAGACTAGCTATGAAATTATTCCAAACGTTGTTATTTAACTGATATTCACTGGTCCATCCAAGGAACCGATTGGTCCATGTCACTGTATAACCTAACCTAACCTTCTTTGAGCCTGCCAGGTCTTTGTTATTTTTAAACCAGCTTAAAGTTTTTGTGATATTGACGAGACTTCGCTTCACTTGAACTAACATTAATTACTTTGGAGCGATATAACACAGATTTTTTTTTAATGGACGTTTCAAATTTCGTTGTTTTTTAGCTTCAAAGTGTAAAAATAGTAGTATAATAAAAATAACATGCATATAAATAATGTAAAAATACTGTGCGCCTATCTTATACACTAACTGTGCACACATGGTAGCTCTGAAAACGATTACATGTGCCAATTAACAACACATTTGTCTTACAAATATACATAAGTTCGAATTAGTGATGGGAATCCGAAAATTCGGATTTAAAAAAAAAACACTATTTAAGCCACTTAAAAGTCTTAGACATGTTACATATTTTTACAATAAAAAGCTGTGTACTTGAGTAAAATGTTTTGATGAAAATTTAAATTTAATCATTTAAATTTGACTATAAATTGCTTTCGAATTCCGGATTTTCGGATCTCAACAAATCCGAAATCCAAAAGGAGTTTACCTTTTTGGCATTGTGTTTTGTTTTTACATTTTCATCAAACATATTTTACTTGGGTACATGGCTTATTACTGTAAAAATATTTAATAATGCATAGAAGAACAAAGTTGCAATGATAACCTATATGGCTAAAATACGTTACCTCTACATTATTATAAACATTATGTTGTTTAAATGACGATTGGTCATACTTCACACGTCCCTTAGTGATTTGAAATTTACTATTACCTTCTTATGTTTATCTTGTCCGTGGTAAATCTTTTATATTAATAGCGAATCATCAACGACGACGTCACATTATGATTTGCACATATTAATCGTTTTATCAAGTGTATTCTTGCTAATATTGTTTGTATACATAATATGTTATTGCACTTTATGTATTTTAACTATTCAGAAATTATGAGATATACCATTGAAAATTGATAATGAATAACAAAATCAGGATTCAACAAATTATTTAAGCAACTACTTACAAGATGCAATTTTTACTCCGAGTTTGTGTAACTAGTTACAAGGTTTAAAGCTGCATTCACATAATAAAAGATTTTACAAGTGTAAATATGTGTGTTCTTCTAGTAAGGTCTTATTAACCGTGCGATAGTTAGGTTCTGGTCAAGTTTATGTTAGATTTGGGCTAATTTCTGATCAAATTCAGGTTAGGTTGTAGTTTCGGGTGAGCTCATGTTTATAGGATTCAATTATGTTTTGGTTAGGTTTAGAATATGTTTTTATTAATTAACTAACTATATCATGTTAGTAAAACATGAAAAGATATAATTTTATAAAAAAATGTTTTTAATTTATTTTTGTAGATAGTAAAATAAGATCGAATAACCAAACAATATTAATCGTTCCATACCGGTTAGGAACATTTGTATAAGTTCTGGAACATTATGAAATGGGACATTTTATAAATTATATATGAATAATTTTAAAATATAAAAAGAAACTGACTACAGAAGCAAGTAAATTGCGTTTTATATTGCACATAATTTTTGAGTAAAAATTAAAGAATTTATTATTTGAAGCTTACTAAATTAATATTAAAGTTCTAAAAGTTTAAAAATAACAGTTCTAGCTTCCATATATTATGTTTACAATACAATTACATAACAGGCATCAAGCTAACGACTTAAAATTGAAGTTTTTATAGTTTTAATAATCTTATGCTATAGTTGCTAGGACTATTATAATACATCCGTTCGACTCTTTAATACATTTTTTGATTGTGAAAAAAGTAGTTCTCATTGATTTGTTAACTCCAGAGGGGAAGAGAAAAAATTTTAATATTAACATTACCAAAAAAAAATCCGTAGACCCGTCATACGCATAACATTATAACAAATACCGTTAAAAAGCGTTGCAGCGATAATGTCTTGTGAGCTATTTAGTAAGATTCTAGTATGGTACTTATAAATAAAACTAACCTCAAATTGTATGGGGATACTGAGGTTTTTCGAAGCTTTCACTAGGAACATCAAAACGAGGTCCGCGCTAGACGAGGAATCATCGTAGCGTTTTTCCAGAACACATTTTTTTAGCGTCGCCGATATATAAGTCAAATACATGGCAAACGTTTGCCTGGCCTGGTGGTTGCTGAAACCCGTGAAATTCGACACTTTACTAAACACTACGTGTTTGCTTATATATAATAATAAAGTCGAATTCGAGCTAAAATCAGACGGCGTTAGATCTGGCTTTAAACGATAACTGCTACTGCCTAACGTCAAAAAAAGTTTTCAAAAAAAAAAACCAATTTCTACTAAAACTCACCTAAAAATAAATCCGTTTCGTAAATACTTCATGATAGCGTCTTTCAGTTTGGTTACGTCAGGACTATCGTCGACTTTGTTGTTTTTATCTGTAAGCAAAACCAATATTAACCATCCGAGGCTATTTGAATAAATGACAAAACGGGAGCGAAGGCGGATTCCTATAAAAAGCAGAATAGTTTTGGGTAATAATAGACGATGTTTAATAGATATGTAGGTATAGGATATGTCTAGTAAGCATACGTGTATCATAATGTCTATGTATCAAGACACGGTATACATTTGGTATACATTTAAATTAATGAAGCGGTAATAATACTGTACACATGATTTTGGAAAAAGATTCATAATACATTAGTTAATATAATATATTTTGCTGAGTCCGAATCTGGACTCAAATTTTGTTTAATACGCCTTATTTATTTATTTATTCGTAAGCATTTTTTAAAAGTTGTAAACAATACGGGTTTTTATGCTAGGTGCTATTAATGTATGCAATGCCCAAACACCGAGTTCCTAAACAAATAAATTTTTTTTTTGTTCTTGTTCTAAAATAAGTTCATATTTTGTGTACAGTATCTAGTAAGTTTCTAGCTATTTCACATTATTCATAAGCATAACAATGATTTGAAATCTAACGTAACATTTTGTATTAAACTGATTTTTCAAATTGAATTATAGGAGTAGTGGCGATCTTAAAAACCACTGTCGGTAGTAAAATTGTACAATTAGTATCGTCTATTCTTAAACTTTATTAAAATTTAGAAGAACCAAAATAGTATTTTAATATGTATTTTAAAGGTTGTTAGCATTCTAAATATTTCATAACAAACCAAAGTTTTACAAGTACAATATTAAGTTGTGATTTACCGTCAAAATGTCCATTGCTACCTCTCAGCGATCTTTCGTAGCGGTTCTGTCGACTGATGTCCATGTAAAACGAAGAATTTTCCCCGAACAGCTGATCGTTCAATAAGCAATTATAGTTTTTTATAAGTTTCACGTAGAAAGGCGGTATAGTCGATCCTCGAGGTACTCCATTGGTGTCGTCTGTAAAATAAGACGTGACCATGATATAAGTTCTTAGAACATAATCGTATTAAAACACGACCACACGCATTGAAACCAATATAGGGGAACTTTAAATGACTTATGGTTCCTAATAAATGCTAAAATTGACAGAATCCATTGAAACAACATTTATATTAGCATTTAGCAGTTTCAAATCTGAAAACGATATTTGTTGGTTTACAATTTTTAACAGTTTCCAAAATTATTTAATGTTTTGTCGTATACATAGGTTGGGGGATTAAAAAGTTACCATGGGCTATTCCAAGCACAAAAAAAGACATATAATTTAAAAACCAATCCCTTATCAGCCAAGGTAAAGTGCTAATAAGTTGCAAACGATTACCATTTACTAGCATCTTACGTACCTAAGTACGAAGAATATTTTTTCCATGTCAGACTGGTCGGAAAAATCCTAATGAACCCTCTACTTCTGCGGTTTTGATCTATTGTATGCAACAACAATCGTTTCTCGTCGCCATTCAAACTATTGTTAACCGACGAAGCCTTCCTTTTTCTCGGCACGTCCGATTTCGGTCTTCTTTCGGTCGTTCTACTGGAGCTATTGTATTTAATAAAAATAACAACAATAATCATTATACCGCTGAAGTACGTTTCTTCCTCTAGCAAACACCAGGATGCCCACCTGATAGAACTACCGAACACAGTCGGGTCGATGACGGGAATGCCGATCAAGGTGAACAGATCACATATCATCGAACTCTTGATCCGACAGTCCAGCGCGGAATCGATTCCCAATGAAGGCGAGAGGTTGACTTCAAGAAGCCATGGCTTGAGTTTGTCGTCTACCAAAATGTCGAACCCGTAGAGCTCTACACAAAGTAACATTGATAATGTTCTATGAACATACAGTTTAATATACTATAAAACATGTTTATGCAACTTCTTTTTAAATATTATTGTTAAATAATAGTTGAGTGACAAACTGTTTCGATTTTTCTGTACAAAAGTAAGCATGTCGTATGGATAGCTTCCTTGGAAACAAGCGAATTTTTCGATATATTTGTAATGAATCATTAGGATTTCTTTGGTTGTTACAAATTTATTAGTAATTTTTTGGAATGGCTTTAAAATTATTACAGAAATATGTCTACCCCCCAGTAGTGCTCTAAACAAACGGACTTGGCTGTTTTCGTCAAAAAATATTATAATCGAAATTAAAAATACAGTTTGTTATGTATTTGAGAATAGAACTCCTAATTACCCAGACAACACAGAAATAAAAAAAATCTAAAATATATTATTAAAATATTTTCGAAGAATTTTATAATATTCAAAGCATATTTTATAGTTAAGAACTTTTAGCTAGTAAAATAATTATAAAATATTTTAATGACATATTTTGAATTTTTTTTGTTGAACTCTGGAAGTTGGCACATAAATGGTTTTAATAAATATTATTATAGCAAGCTGTTTTAATTTTTATTGTTTTCAAGAAGTTATGTAAATTTTAGCATAGATCATGCTTTAGCCTAGGCCTTCCAGCTCGAAAACGACACAAAATAGCCCAGCTATCGTGGTCGGAATATCATTGGGCAGCATGGCCGCGTCCTCCCTTAATAATGACGATGTGGCCACGGGCTTGAGCGGTCCTATTTTTGTTAAGATTTATTTGAATGCACCGGATCATTTTGATTCTGTCCCTGTGCCTCTTGCATCATCAACTTTACTCATATTATGCTGCAAACGTTTTGGCCAATCGCAAGGAGATTATAGATCAGAAATAATCACTATCCAGCAGGCTAAAGCATGTTCCATGTTTTAAAATTTTAGCCGTTAGGCTTTAAGTAGACTGTAACTTTTTGTTTTACTCATAAATTGTCATCAATAATTGACAATTTTTATAATTTTTTTTTTAAATATAAATTTCTAAAACAAAAATCTTGTACAAGAATTTATTTATTTTGCCTGAAAAAACTCCAGTATAATTCATTAAAACTTGCGATCCACCGATGTGACATTTTCTTATTAGGCAATTATTATTCATCGACAAATTGCAATTATATTTTTTTTTGGCGGAATAGGAAATCGGGCGTTATCTTGTTTGACCAAAAAGTTAAAGGTACGGGTTTGACAGAAAGGATCTCGCTCAAACAAACGCCCAGTAAGCGATACAGGTGTGTTCGACTCCCCTCCATGAGAAAAAAGTTTCAGTACTTTCCAATTTCTTTACTTCCATAAAGCTTACTTCAGGCTACTTCTACTTCCGCGTTACGCTTTTTAGGCCCAGGCGGCAAAACAAAATTTTTTTTTTTAAATCTAAAATATTGTAACGTTTAAATAAAAACGAATTCTTCCCTTAATGGAAAAAATAAATATCGATAAAGATCCCCATTTGTCGTTTTAACAAGCTTTCCAGTATTACGTACTGTATAGTAATACGTGGAGTATTTTCAATTCGTTATACGCCTAAAACCACACTTTTATATCTAACAGATCTACAAAACGTCTAGTTTTAAGTCTTCTATTGAGTATGAAGCTGTAAAAACAAACTCTAGACACGATATTTGAATTACCGAAGCAGTTTTGATTGTTCGGGACGAAACAGTTGATGGCCGGCAACATTTGAGCCGTAGCGCTCATGATGGTTTTGATGACGATGTCTTCGATTTCGGTCATCAGGGCCTCGGTGTCGATCAAACACTCTTGTCGCAGATGGTTGAGGAGAGCGCTCAACGACCATTTATGACCGACGTTTTCCCTGTTGGGATCTAAATTCCTGCGAATCCGAAATCGTTTACAGCGTGAGTGACGAGTCACGACAGATTTGTAAAGGAATTTTTGTCAACAGATTTATTTATGAACAAGCTCGGGATCTGCGCCAATACCTGATGTAACTGGGATTGCTTTTGTTGACGCTGTAATTGCACAAATGCATTCGTCTGTTGCTGATCTGAGTACGGTCACACGAGTATTTGACCGTGGCGAACCGGACTAGGCCTTCTTCGTACAAATAAATTATCAGTGGATTGAACGAGGTGACTAGAACGTACAACCTGAGGTCCCACTTGTATCCGTTCACCAGCAGCGGGTTGTCCAAGTACTTGGCTACTACCACGTTGTCTTTCAGACACTGCTGTTGTACGTCGTTAAACGGCTATGGAGAGGGTGAACAGTGCTTGTTATTAGAAAAATTCACGACTCGGTTAAACCTGATTAACAGAAGGGTAGAGCCCATTTTGGCAATTTTTCCGGACACACGAAAAACGGTTTTCAGATATTTTTCATGTATTCCGAAATAACATTAGACTAGACCAGTAACAACATTGTAAATTTTACGTTACTCTTTGCCATTAGTAATTTATAACATAACTAGCTACGGTTTTACCGTCTTAAAATTGTTCATTATGATTTACTTAAATTTTTACTACTAGTATAAATTTGAATGTGCTTACATAATCGATAATCGTGATGCCTCTACCTCGAGACAGGTCAAAAGGTTTGACTATCCAAAGGCCTCGGTGTCGATATTGATTGGTGATAAACCTGTTGTAGTCTTTCGGCATAATGTAAGTTTCGGGTACAAACGAGAAATGTTTTATTCCGTTTCGGTGGCTCATAAGCTCGATATTTTTGTACAGCTTGTCTTTCCGGGTCAGCTCGCATGACCTTAAAACATAAGAGTTGATGCTCTTAATGTTATGGTCATATTCGTACGCATGTACAAATTATAATGACATAATACATCTTGCATAAAAAACAACACCCTAATATCTTACAATATTAAGCATTTTATTTAATACTTAAGGCTTTTAAGGATATTCAAATGGAATGTACATGGTGTATAGCAAAAATACTTAATAATGTAACTAAATCACTGGATTCTACAAATAAAACCAATTTGATTTTTTTTACACTTATAATAAAATTGAGAAAATATAACATTATATTAAGTCTAGTGTAGTGTGTAACCATCAAATTTTTATAAAGTTAAGTATAATAAGAAATTTAAATTTTCTTTTAATAACCTTAAAATCTATTTGGACTGCATATTTTCAATTAAAAAATAATCTACAGCTGGAGTCACGAGAAATATTAAAGGAAATCTGAAAAAGGCAATTATATAACAATTAACAACGGGATTGAGAAATTAGGTGAAAATGAGATAGGCTAACGTCAATCTTGTACTAATTGTCTTATTACTAAATTGTCTAATTATATTACTATAGTTTTGGTTTATCAGGACAGTATTTTTATTTAAGTTGCTTGAATAAGTAGTTTTCTTGAGTAGGTTTTAGCTAGTGACACACTAGGATGTCTAAAAAAGGTACCTATTTTGATATTCCCTAGAGGATATAGCGCTAACTAACATTTTAAAACTTCAATGGTAACTGTTGTGTTATTATTATTCACACGGTGGGCGGTATGTTCCGGAGAGGGGTCTGCAAAGTATGCCCTTTACCATTAAAGGATAATACAGAAACTAATGTATAAAAAAAAAATGTTATTTAAATTTATTCGTATGTTTGTTAATATACTGAAATTGAATTGTATTATAGTTTAATTATTAAAAATTATTCCAAGGCGGTTGTGTTTTGTGTTTTATTATTATTATTATTGTCGAAACCAGTTGGTTGTGTAGTGTTGAGTCCATCCGCGGATCATGTATCAAAAAGTAGTCATAGTTCTATTCCCTATACGCACGCCATGACCGCCCGAGTGTTTTTTTATTACAATAAAATAGAATTCATCGTAAACGAATTTTATGATTTACAAGAATAAAGGTTACAGTCCATATGCGAAGAGTTTAAGGTTCCAAACAGGTAACATATATTATATAATATACAAATACATAATGATAATGTATATATTCCATTAACTTTTTAAATATAAATTTAATATAAATATTAAGTAATTTAAATAAAAAAAGTTTGATAACAGATTTAAAAAAAAATTGTAGGTACTTCTGTAATAGATTTGTTAATTCCAATTGACAGATCTCAAGTCTTAAAAACTACACCTAAAAAGCGAAATTAAAAAAAGTCAACTTTTCAGTTACCATTCAGATACGATTTTTCATAATTTATTTAGCAGGTCTATACTTGCTAGATAAATTATCGGTCAAAAAAAGTCATTATGGGTTCAGATACAAATATAAAAACATAGACGCAATACAGCTAGGAACGACGTAGTGCGCTTGCGCGACAATTGTCAACGCTCACGGTACCTACCGTCATAATTCAAAACAGTATAAAGCTCTACAACGGCATCAATTTACGGGCAGCAAAAAATACATGCCAGTGGGCGTATTATTTATAATCAATGATAAAACCAATACTTTCTCAGATCTACGTCAAAGTTAAAAATGAAATTAACCAACATTGGCCATCATAATGAACTGTACAAAATACCTATTATTTTTTATGTATAACAAAATAGGCCTATAGTCGTATATTGTACAGGGTGACCACAAAAACCTTTACATTTTAAGAAAAGTATTAAAAATTCAACCAACGACAACTATAACTGGAAACCCGTTCCAATCACCTCGCCAAGTCATTCCCCATAACCAAAAATGCAAAAAACAAGTTCCTTCTCAAGCCAAACCCGTTATGCAGCTCTTACCATGAACGACCAATTATATGAAAATGATATAGAAATGAAAACTCAAGATAACCCTAAAGAAGTAATACAAATTCCACCTATTTACATTAAAGACAATATAGACTACTTCGAATTTTGAAAAAAAAATTAAACCTCTCACTGAACCTGTAGAGTTTAGCACTAAAAGCTCGTCTACCAGTATAAAATTAATGACGTACACCATTAACGCTTATAGTCAAATTATAAAACTTCTAGAAACAAATAATTTAAATTATCACACCTATCAACCAAGCGACGAAAAAGCTTTTAGAGTAGTGATTCGACACCTTCACCATACCTCACCAATCAATTTCATCAAAGAAGAGCTTCAAGCTCTTGGTTTCACTGTACGGCCAATTACTAACTGTCTTCAGTATAAAACCCCACTCCCCATATTCTTTATAGACTTGGAGCAATCTCCAACAAACCTAAGTATCTACAAAACCGATACAATATGTTACACTAAAATAAAAGTTGAAGCACCCCACCCAAAAAAAAAAATCCAGTTCAATGTCTAAGATGCAAAAATTACGGTCATATCCGTAAATATTGTCATCATACACCTCGATGCGTAAAATGCGGAAACACCCACGACTCAAATCAATTTCCCTAAGAAGACTCTACTCCAGCAACTTGCGCTCTCTGCAGAGGACCCCACCCGGCCTCTCATACAAAGGATGCCCCAAATTCAAAATATTGCAAAATGTACGTAAACCATCTAAAACCAGCAAGTCAACTGAAATTTACCTGAACAATTCGTCTCCCAAAATTAATAGCAACTTCAATCACGAAAAGAACTTCTCCCCTTTAAAAACCCCAATGGTTTACCTCTCAGCCTTCCATTAAGACACACCTTAACACTCACTCAAACCCCAAATCAAACCATACTAATACCAAACCTCACTCAAATAATAATACTGATTCTATCTCAACCCAACTTTCTCATTTTTTAATGAGTTCCAAACCTTAATAAGCCCTCTTATCTCCCTGCTCACCAAAATCATCGACTCCCTACTAAAACAAATGACTTCTATCCAACCAAACAAATCACCTCTCTCAATCCTCCTTTGGAACGCAAATGAAATACAAAACCATTACCACGATCTTTCCCTTCGTCTATACACCAGAAACATCGACATTGCACTTATCACACTTACTCCAAAGAAAACCATATTTTTCCCGAACTACTCCACCATTCTGACCATCCTGACGGAACAACTAATGGTGGTTCGGCAACATTCATCCGTAACAAAATCAAACTCAATATCAGTCCTCCTACTTCAAGCCAATCAATTCAGAGCTCAAATATGCAGTTATATATAAATAATACAAACACTGCCATTGTAGCTGCATATTTTCCTCCAAGTAATCCAATTAACGAAAACACCTTAAAATAATTTTTCCAATCTCTAGACAATAACTGCATTATTGGGGGTGACTTCAACTCTAAGCACCCCTACTGGGGGAAACAACATTACAGACTCCCGTGGTCGTAATCTTTACAAATCCATAATCAATTCCAACCTTCGCATTATATCTCCAGCGCACCCCACCTATTAACCTCCTCATCAAAACAGAAACCCTGACATACTCGACTTTTTTATTGTGAACAAGTTTCTCCATCCATACATAGTTCTATTACAAATATAAACGAACTTTTTCTAACCATACAGCTGTATTACAATCTTTAAATTCAAAGGTCTACTCCACAAGTTAAAAACAAACTTCCCAAAACGATAATATGAATATTGAAATCCTATCTAAACTAACGTTCTTTCCAAGTAAATTTAAACAATTTACTCTCTAGTCATTTCAAGATAAACGTCGGAGTTCCCCAAGGCAGTGACTTATCCCCTCTTCTTTACTTAATCTACACAGCACATCTTCCTTCACTATTCTTAATACTTTTGCCGACGATACAAGTATACTAGCATCTGACGCTAACCCCTTAATTACAAATTTATAACTCCAACACCACCTCACTCAATCTTTTAGAAAAATGGTTTACTAAATGTAAAATTAAAATTAGTACAAGCAAATCTAATCACATCACCTTTTCTCTTCGGCCAAACAACTGCCCACCAGACAAACTCTACAACACTCTGCTCCCCCAAACTAACCAAGTAAAATACTTAGGTCTCATTTTTGACAAACGCCTAACTTGGAAAGATCATATAACTGAAAAATTAAAACAATTAACACCAGACTTCGCCCTCTTTTACGTTCCAAACTTAATCTTAAACTCAAAACACTCATCTACAAAACTCTTCTCTTTCCCCTATGGTATTACGGTATCCAAATCTGGGGCTGTGCCGCTCCATTCAACATACAAAAAATCCAGTCTTTTCAAAGCATTTGCATACGCACACTAACTAATTCCCCATGGTATATTTCAAATAAACCCTCCATTCTGATCTCCAAATTAATTATGTAAACAAGATCGCCAAAACTGTCTACCAAAAATATCATAAAAAATTAAACTCTCACCCTAACCTTAACATAAACTACCTCTCTTCTAATCATATCCCAGATCATCCGCCAAGAAGATTAAAAAGGAATTGGTGCAGAGACCTCCTATAAATAAAAAAGAATAAATAAATAAACTAACACTCACAAGTCGAATGACTGCCCCTTCACCTCACCATGACTCTCCAAGGCCGCGTACAAAATAACATAAGTCCCATAAAAAATATAACGGGTTTTCCCGGTCACGAGTGTGGAAAAACTTACTCGAACGAAGTAACACACATGTTACATAAGTTAATTTAATTTGTTTTGAAAAATTAATATAATTTTGCTTTTTTTTTAATGTAAAGGTTTTTCGTGGCCATCCTGTATAATCGTATGAACATTGTGGTCCAATACTGTGTCATCACTCGTCTGGTGTATCAAACGAACGGAAGCCAAAACGATACGCAATTGTAATTAACTATTAGTCGATGCGGATATTCGGAGAGGCCTTGTCATAGTGCCCGCGTCTAGTCAAACTGGCCTCGAAAATAATGTAAAAATCAACATTCTATTGTTATTATTTTCGCTCATAAATATTATGAACGGAGTGACAATAATGATAATATCGCAAAATGTTCATCGCCAGAAACGCATGTGCCGAGCAACAATCTTGAACTGAAGTCAAAAAAAAAAAAATGACATACATATATTTATGATGTTTATGATACTATATATATATGATAATATTTCTAGTACAATAGGTGTTTGTAGCGAGAGAAGAATACCTATTGATAATGAAATATATTATTGAATGCGACACGGATAATAGGCGCGACCGAAGGATTTTCGTTTTACTCCTGTTTATTAATCTTGACAATTAGATACAACAGTCGGAAAACATTTTGTTCATTTACATTTTAAAAATGATCAACGAACCCCATTATACACATAATAACAATAATAATACAATACAAAACACGAGTAGGTATATAAGTGTTCATATACGGATGTACGTAGGTATCTAATTACCTAATAGTATGTTAACACGAGTGTTGGAGTGTTTTCGACTATATTAGGTGACAGGACAAAAAACGTCGGTGGGGCTAATCTTAGCTGTAGGTAAACGGCTCGGGGATTAGTTAATCAAATCAAATTATCTATTAAGTGTAGTATATACAGGATGATAATATTATTTATCGTGAACCACTCAATATCTCATAGGACATAGGGTTTAATAAGAAATTCAATTTTTTTTTCATACTGTTTTTATACAAAGTGATCTCAATTTTTCACAATTTGTTTTGTTTTTACCCCCTCCCAACTTAATTTTGTCGATAGCAACTTTTAAAACTCAAATGGTAGCGCATACATTTCTGAATAAATATTGTATAAACAATTGGATTAACAAAGTTGTAAGAAAAAACATAAAGAGCTTTGATAAAGACATTTTAAGGCAAAATATTCGACGATACCGCAACGATAATAATAATAATTGGTCCTCGTAACGTTGGATCAACTCGAGGACGAAAATGTCTTAATGACATTCGATGGCGCCTTACAAATGCATCCGTTATTAGCGACAAAAACATTGTTTAATCTATTGACGTCATCAGCAACAGCGTAGGTCGGTATAATAATAATAATAATAATATGCCTGAATACGTTTATAATAATAAAAAAAAAAGTTGGATGAATGAGAACAAAGCGGAAGCGTTCCGACGTGCTGGAAAGGACTTCCTTCTGGGGAATCGAAAACGATCTTGGTTGTGTATATATACTATAGTATTATTATGGTAATTATTAAAATTATTTATATTATATATTAACGCGTTAAGTGCTACGAATAGAACATGAGTACGAGTAGAATAGCTTACCTTGGAAAATGGTTTACACGCTGAAAAGGTTTTAGCGAACTGATGATTTCCGTTTTCACGTGGTTGTTGGACCATAGTAAATTGTAATCGTTTGAATCGGCGGCGACCTGCAAGTATTTTCATTTAAATATACAATATTTATAGGGTACATAAGAACAATTACATTTTTATTATATCATGCTATTAAGTATATTTTTCAAATTCAAATCGAAATACATAGTGCCGTGGCAATGAACTCTCTACGGCAATTTCTTAAGCGACCTAATCCTCAAAGACATATGAGTACTATATGCTATAGATTATTTTATCTATAATATTGCTATTTAGATAAAAGTTGGGAGGGAGAAAAAATGTGAACAATTGAAATCATATTGTGTAAAAGTAATATAAAAAAAAATGTATTTCATATTAAACTCAATGAGATATTGAGTGGTTCACGATAAAATAATCACCCTGTACGTTTGATGGTCATTAAACAAAAAATAACTATATTAATTTTTGATAAAATCAATTTAGAGATGATTTAAAAAGGCTAGGGTAGTTGAGACTTGAAAATGGTGATTAAGCAATTCACTGTAATAATTGAGTAACTATACTATTATATTTATTTATTACTGTAGCTACTAAATTGTTGGATTGATGTATTAGGGTAAAAGGAAATAATTCAGAGCTGTGATTTTGGGTAATGATTTTATAAACTAAAAAAAAAATCATAAGTATCCACGCTATACAAGAATACATCGGCACATGGATACACACAACACAAACAAGTAAAATAAACCGTTTCCTTAACAACGATTTGGTTGTTGAGTGTGATATCCAGCGTTACGTTTCGGACAAATTTTTAGAATGACGCCCAGCGATAAGACACATCCATGTCAAAAAGACATTCCCTATGTTTTGACAAAACGCGTTCGGTTTTACTTTAAAATATATCATAAACTGATTCATTAATAAAAAACGAGGTCAAACGATAACGACGCATTATCGTTTTATATATAATATTATTGAAAACATTTCCATTTAGCCAAAAAAAAAAATATATCCTATTAGATTTATACATTTTTTTTCTCTAAAACCATTTATTAAAAACTTTTAATACATATCAAAAATAGAAATTATAATAGCAGTCCTACAGTTAATACAAACATATAACCGTAATAACTCATGTTTTATTTTTATAATCCCAAAACAAACGTCCACATATTTTAAAGTAAACAGTTCAATGACTTGAGTAATTGTACGATATTGTACTACATTTACAGCTGTGCGTTAAAATTGCCTAATTTTGTACCCTAACATTTCAATGTTTATGTTTAAAAAATTAAATAATTGATATAGTCCCGAGTGCCTTGACCAGATTCAGTGTTTTAAAATTGTTTATCCCCAGAGTCTAACCTTAAAATTAATATAACGCAAATACGCGTCGCTAAAAAGTATCCACCCCTAGGCCCTATGAAGCTTGTACCGCAACTAAAAGTTGCAACTATTGTACAAATTGTTTTATCCGTTTGGATGGGAGAACTTTGCACCCTCTTCTCTTCTATCCAGCCAAATAAACTCTAGTACAGATAAGTTGTTTATTTTTATAAGACGATGAGATTATTTAGAAAACCTGGTCATTACTAAAAGTTAATTTTGTCCAGACGCTAAAAGAAACATCACTGTAAATCCAACAATTAGCTCCGCATCAAGACATAAAAAACCAGTACAGTACATCGGAGCATAATGAGGTCACAGGTTTACAGAAATTTTTAAATCTGAAAGTGATAAAATCACTTTGGAAAAAACCCTTCGATGCAAATCGGTAGTTAGTATTTTAAAGCCAGTACAGTCCAAACCAAGCACAGTATTACACTGCCAGCAAAGTTAGAAAACATTAAATTTAATCGGTCATTTCAAAAAACGACATAAGTCACCGATTTTTCAAATATGACTTTTTGTCAAATTTGATAATTATATACTTAGTTACGTATTCTGTGTGAAAACTAAATTTGTTGAGTACAAGAAATTAGAATCACTGCAAAAACTATTTATGAAGTTTTTTGTGGCTAGTGTAAAATTTCAGTTTTGTGATTTGTGCCGTTTTTGAAATGACCGATTCTTCAATTGAGGTGCTGTATGTACAAATAAGCATCAAAGCGTTTATTTAAAAGTGATTTAATTCACTTTTACAACTTTTATTTATAACAATTCCTGTAGACCTGGGACCTCTCCATCGCCTCTTGCTTTTATTACATTATACAGGGTCCGGCAAAAAACCTCCCTCATTTAGAAATGGCACTGTATGAGTTGTGGTGGTGGTACAACAGTGGAGGGGGTATCGATCGATAGCTGTATACATGCCATTTTCTTCTGACCTTACCTAAACCGGTTTTGCTAGGAACCATGACAAGGGAGAAGTCTGGTTCCAACAAAACGATGCCACAAGTAACACTTCGCGGCGCTCCCTAGCAATATTGAGAGAGGTGTTTCCTGGACGTCTTCTCTCTTTGCGAGGAGACATCACCTAACTGCCAAGGTCACTTGATTTATCCCCTTGTGGTGTTTTTCTTTGGGGACTTAAGAAGGCAATCAAACAGGCAGTGGCTGCCATTACACCGGAAATGACACGAAGAGCTATGGTCATTCTCGAAAGTTGTCATTCTCGACAGGCACAAAGTGTAACCTGTGGCACCGTCTTGTTGAAACCAGACTTCTCCCTCATTATGATTCTTAGCAATTGGTTTAGGTTAGGTCAGAAGAAAATGGCATGTATACAGCTATCGATCGATACCCCCTCCACCGTTGTACCACCACCACAACTCATACAGTGCCATTTCTAAATAAGGGAGGTTTTTTTGCCGGACCCTGTACATATATTCTACTGTATTAGGCATCTCGGATCAAATCACTTTCAAATACCAAATAAATATTCCATATATACTTCAACTCGACCCGACTCCTTTTTCTCGAAATTATAGCCAGTAAAAGTTCTGACTTAAAAACTCGTATGGTTTTTTTTATTTTTTAAAATTTTAACTATAAAGAAGTAAACCTTTTTAACTTTTACTCACCCAAAGTACCAACTAGATGAAATATGTGATTTATAGAGTTGCTACTCGAAGGAATTGGTCCAATATTAAAAAAGTTAAAGTGTGTACAGACAAAAAAAAGCCCACATCATGGTAGAACCAATACCTTCGCTTTGCATCGAAGCTAAAAAATAATGAATACTTTTCAATGGGACTAATACGTAAACGCGTATGACAACGGTTCACGTTTTGTCAGTTATTTAAAAACAAGATCAAAAAACAAATTTAATTACTTTCAATTATATTTATTATGTTATTTAAAAACAAATTTAATCCTAACGCTGTTAAAATTTTGAATAATTAAACTATTTGATTTAATTCGTTTTTTGGTCAGTATTTTACGAATGGAGATTTTTGAGCAAGCAATTAAATAAACCAGATTTTTTTGCCTTGAATTTCTTTCAGAGTAACTGGTTTTGGAGGTAAGTGACAAAAGAAACGAAATTGTACTTTCACGGATTATTTGAAAACAAATAACTCACTCACGATGTAAACAAAATAGTCATAATTTAACATCTGGCGCAGAAGCAGACCACCTCGTCGAAAAAAATTATTTGTTGTTCAGGGTCACCCATCCGTGTACACTGATAAGGCATTTAGTTGAAATAAAACACGGAAAATGCATACATATTGATAAAATAGCTCTACGATAAAATGTTACCTAAAGATTTTTAAATAAATATAAAGAAAAAAACAATAATGAAATTTAACATTTTTATAACTAATATTTTCTAAATAAAATACCGTTGTATATGAAAAATATATTTTTTTCTGTTATATGGTTACAATGTGTATAAAATAATCACCGGGGCAAACCGGCTGCTTAGCATTATTATTTACATATTTTAAGGCAGTTTGAATGAAGATAAAAATCAAATTGATGTCGATTTTGTAGGCAACAGACATTTACCACTCCCTGAAGTAAATACTTTCATTTATGTTTGCGGTTATTTAATGAAGAAATATGTTAATAGACACATTGCGATATTTGTATAGACTATGCAAGAAATCAAAAACAAATAGTCAAATTTATTTTATACTTTGTTTTTTAAAAGCGTTTTTGTTAATATAAACAAGTGTAAAAAATATATATATAACTACCCCTACTAGGCTGTACTTTGTAGGACAAACAAACGTTTTTTATGCATTTATTCTGCTCATTGCTTGTGTCCGTCGGCCGTCGCAGTACAGTAAGTACGCTCGTGATTTTACGGGAAAGCCAAAATATATGTACTAATTTTTACAAAAATTAAGTTAACTAACAATGTAGTAAAATTAATGCGTTGAAGGTTTCGTGGATTGTTATATCATTCGAAAGAGTTTCGGATATATCCACGTCACTAGTTATATGCCGATGTTTCGGACTCTTTGCAGAGTCCATCTTCAGGGCGATAATGGTCTTGACTTGTCAGCTGTCGTGGCCACGATGAACGGGATTTTCTCTAGTTTATATTGAAAATAATGTAAGGAATGTAAACAAATTTTGGAGGAGCTAAGCACACTTCTTCTCTCTCTAGAGTTACGCCTGTTTAAGTGAGCTTATTGGTTAACAAATAGCACTATACTATAAATAAAATAAACGGTATGTACTATAGGTTATGACTTGGGCTCGACATCTGAGTTAGCTGTCTAAGCCCGGTTCTCTATTTCGGTGAAAAAACACGGGGTAATCTATGTGTAACGCGCAAGCAAACCAGAACGCGTCGGCGAGTTGTTTAAGCGAGCGTTAAGCTTTTAAGCGGACCGCGGTGACAACGCAGAGGATAATAAATAATAATAATAAAAATAACTTGATAATAATGGTATTGTTGTTATTATGCCGTAAGAGTAGGCGATGATATTGTTTTCTCTAATCTTGTTTGTTTGTGTTCCCTTCGCCGGCGCCGCGTCTCACCGACAGGAGTAGTGGTAAGAGTATCTGCCAGCACATGTGGATTACATGTTTCCCGGTCGTTCCGCCATATCTTCAGTGTAGTCGATAACGCGGTACCGCTGCCGTCATGTCAGTGCCAGACGCTCTTCGGTGTTCCAAGTGATCGATCGGTGGGATAAATCGTTCAGGTCCGGTAGAGGAAACGTTCACAAATTTCAACACCGCCAAACCGTCGCATATATGACATCGGAGTAAGATTAATTGTAAGTCAAGCTATTAACGGGTAAAAAATAAAATAAAGGTTTTTAAAGGTACCTACCATTCTCGCATTCACAAAACAATCTAACCTTACAAGTAGACCTTTTAGTACCTTTAAGACAAAGCGAGAATCTAAGGGTAACAGGTCAGCACAAGGCTTATTGAATCGGATCCGCGGTGTCACAATTAATGAAATCGGGGAAAATTAAATATAAATCATTTTTGTTTGTTTTCAACATACAAGTAAATAACTCCAACGAGTAATTTATTTTTCAACGTCCTTGGTAAAATTAAATGTTAAAATATTAATTAACGACCACAAATGGAAAAATATAAATCATACATTTTTGAAAGACACACATTTATCGCCGTTCATTCCGGGTTTGTAAATTACAATAATTAATTAAGAAAAATTGAAGACTTTGGGGGAACAACCAGACATGTCCTTTTTTCAAATTTTTCAGAAAAAAAAAACCCTTTAAATTCAATTACATTTTTTTAGAATTTTTTTAAGAATTGTAGATTTTAGTTTTAGGGTAAGTATATAATAGTCAGACATGTCTGATTATTGCACCAACTAACGCAAAATTTGCAAAAAAATCAAAAAAAATTTACATTTTGTTGCCACAAGGTCTTCAATTATGGTAATGATACCTGAAAAAAAAACATGAAAACAATTTGTAACGAAATATTATTATTATTAAAGAAGTGTTTGCGGTTCTCCAATACGTCTGACTAATGATCTAGAAAATTTGTTTTAAAATAATTGTTATTTGTGTCTTTTTAACTTTAACGTTGAAAAGGTATTAGTTTTTTAATTCGAACAAATTTTTCCGCAATTACTTACACGATTAATTATTTTAACAACATAAGTAACATTAAAAAGATTATTAAAATAAAGTTTCGCTGTAAGCAAGTTATATATTTTTCATACCAAATACATTTTTCGAGCAAGAACAGTTAAAATTTCTTATGAAATAAATACTACATTTCTTTTACAAACTTAATTTTACATTAGAAAAGATTAACGTTAAATTACATTGTATACATAATCTATTCACTTCATTGCTTATAATTGTATTATAACGTTGGTTTTTTTTTGTATTTTATGTGATTTTGAATAAAAAAAAACTGCTGTTATATTTATTTATACGTTTATCGAAAGTAATGACTACTACGTACTATTTTCAGTCAGTATTAAGTAAATCATTGTACTACGAACAAAAGGATAAAATCGAATAGATCTTTCCACGTCTGTCATATTTACTTTTAATCGTTTTTTTGTTAGTTTTCAAAACAAATCCCTAATGGGCGTTATCAAATCAATATTGATTGCCAGTGTTGGAGTAAACAATTTAAATATTTTTTCTCATGTTCATCTCGTCCTTTTAAATGTTCGCGATCATTTTTCTGCAGAGCGCCGACGTATTTTCTATTTACACTTGTCTCCTCTAGTGATCAAGCTTGGTCGTATAAACTCGATACATACACTATATTATTATGCAAATTAGTTATGTACTATGTATGAATTTTCTTTATGATATTTGCTTTTTTTACGATGTGACTAAATTGTTTTCATAGCAATAGGTTTTAAAAAACATTAGCAAATATGCCTAAAATGTTATTTATTTACATTTTTTTTCCTCCTCCATAATTTATAGAAATCTATTCAAATAAGAATTCCCAAAATTTAAAAATATTTGCATTATATAGTTAATCACGATGCATGTATAACAAAAGCCACAGATTATATTCAGACAAACGATCAATCATAATCGTATCTACTCTAAACGAAAACAAAATTTAGCCGCATCTTTGCATTTACAATGTTTATACAGATATTTAGTATTTTTACCATCCACAGATTCGCATAGAAGCGTTAATTTAAAAGTGATATTATCACTTTTCAGACTTCTTTGATCCTAATATGCTCCATCCCCCACTATGCCCGCCCTACTGGTCTGGTTTTTTTTTATCAAATAGGTATTTCAAACCTTTTTCTGTAGTGAGCTCTGGCGTACTGGGACATTCGTGGCCGTTTTGTTAATAATGCAATTATTAATTTGCTTGTGCTTACTACTTTTTGCCTTATAAAAAGTATTTGATTTTGCTTTTACCGCGCTCGGGTACTGTAAATCAGTTTATACATTGTCTGTCATGCTTTGAAATTTGCGATTGATGCGAGATACAAAAAGCCGGCTAGAAAAAAACTATAACTTTTTACACAACATAAAACATTGCCTTAAAATAAATAGACAATTTTTTATTATAATTAATGAAAAACTAAAAAGTAGGGGGAAATTACATTATTGCCGTATTAGTTAATAGCATGTTGCTATGTGTGAATGAATCAACTGGTTTCTATAAACGATTTTCATTTTATTGTTAATTAAGATATTATACTGTTAATAACATATAATAATCGTAGACGGAGAATAAACCACAATTACTCATTATTCATCTTAAAATTACGGCACGCTATAAATTAAAAAAAATTATCTTATCAGAGTTTTTTTTTATCTTTTTTTACAGTTCAATACATTTTCATATCGACCAATAAAATGTACCGTAGATTATCATCAACCAAAATATATAACGAATAATGAATTACATAATAATTACTTCACACATTTTTAAAAACTTCATATGTTATAGAGCAAACAATCCTAGATCTTTACCTAGATTACTTTTTTCTTTTAAAAATCCAAAAAGTCTAAAGTCATACTTTCCGTGGTACTAGCTGTATCCAAAAAATCAAATAACACGATTATACACAGATTTAATGTCTATAAATCAATTTTTATTTAATGGTTTTGACCGTCTACAGTTTTGCAACGAAGCGTTATTTTTAAATGACTTTATCACTTCCATAGTTTTTATGTAATATAATTCCTAACGACTTTTCCGGTTCTAATACGCTCCGTCTCCATTTCTGGGGTGGCTTTTTTGACAATGTTTTTAATTTGTGTCGTTTTTATTATTTTTAAGGTCAAGTTAAAGCGCGTTTTAATTTGCTATAAATACCGAGTCCTGATGATAAAATATGGAAACTAGCGCCGTCAGTTTATCGAGAATTTATGTTTGATAATGAAAATCAATTGTGTATAGGTACTGAGTCTTTAAGTGTTCACACTTTACAATAGGCCAGAACACAAAATGAACGTCATCCGACGTATGTGTACGTTATAGTAATAATAATAATAATATTCTAATGGAATTAACGATTATCGATTTCAATACTGTTGATAACCTGCAGCCTGTGATCGAGGTCAGTCATCGGTGTCATTAACGCAGCCGGTCCAAAATCCGCGGCTGCCGGGTTAGGAAACATACCTACCGTTAATGGAGTTTGGAAAATGTTCAATCGCAACAATATCATTTGTACCAGAACACACAACACAATAATAAAATGTTTAAGTAGATTATAATAATATATAAATTAAACCCAATGTGCGCGGCGAGCGCGTGTGTTGAAACGGGAGGTCAACAGTCAGAAAATACGCGGCGGTTTAACATTGAACGGTAACACGTCGAGTGATAACGGCATATTTTTAAGGTAAACACTATGTGTATACTATTACTTGTAGTGTTGCAGGTTTTATATAGCTTTCTCTTATCTATCAGTTATCGGCCGGTGTAATGTTGTGCACAACAGCGACCTTGAACTTATTTCACTGTCTGAGATTGCACACTTAAACTTATTATTATTAGCAATCTGCCAATCACGGTCAGAGTTGTTAATTGTTATGCGTATGTAAGTACTAGGTATGCCGTGCTACGGCCAAAGCTGCCAACAACGTCAACGACCACTGCTTATCAACTACCCTCTGTAATATTTTTACTTTTGTTCACGCTCTATCCACTGCTTACACAGGTTTTTTAATCGCAAATGGTTTCCCATAGAGAAAAAAATGCGTTAATACTTAATAGCTGCAGCAGGTGTTTGTTGTAGAATCTAACGGCGTGGTAAATATCCATTTTTGGCAATTTACAATAAAGCATTGCAACGCCACAATTGGATAGGTACTAAGGTAGTACGTTTTGTTCAATTTTCTTGTGGTCTTAAAACAGAGTTTATACGACTTACAATATGGGAAAAAAAATTCTAGTAAGACGATTATTTAAAAAAAAACTTCTTTAGTTCTAGTACACTGCTACTTGGATCAGGTTATTTGTCGCCGATCAGTTAAATTAGGGTATCGCGTTGTAACGCTTTTTCGCTCTTAAACGCTGTGCCCCCTTGTACAAGTTCTCTCCCATCCAAAAAACCTATTCCGGGTTAAAAGTGTTTTACCCGAATGCTCTAGCAATGGAAGCTAAGAGCATTATATCTCTTTACCTCTAACAAAAAATATGAAGTGTTGATAATCATAATAATAATAATATAAATAATAATAGCCGGTAAGAAGAGCACCTAAGTTTCCGTCATCTTTCTGGAGTACTACAGGAAACTGAACTAGAAATTGTATGCACCAATGTACCTATAAGACGTAATATATGAAGGGCTGCGGGGAAAAAAGATCAATGTCAATTTTTTAACATTCTGAGAAAATCATGTTTTTAATTTCAAAACGTAATACATTTTGCCTGTAGGCCTAAACTTCCGGCGGTCGTTACTCTCGACTAATCTATTTTATTCCCTGGTTCGAGCTCATAAAAGATACAATACATAAATACAAATAATTTGATACCAAATCTCATTTTCAAAAAAAAAATGACATTGATCTTTTTTCCCCGCAGCCCTTCATATGTTTTCGGAACGGTACTAACCACTTCAAATTTAACTATTTTTTTCTTGGTAATTTCTAATTTTAAATATTCCCTAACCCTGTAACAAAATATTCTCGTAATAGGTGTAATTTTGTTCTTCAATTGTTTTTAAATTTAGTTCGTGGCGTAAAATCATTGGAATCGCTACCTATTAGAATAATGGGCAGTAATAGATTCATTAAAATTTAAGGATGACAATTTTTCATTCTTAAAAAAATTCTGAATCAAATAAAAAAATTATTCAAAAATAAAATACTTAATTAGAAGCGTATAGACCTAATGGTTTAGATTATTTGTTTAAATCCTACACTCTTCCCTTCATTCTGCTTTAAACTTTAAACTTAATTAACTAAAAGTGGTTATTTAAAACGGGTTTTCAGAAAATTGTGTTCTTTTAAAAAAGTTATTAAATATAAACGTTTCCGTTTAAGTTTTAAAAGTTGATGACGTTTTGGGAAATACTAAAAAAAGTAAAATGTTGAATACCTACTGTTTAATATTGTAAAATAACATAAACAAAAATGTTTTCAAGAAGAAATCCTAAAGAATTATTTAAAGAAAAAATTAGTGCCTACTGCCTTATCATTAATAAATCACTCTGTATATATAAAGTAGTATATGAGGTAAATATCAAATTAATTTTTTTATGTACTATAGCTAAGTCAAGAAAAATAACGAAGAACCTAAAATTGTCTATCAAATTATTCACTGTGTTATTGAACCTATTGAACATTTGCCCCACCTATTGACCTCACCATTTGTGCGGGTATACATTTTTTTTTCAACAGCTTCTTTTGACATTTTCATGTCTTAGCTCTGGCACATAACCGAAAAAAGCGTAACCTAAAAAGCGTTATCAAAAATTGAAAAAGTTTTTCAGCCGGTCTGCAACCACGAAAGAGCATTTTCATGTCTCGTTGAAATACCAAATAAATTTAAATTAGTTGTGGAATTATAATTAAAAAAAAAAAATTACATGGAGCTTCGAGTTACAGCATAAGGCCAAGGAGATAAAAAAATTATGTACAATCAAGTTTCTGGCTAAAATTGTAGTGTGTATTATGTTACGCGCCGCAAGGTACCAAAAATCATTCGTTTCAGTCGCTACTACGAAGCGACGACGAAAGACAATTATCGGAAAGACCATTTCGGATCCATTTCGAATGTTAATCTGTTACGCTGTTTCTAATATGAGATAAGAGATATGTTGTACGTTCAACGTTCAAATTAGAACTAAATAATAAATTCAAAATAATTTAATTCTCTATGTTAAGTTACTTTTGGCCAGATAATAAACACTACAATTTTAGCCAGAAACTTGATTGTACATAATTTTTTAATCTACTTGACCTTATGCTGTAACTGGGAGCTCCATGTAATTTTTTTTTTTTTCAATTATAATTCCGCAACTAATTTAAATTTATTCAGTATTTCAACGAGACATGAAAATGCTCTTTCGTGGTTGCAGACTCGGCTGAAAAACTTTTTGTTTAGAAAGTCGTTGTTTTAAAATTTAAAACTTAATTTCACAGAAAAAAAGCATATTTATTTAGTTGTCTATCCTAATGACATTCGAGTTGCGATATACAGTTATATAATTATAACAGTTTATGATATAAAGTGGTTAATTTATAGTAGGATTGACTTTAGACCTACATAAATTATAATAATTTTAACTCTGTGCCCCACGAATTTGATTGATAACAGCATGGAAATAAACATTTGGTTTAAAGTAATCGTAGCAACATAATCTCTCACTTCATATTTACCCCAGCGATATTAAACTTAACTCTATTTCCGGATTGCATACAATTTGATACATTTAATGTGACCACTAAATTATATTTAAGGAATCTACTAAACATCTATTGATTAATTAATATTTTATGAACGTTTATGGAACCCACTAAAAGTATTCTTTTATATAGTTTAAATGCCTATTAAGTATAATATTTTATGCTGGACTAATAAAATGTGGTCGAATTTTGGTGTACATAGGTGAATTCAGTCACTGGACCGTTAACGCAATCATGCCGTGTCGTTATCAACCGAAGAGTCTATTGAGCTTGTCGGAGGATAGAGTCGTATCCAATCTCGTGCAAACGTGTTATCAGATACAAGAGCTAATCCATTCGACGCAAACAATGACATTCGCCAGGAACCGGATGCGACGCTTTTGGCAGTCTGCCACGCCTCCAGCCGTCCGCCGTCGCCTGTTGAGCAAGTGCATGGACAAGCTGGCAGACGTGGCTCGCGAGGGTCACTCAATCAGTGCTACGGCGGACGCCGTGCCGCTGTGTCTGCTAGCAGTCATGCTAGACAAGGACATTAATGAGCTAAAAATACAGCTATGCTGTTACTACGGTTGCAGCCACCAGAACACGTTGCTCAGGCTATTGGCCGCTGAGGCTAAAGGACTAGAGAGATTGGAACTCACTAGGCCTACGTTGCTGCGATTAGGTAAATTATTTGGCTAGTATTTTGACCTAACATAAATATGATAATATTGCGCGTCGCATAAATCAAATCACGACCTCGCCGTTATCAGCTTAACTCATATTTGCCGGTTATTGTTTTTCAGACGCGCAACTGTTTCAGTCGGCGTTGTTGGCAATGAGCAACTTAAAGTGTTTGGTGCTCAAAAATATCGCTTGCGATAAAATCCTGAAAACCGTCGGACAATCGTGTTTCGCACTAGAGAAATTAGACGTTTCCAATTCCAGCCAAGTCACGGACGTCGGTATCAAGAATCTGTTGTTACAAATCGAAATCAGAGACAAACAAAAACATTCGTATGCCACCACCAAATGCGGTTACAGGCAAACGCCCACCAAGATGGTAACGATAATGCAAACTCTACGTGCGTTGTCAAAGTAAAGTACACCTCATCTTCCTCTTCTATAAATTGTACACGAACTGATGACGAATTACGTTTTTACAGGAAATTCAAGACCAGAGTGGTCGGGGATAGAACCAATATCGACGACATGTCGTTTGTGCTGGAGTACTGCCAGAAGAGCACACTGGTTTGCTCGACGTTGCGCGCTCTCAACATGGCCAACACGAGCGTGACGAGTGTAGGTATTCTGCTGACGCTGAAAAAAGTGCCTAACCTAGAGACGCTAGGAGAGTACTGTCACGTGGGTCGAGCGCTGGAGTTGTTGGACAAGTTCACGACGCCGACGACGACCAAGCGGTTACAGCTGACTATGGCCAACGCGTGCCGGATGACCTCGACCAGACTGCAAGCGCTTTGTGACACGTGCACTCGACTGGATAGGCTGACCATTTCGGAGCCGCTGCATGCCCCTCACATGCTCGGTCAGTTGCCAAGCACTCTTACCAAGATCAATTTGCAGACCGTACCGGCGGAACAGACGTGGGTAGACGAGCTGTGCAAATACCTGTCGGGTCCGCAGTCCCGGCGTCTGCGTGAGGTGTCTATCAAGTTCAGCCGGGTCGACAGGGTGCCAGTAGTCGACCTAAGTGCGTTTCTACCGTCGCTCACCGACCTGGAAACGCTGTCCGTGGACGGTGCCGAAATGAGGTGGTCAGCACTGCCGACCTATTCGGCCATCGCCACGGCCGCTCCGAGCAAACTCGAGAAGTTACAGTTGTGCAAGATCACAGACGCCGACACGCTGCGAACGATTTTGCGTCGTGCGCCCCGCTTAAAGGTACTGCACATTTACAGTCTATCTATGGATGGTGCGACCAGCCTGACGGACGTGCTGAACGAGGACGGTGGACTGACCAGAAACCTCAATTGCCTATACGTGAACCAACTGTTTCCGTGCATTGGGGTGGACACCATTAAGTCCGTGGTGGCCGTTTGCCCGGAGATCAGCAAAATTGGCAACGTTGTTAACTGGGGTGGCGTGACCCGAGATGAGATCAAAGACTTGAACGCGTGGATCCAACGCAATAACTACCGGTTAGAACCCAACGGCGGTTCGCACTGGTTCTGTTCTGAATGTTTTCCTATTATATAAGACATCTCTCGATAGAATAATATAACTATATACTTGTATTTATCTTACCGTTTAATTATTTATTAAGAAATAAACATTGTTTTTCTTTTACATTGTTGGGAAATGTTTGTCTCCTATCAGTCTGTTTGAAAAAAAAATGAATACCCGAAAAACATACCTCGACAACGGAGCGGAGCAGATACAGATTTTTAAAAATTTCTCATGGCGGAAGTGCACTATATAATTACATCCAGGTTATCTAACCAATGTTTTAGGTCCAAAAAACTCGCATAAAAAAAAAAAAGATAATAGACAGAATTTTTATTTTAACTGTTTAGAATATTTTTCGGAGTAAACGTGTCAATATTAATACTTAAATTATATTTTTTTTGTGGATGTTTTATTGACAAGAAGATGTTATTTATCAACATTTTTTGTATTATGCCGTAAAGATGTCTGATCTCTTAAACTGTATAACATATTATATATATATATATATAAAAAATTCAGTATAGTGGTTAAAACGTTGTCAGCATTCTCAGCTCTGAGCCGAAGACGAAAGATCAATAGAATGCAGACAATACTGCGTTTTAATTTGTTTTTGATGGATTGGTCGACTGGCTTTTAGATTCCTTGAAGCCAGAAGCGTTGTGTTAATTTTGTTTAAATGGAGGTAATTTGATTTTCGACTCGAACAAATCCTATACTTCTTTTCGGTGATAGAAGAAAATATAATATATGTTTTATAGCAGTTATACTTTCAGTATACTCAGAATTCGTATTAACACCGCGGTAAAACGTATAATATTAGTAGTAAATACAGTGTTTAGAAATTTTTTTTTATTTACAAGTAATGCACTCAGTTTCACACTCATAAGAAATGGAAAGATTTCAAGTGCTTACTAAAGCAATAAAAAAATCATGTTTAATATTTGCTTTTATGCTAAATAGGTATTAAAATAGTACGATTTATTACCAAATGTATAGACATAGTAGCTCTATGTAAACTCTATACATTTGTTTTGTAATAATATACCTTTAGAAAAATGTAGGTAGACTTAATATATGTCAAAAGATTAACCAGTACGTTAAAGCCACTCAAATTTTGGCTAAGAATATTATTAAAAATAATTCTTGCTTTTAAATAGAAAATATGTTTTTGTGGAATTTCATTAATTTGCATTCACATTCCGATATAAAACGAATGCGTTCCCATTTCTCATTTCTTTAAAATAAATGTAATGCACTCATGAATGCATTCCTCTAAAAAGGAATAAAGTTCAATGAATACATTATTTCCAAACACTGGTATAATATTTGGTGGACTAAATATTATATTATATTTCTACTAAATACTCTACTATAATTTATTTAATTCATGAAATGCTCTAGCCACTAGATTTTTTCTTACTTATAGAATTAGAAATTATTAATTGCAAACTCATAATCATTATCTATCGCTTGTCCCTTGGGACGATCTCTTACATTAGAGTTAGAACTCGGAAACCAAAAAGTACCACTCTTTGGAGTTCATTACTAATAACGTCAGTTTTAACCCTTTGAAAGATTAAATATAAATTATACTAATTAGAACCACGCGACATAAATCCATAGAAATGGACTATACTACCGTCTACCAGGGCTGTAGGTGCGATTTTTTAAATAATAAATAAAACGGCATATAACGGTAACATTAATTAATAATAATAATAAAAAAAAAATCACGGTCACTTTAAAAAAGACACAGCACGTCGAACGTGATAGAATTCCTGTTGTGGCAGATAATGCAATGCCAGTTTGTTATTGTGTATAGTGTGACGGTTTTTGATAGGTATAATATCTGACTACGGTAAAAACGTGCCATGTTCGATAAGAAAAAAAAAGTGCTATACATAAAAAACAAAATACATCTCTAAAACATTCTCTGTATCAGTCGTTATTCGGTACAACCGACAGCGTTTGCAATTCACAATGTGCGCTTAACAACAGATTATAAATGCATAGCAAGATGTACTGGTTTGAAATATGGTAAACAGCAGGGATTCTACCCAAAAGGGCACGCTCTTAATAAAATATAAATAACGGTCGGATACCGTTAAAGTAGAAAGTATATTTTCGAGGGTAATAGCAAACCCAAATTGAATAATAATATTTCGCGTGACTACGGCCAGGCCGAGCCAATTATAGATTGAAGAGTTTCTATAGTAGAATAATAATAAAATAAAACAATGTTTTACGGTTTCATGTTTTTATCCTATTCAAAAAAGTTAAGACTATATAACAAAATAAATGTATAAAAATAGTCAACGCTCACTTTTTTTAGAAGCTATGCGCGATTACCGGTTTTACTTTTTAGCAGTGGGCGGATTTAGAAAGGAATTTATGGACTCCGAATGTACTAGACTGCCACTTTCTAAAACAAAACAAAACTATTCAAGTAGAAGAAACGCTCATATAATAAGTATGTGCGTAACATCCAGTTTATAAAGGACATCCATGGTTCACAGATCTTATAAAACCGGATTTGACAATATTTTCAATGGAATACAATAATTGCACTGACCATTTTTTTAAAATTATAAGACATTGAACCCACAAAGGTTTTTTTCGGAGGGCGAGCTCATCTCAAATATATAGTATAAACCATACATTTTATAGCGTATAAAAATAGAGCGGTTATTAGAGCTTAATAACTTTAGTAGCTGAAGACTTAATAAAAGTGAGTTATGTCTTATTTTAAAGATATAGTGCTTTTCATAAAGGTTAAACCCCAAAAAATTTCAAATTTTTTTTCTATTATTTCGCTTTTTTAGGTGTAGTTTTATGTAAAATTTTTTTTTTCAAATTCTGAAAAAAAGATGTAATTTTAGTTTTCTTATTAAAAATAAAATATGTCTTGGTAAATTGTGAATTTTTGCATATTTTAGAAGTAAAAAGTGAAAAATGTTCCTTACGTATAACATCAAAAATAATACGCAGGGGCATAGTGTGGGCGGAGACCTCAGCTGCCACGCGGCATCTGAGGTTAAGCTGTGTCCGTTGCTGCTTGATCTAGGATGGGTGACCACCCGGGGAAATTTTCATTATTAAAAAAAAAATAGAAATAAATCTCGGCCCACCCCGGTTATTAGACGAAAAGATTTGATTTAAGTCTCTGATTTTATGATAAAAATTTCAGAAATTTAAAACTGGTCAAAATCGATTTTTTTTGAAAAATAACTTAAAAAACCTCTATATTTGTGGCAAAAATTAGTGATAACATTTTCCAAAAAATAAGGATATTATATTAGACAAAAAGAAGTTTGAAAAAAAATTTGAGGAGGTCAGACCGATGACCGCGTGATTTGACTCAGAATACCCCACATATAAAGTAGACTATAAGATACAATTTAGTTAAACATCTGTAGTCAAACTTTTTTTTTTATGAAAAACCAAAAAGTCGGGTGATATTACACTTTTACCGTATTATGATACTCTATTGCCCAAATGGGCGTAAATCAAAACGATTATTATTAAATGTCCATGTTGCTATGTGTGAATAAAAAAACATTACAGTCAACTAAAATACGACAAATGACATTATATTGTTTTTGTTAATAATAATAATATGATAATAACAACGGCAACAAATTAATATTGATAGGCCATTAACCTCAATCATATTTAATATTTCTATCAGGTACATATTATTCGCATTCAGTGCCGGATCTAGGATATTTGACGCCCGGGGCTAATAAAAAATTAGCGCCCTTATATAGTACGAGCTACAGGGGTCGGAGTGCCAGGTGTTGTCAACACAAAATAGAATATTTAAATAGGTACAAATAATAAAGTATAATTTTATATTAAAAATGTTATTGAAACCATATACTAGTCAATATTATACTTAAAAACGATTAAAAAATATAAACACATAAACAAAAATTGATTTTTAATTGGTTATTTTGATTAAGTAAAATAATTGTATTTGTGAAAATTAAAAAATTAACTTTTCTAGCTTTTTTTGCTGCGAAATCATTTATTATATCTTCATAATTAATTTGCCTTGCTATTTTATTTTCTATAGATATAATCGATAGGTTATTTAGTCTTGCTTGCTCTGTAGTGGATCGTAAATATGTTTTTATTAATTTTAATTTGCTAAAGCTTCGTTCACACGAAGCTGAAGTAACTGGCATTGTTAGATATATTTGGTAAGCAACGGATATATTGGGATATGCATCTTGAAGTTTATTTTTATAAATAAAATTCAACATTTCAAAAAAGGTTGCTTTTTTTAAAACTTCACTTATGTTGTAAACATGCTCTTTGAAGCTCTCTAATTCTGAAATGAATTCAAATTTGTTAAGGTCATTTTCATATTTATTGCATAAATCTACTCCGGATCTTTTTAAGTCTTCCATAGGCCATGAATAATTTATTGTTGGATCTAAAAATGAAAAATCTTGAGCGATATTTTCCATTGATTTAAATCTTTGACGTAGTCCTGTTAAAATATTGTCAATAACATTTTTGATCATTATTAAAAATTTTTTTTCTTTACTTATGTTATAAAAATCATCTTCTGCAATTTCTCCGGGTAAAAGTTTCTTTTTTCGTAATCTGACTTTTGGAAATTCAGTTTCTATGCCTAATGCTTTAGCTTTATTCTTTGAATCGGATAAAGCCTCATTTATACCTTGCTCTCGAAAGTTTTCTAATATTTTAAGGAGGCTTTGAAGATGTTTGACAGCTACATCAATTGTTAATTTTGGTTTTTGTAAAATTATATTAATCCTGTCAATTGCACTGAGAATTTTTTCCCAAACCGTAAGCATACAAATGAAAGGTAAACGTTTAAGTGATCTTATCAAATTATCTGCATCAAATTTTGTTTCTTCTGATAATGTTTCTTGTTTAAGAACGTCAAAGCTTTTAAAAACCATATCCAGTTGAGTATTTAAAGATTTTATGGCACGATGTTTAGCTGACCACCTTGTTGTACTATACCCTTTTAATGATAACTTTAAATTATTCATTAGAACATCCCATCTTTGCGTTGAACTTGAAAAGAAATTAAATAATTTCTGTACGATGCCGAAAAACGTTTCTACTTCAGGTATACTTTTTGC